ACCATCACCACCTTCTGTTTGTTCTGCAATTGTATACCGCTTAGCGCTGCCCAGTGCGCCCGTGGTAATGTGTGGATTTATATCAGTGTCCTCGCATGGACACCGTACCCATGCGAAGTCTTGCTAGATCTGAGTTCCTTTCGGTCGCCATCTTGAGTGCCCTATCCATCGTTGCGAATTGTGCGATTACGCACTGATACTGTGCCTACTTGATTGCGCGAATGCGATGCGAGCGTACAAATGGCGCTTGTACTCAAGGTACCATCTGCGTAGGATGGGTCATATGCTTCACCTGCCAGTCGTGCATAAAGCCCCTTGGAAGACGGGGTCCGGGGTCCGTCGACTCGACCTTCGTGCTCAGCTGTGCTCAGATGAGCGGTATCTCAATGGCTACACACTCCAACTACATTGTCAAATCCGTCGTGCGCGCAACCCTCGTATCGGTTGTCTCGGGTTAGCCGCCACACCTCTCGACCGATGTTGATCATCTATATTCACGCCTACCGGCCTGTCTGCAGCTTACACGGTCACGTACTCCGCCTACCCCGCGCCCGCCTTCTTTGGCGACACGCACACGTGCAACATCACTGCCTCCAGTACGGGTACCCTCACCACAGGAACGCCTGACGCGCCTGGATGCACCAACATCTCGCCCGCCGCCTTCTACGGCAACTTCACCCTCAGCGATCTCATTCGTGCGTATCCAGACCCTCTCGTCGCAACCACACGTACTCATACGGTCATACAGCCGCAGATGAAACGTGCGCTCTGAACTGGTTCAGCGGCGCCGATTGCACCGGCACAGAAGGACCCATCCCTGCGCTCCCATTCGGCACGTCCGTCGGTCTCCCACTCAACGACACGTCCCCTACGAGCGGTTGCATCCTGCTCAAGTCCGGTCATTTTGGGCTTCCGCCTGAGATCAATCAGTTGGGGATGTCTGCGCGGGCCGTGTGTGGGTCTACGTGACGATGGTTCGTAGGAGAGAAGCGACGGTCGTGAACTTCGATTTAGTCTCCCTGCACCAATGTTATGGTTACTGCTTGTGCACTCAATCGTACACTACGCCCCCCACATATTCCCGCTGGTGACTAGTCGGACCTGAAGAGGTCGCCACTAGAGGAGAGCAACTTTGCGACCCCAAGATGAAGCATGCGAACATGCAATGTCAAGCAATACGAATCACGATTTCATTAGAGCAAGCAAGTACACGAGCAGCGAAAGCAGAAACTAGTATACAACATAACTCAGATGGAGAAGTAGCAAGAAAGGTCGTAAAGTACACGAAGGGGTTGAGATTGAGAGCACAGATCGAGCAAAAGACGGGGTACATAGACCGGTTGTGACGCTGCTGACGTTCGGAGGGGTAGTGGGATGATCTTAAACCTTGGTAGTCGGAGCGCCATCGTACATCGGCTCGCGGTAACCCCTGCCACCGCGGATATGGTGCACACCGAGGAAGCTAACAGCGAACAGCGCGAACGTCATGATGATACTACCATCAACCGTCAGCCACTCACGAATCTAGCTCGAGGAGTGATAGGGAGAACGTACAAGATGATCCAAGCGAACGCCTCAGCAGCACGAAGCGTGCCACAATGCCCAAAGATGTACGCACTGCAACCGCCCACGAACCATCCGTCGAGTGCGTCAGAGAGCGCGGCTGCGGCTGCGAGCCAGAAGATCCATGTGAGAATCAGGCTGTGCAGAAGGACAGTAGTCAGCGGATGCGGATTACGAGGACGAGGGTACAGGGGTGCCGATATTTGTGGAAGGAGGGGAGACAACGTACAAGAGCCAGTGCGCGCCGACGCTGGACGCAATGTGGCCTGGGGCACGGAAGAAGAGGCCGACAAAGGCTGGTGCGAGGAGAAGAGTCCAGATCGAGGTGAAGAGGAGGAAGTTGAGGCGCGACGAGCTGAAGACGCTGACAAGGAAGGCGCTCAGACCGAGCTAGATGTCTATGTCAGCATCCTGTGAGGCGTTGAAGCTCAAAAAAGCGAACCTCGATGATGGCAAAGAGGATGGTGAGCCCGAAGGTAACTGTGGCGAGATCAGCAACCTCCTCTCGCAAAGAACTAATAATTGTACGCACTCGGGTGGGCGCGGCGAACATGAGTATCGTAGCGGGACATGGTCGATTCGTGAGCTCGTAAGGTCTGGCAGCAATTGCTTATGAGTCCCTCAGCAGGGAGGGTGGTGGTGCAATGGCAACCGTACCACTCGGGCGTCCCGGGTCTTTATGAGCAACGCGCGCGTCAGGCGGTGTACGCGCGAGGAGCACGGTACTTCGGATTCTGACGTCACCGCGTCTCTGAGGAAACCAGGTTCCGGCGGCTTCGGGCCTACGTGGACCTACATCTACGTGTGGGCGCGGGTCATCTTCTGTGGCGCGACTGCGTCGAAGCTCGAAGTAGGCATGGATACGCAAGACGTAAATTTAGAAAAGGTATGAAAGCGATGCACGACACGAATGGACAAACAAGGCGGATATGAACAATATTTACAGATGAAACGTGAGGGAAGGTGTGGGGTGGGTGGTAGGGGTTATGACGGGAGATGCGAGACAGATATGGGAAAGATAGGATAGACAGCAATGATCAAGCAGAACGGTGTATGGTCAATGCGGGGGTGGTAGTACAATGTCACAGCCGAGACGAGATAGAGGAGAAATCCGGGATATGTATGAGTATGGGACTGAGGTCATGTTGAGCGTTCAGAGGTCATGAAGTGTTTGAGGGGGGTAGGAGGAGTTCAAGTCGAGGTGAGAGGGGCGGCGAAGGTATCGCGAGGCGCTCCTACGCTGCCCGCAGCGCCGCGCTTTTGCGTGGTGGCGTCGGGGCGGGGTTTAGAGCGGCTTGGGCGGGACACACAGGCTCTGTCCGGGCCGCAACTTATCACACTGCACGCCAGGGTTAAGCGCCGTAAGATCTTCGAGCTTGCATCCATGTGCCTTGGCAATATTCCAGCACGTGTCGCCGGAGACGATCGTCGTCGGTACAGTGCCGTTCGTGCAGGGGTTCTTGGGCGGTGACGAGTGTGATGGGTTGACCAGACGGAAAACAAGTAGGAGGAAGACAATGATGATCAGGAAGAATGGGAAGAGCATGCGGTACGAGTTGTCCGTAGTAGCAAAGCGTACTCGAGGCTTGGACTATTGATGCATCAGCACTTGTTACTGCAGGGAGATAGTACAAATATAGCTTACGCCGTCGGTAGACAGAGGTGCGTATCCATCCGCTGTTGTCGGTCCTGGCTCGAGGTCGTCTTCAGCGCCTTCCGGTAGGGCTACCGGTGCACCCTCAACTGCAGGGTGAAGTTAGTAAAGAGGTATACCTGACAGCGATAGAACATACCCTTGCGCATCTCGCCGTACTGGGCTCCCTGGGCGCCTTCCCACAGTGTGCCGTCTCCACCGCGAAAATAGTACCGTCCAGTGTCGGCGTCGTACCCAACGCGCTTCATGCCCGAGGGGAGGCGATATTCATCCTGAAGAAAGGACAATCAGATAGGTCCCGCACGAGGCCGATACCGACACCGGGGCGGTCTGCTTACCTCGTCGTATTGTGTCCAGCGGCCCATACTTGGCGGCGGCGGCGAGTAGAGTAGCGGAGATAAGAGGTTGGCTGTACAGGTATGCGTATAAGAAGGCGGCGCCGAAAGAAATCACAGATGCGGGATGGTCGTGGTGTTGGCGAGAAGGGCGGGAAGGGATGTGCGCTGCCACCTTCAAGCCGCATCCGGTGCCTCGGTCCGGGCCCGAAACGCCCCTGAAACCTCGCCCCGCTCGAGCCTCCATCTCCTTCCTTCCGTCCATCACCGCCGCTCGGTGTGCTGCATATTCATTCATGACCTTGAACCCTCCCGCGTTACACATTGTTGAGCACAATGTTGATGGCTAACGTACACGCCGAGAGCCTGCTGGCTACGAGCCGGCGTTCGTCAGGTTTCCCTGCGCTTCTCGCGTTCCGAGACCGAGCGCTCTTCTCTCGTTGTGCCACGTTCACTGCGTCGCACACCCGCCGGACTTCTTCGCACTCTCTCGCTTTCGACCAAGTCTTCTTGCGCATATACTCCGTGGCCTATTCCGCTACGCGCAGTGTACCTGTCAGGACCCTTGCTCATGACTGTGGGCGCGTGGTCCGCGCCACATGGTTTCATCTCCTTCTTGAATTCGAGTTTCTATGTCTACGGCAGGATGCCTGATCATACTCACTGGCAAAGTCAAATGCACGCCATATGGCTCACGGAATGCTCCTATCGGAGAGCGGGCAACTTGCGGCGTTGTATGTCCCCAGCTCAGGGTGCGCATGTATCATGGGTGTAGCTCTCGGTCGTGCAACCCGTACACATTATCTGGTTTACGGAACCAAGCGTCCGACTATAGTGCGTTCAGATTCAGAATGCGTTGGCTTGAGTTTGATGGTCACACAAGACAGGTTCAGCTCAGCCCGCACGGGCGTTTATAGAAGGATTGTTACAGGGTGTAAGTATACAAAGCGCGTAGTCCTCGTCGTCAACAATACCGAGATGGGTTTTATACATGTTTAATGGAGGAGTCACAAATACCACAGCGACAGCACGTCATACACGATACTTCCTTCACCGCGCGGGTGTAGCGAAAGATTGGTGTTTACGAAGAAGGGCAGTTAACCTCCACAGAAGCGACGGAAAGAAGAGTGGGGGGGAGTGGAAGCAACCTGAGGGGCTCAATGGGCGTGCACCCGCTCGACACGCCGGGGACAAGCGTGACTGGGATATTGAGGAGCGGGCCTTCGGTACCGGTGCAACCAGTTCCGCTGAAGGTGTGCAGCACGCAGCCAACAGCTGCGCGAACCATATGAGCAGACCGTGATACGACGAGGAGAATAATGCACATACGGGCAGTGCTCTGGAGCGTGAAGTTGCCATAGAACGCGGCGGGAGCGATGTTGTGGCAGACCGGGGCACCCGAGGTGCCCGTATTGAACGTGCCCGAGCTGGATGGGGGAGCAGGACAGGCCAACGGGACCGTGGTGTTAGGGTAAGCCGAATAAGTGACTGTGTATGCTGCGGAGGATATGAGAGAAGGTAGGGTGTTGCAACGCGTAATCGCTCACCAGAGACGGCTGGTGCAAGGGCAGCGCACACCGCGGCGAGGATAGCGGACTTGTTGAACATGATGACTGAGGGGATAGCAGACGAGCTTAAGAGAGCTGGATGCTGGGTGGTAAAGGCTATCTTGTCCATGCCTTTATACTGCGCTGGTGAGAGACTAGTTCCCTGTATCTGTGCATAACCCGAGAGTTACTGACGCTTGTCGGCCGGCTTGTCATACAGCTGTCACTCTAGTACCATCATTATCGCCCGGGGCGAAAGGGAGAGTCTGAGGGATGAAGGTTGGGCACTCAGGACTACTCCAAAGGTAGCTAGCTCTCTCATAGGGACACTTCGAGCGATATATCGTATGACCTTACGTGTTATGCTAGGGTTACGGGATTCCTCAGGGCAGGGATATGGGCCATGGCTTGAGCACTCGCGACTTGAGGCTTACCGGAGCCTCGCCCGAGCCTTTACTTCCATTGCCTCCCCAGCCCGTACCTCCCCCTCTCCCCCACCCCTCGCCATATAAACTACGTAGCTACTCTCGCCTTATCTGCGGGACTCAGATGTTCTGCAGGATGTGTTGTCAATAAAATATCATTTGAAGGTCCGAAAGGGTTGAATAGAATATATACAGGCTGTACGGCCGGTACTAGAGTAAACTGAGTGGGCCGGACTACGAGCTCCGCTGAGAAAGACACCGGGTCGCTCTCAGACAGGCTAAAGATGATTCTACCCTAAAGAAGAGACGGAAATAACACTTAGTGATCAGTTCTGTATGCATAATGGGTATGCGAGTACCCATGCAGCAGAGTTACACTACGCCCTGCGTCGGATAACGTATTGACTTCAGTATTGCAAGCTGCCAACAGGTCAACGATAGTATATGGAGTGGCGAGGGCGGTGGCCTTTCGCTCTACTCCCCGCGCGCTCTAGGGCCGAGCTATACCTTGAGCGAGATCATCCTTCGAGCGTATTGAGCCCCGGGAACTTTCAGCCAATAGCAACACGCTGTAGAGCGACACACAGCTCAAAATTCTGTCAGGTGTAAAGGTCCTAACTGATGTCTCACGTACTCAAGCACGAATGCGGGTGAAAGGTCAGAGGAAGAGCTGTGGTGGTTATTTCTTCGCTTTCGATTCCTTCGAACATACGGGTATAGGGTATAGGTCGCATCGAGCCTTCTCGGGCCATGGGCTTCCCTCTGGCGGCGGCACGGACAGCGGTCGCCCTTTGTGAAAAGCTATTCACCAAGCCATGTATCAGAGACTGTGCTCCAGATGAGCTACAGTCGAATGAGAATGGCCTCGGGTCAGTGTGGGTAGCCGAGAGAAGTGGACTGAACTTGAGGATGAGGCACTGAAAATCCTTGACATCGGGGGTTTGCCTGATCGGCGCGGCGCATCAGGCGGCGTTTTCAACGTAATAGTCTGCCCATCGAAACCTTTTTGGGCCAGCATGGGCCGCCATTCTTTAGTTACTCAGAATAGCACAGATCATGCTGGCAACGACACTGGCAGAGATATCTGTATTCGTCACAACAGATGCAGGCATACTCACTTGCGGGCCTCAAAACGCCAGTCATTGTCACCATGAGTCTATTCGTGGGTCGGTCGAGTGCACTTGTGCGGTGGTCGGGTGTTGCCGTCAGCCACTTTGCCGCCCCGTAAAGTTCATCGCTCAGCCGGAGTTGAATGACTTCACTGTGGACATCTATCAGCGCCGCCAGAACATCATACTTAGAAGGGCAGAACCAAGTCCAGGTAGGGTATGTCGCTGTAGAGCGGCGTTCGAAAATGAATGGGCACTGTACGGCCGCTTGACATCCGGAGAGAGAAGGCGGGATGCGGCACAGCAATAGTGCCAGTAATAAGTTCCCGTGATATTTAGCCACAGAAACGTATGCTCCATACTGATCGTCAGTACCTGAAAGCCGCCCGCGCCGCATACTTCGGGCGGTGACTTCGGAAGCAACAGTCCGAGAGACTCCAAGGTTTGCTTGAACAAGTTGAATAGATTGAACCAGATAGCCTTGTATGTCTTGAGTTCGCGGGCGAGCAGCGACTGGTACAGTCCTGCGTTCGTACTGTGGCGATATGGAAGAAGGCAAGCTGTCCGCCGCCACCGCGCGGCCGGATCGACACGGGCGGCGTGTGAACCCGGTGTACCCGACCCCGTGACTTGCTCTCCGACGCGCTCGGGGCAGCGAGCGCTCTTGTTCGCGCCCACGGTGAGTGACGCTTCAGGGCTGATATCCACTCAGTTCTTTACTTAGAAGGATAAAATAGACACATGAGCACTGAATGTCAGGAAATGGGTACTTTTCTGAAAGAGAACCTATCAAATCCGACGTTAATCTCCGCGATGCAGGTGATAGAGGACCTTCCGGTCTCCCGGAAGCCCCGCACCGCTGAGTCTGCACCATAGCCAGGTCCTTCCCCTTTAGCTCGTTTTCACGTTCCTGTGGCACATATATGCTACTACAAGAAGAGAAGGGTGATATGTAGCGAAGCAGGGTGGCGCTGAACCTATCCATATCCCTGGGAGCTGTAGTCGTTTGACAGCCGGAGAGGAAGCCGAGGAGCCATGCCGCCAACGGAAGAGAGCAAGCATGACTAGGGCCCTGTGATCTCACTTACGCATCATCCTTCAGCGCGCATCGGATATTGGTACACCTCAACTTAGGAGCGTTCACGCCGCAAACACTTCATCAGTACGAGCAAGTTCAGGATCCTCGGACGAGTTAGAGAACCAAATCTCTTAACTCTTCGACATTTTGCTGGTGATCCAGTCGGGGCACATATACCCCGCATTTTAAGAACATATCTGCCAAAAGATGATGCACCATCATCACAGTTCTGACGCGAGCGAACTTGAAAGGACTTTGAGTATATACAAATACTGTCTAACAATTCGAAGGAACCGTTGCATCGTTGACATGGTCCTGAGCGTTGACACCGAGTCCTCTGCTCGCAAATGCTTTCCAGAGCGTGCATTTATTTGCACCTGCATAGCGGTTTGCATCGGCCTGGATGATGGCGTCGCGCGCGCTGAGGACTATGGGGAACACGGATCAGGACTTGGATCAAGGACGATCGCCAAAGAAGGAACTTACAAGTCGGATTACACGGTTGCAACGGGAGGGCATCAAGCATGAGGTGCATAAATACAACGTTGCCCTCCGTGCCGCTCGCGTCGGTCTTCGCAATCGTGGAGAAGCCCAACGCATCAACGAGCGCGGCAAGAACATTGTGTAGTATGTTGGCCCAGACCTCGCCGATGTCTGCGGATAGGTCAGACTCCACAGGTGGCAGTACATGTGGGGAAGAACGTACCGTGAACTTCGGTCAGCGTCTGTAGACTACTGTAGTCCAGCGGGTTTGTTGTTGCTGAGCGCGAGTACGGGTACGAGCGGTATCCATCCGACTGGTTCGTCACATACTGACCTGATCATGTAACTACGTTCAGACTTACAACGTAAACAGTGAACCAGCAGCATGTGCGCACCCATGATAAAGTCATCGATCTTAGAGTCATTCTCAAGCCAGTCCGCCATTGCATCCGACCAGCCCTCGCCCATACCACCGGCTTCGGTCGCCTGTAAGCAGCTAGCAGTGCCGCCGCCAGTCATGCGGTTCGTAATGCCGTGGGTTGCCTCATGAGACACAATGTCATTCTCGAGCGCGCCGTCACGTTCAGGCTGTACATCCAATGAGCATCAGTGAAGTAGCGCCCAAACGAATATCACTACACACGTTGGTGTAATCCCATAGGAACATGCGCATGATCCCACTCATGCCATCCGGGAACGTGGTGAATGCAGCGTTATCTGTCCCGAGGGAGTCTTGCACGCTGATCATGACACGGTCGCCGCCCTTGCCACCCTTGCCCTGGTTGTCGTTTTGGAAGTTGTACGCCGCCTCCGTGAAACCGTAGAGATAGGAGATATCGTGTACTGTGTTCACAACGTAAAAGGCATTGACGATAGCGGCGTTTACGTTCTCAGTAGTAGTTGGGTCTTGTGTGGGGTCGGCGGTGTAGACGAACGAGCCGGTGGAAGTCTCTCCCGCAACAGCTGATGCATCCGATTTGTATGAGATGGCATTGTTGCCGCTGCGAGCCGGTCAACTTCGTCAACTACAGGAGGAGATAAACGGAACATACGCGGTGTCAGAGTCGGTCACCCAGCCAAGCGGTGATGACGCCGCGTTCTCGGGATCTTGCAGATCCTGGAAGCCCTGAGTGATTATCTCTTCCTGAATGGGGAGAACGCGGTACTATGCCAAGGGTTAAGGTTAGAACGCGGCCGGGTCATTGTAACGTATCTTGACTGACAGTGAGCTGCGTGACAAAGTTCACGACCGATACTAGCTTATTGGTGTGCGCGTCAACAAAGGCGTCAACCGCGATCCCTTTTGCGTCGTCTTGAATTCGCACTACATGCGTGAGGGCAATGGAACCGTCGGACAATGCAAGATACTGCAATAAAGACGTTTGATCACTAGCAGAGGCGCCCAGAGCGGCCTCTGCTGTTTTGATCGCATCTTCCACGGCCACAGACGGAGTAGATGGTGCAATGGCAGCTTGAAAAGGACGTTCAGCGTAGAGAGCGCGAGCAGGATCAATATGGACTTACACGTATCGACGAAGGAGCTGCCGAAGGAGGTCACTTTGCCATCCTTGTTGAATGCAACATTGGCAACAGCGTTAGCGAAAGAGACACCATTCTGTGCAATGATGGAGGCGCATGTGAGTCGGCTAGTCCCGTGAACGAATGTGATGGACGCACCGCTTGTTGCTTGATGAACGCATGGTGGGTCACGTCGGCGGAGTAGCCCGTGTTGTATTGTATATCATCCGCGCTGACATCGAGCTTGGAAGCCGTGAAGGACTTCGCTGCGCTCTGCAGATCGAAGCCGTCCCGCTTCGCCAACGGATGGTCGATACCGTCCGTGCCATACGTCTAGCAGCTGCAGCTCAGTGGTGTGCGTCTACCTTCACAGTGGGCGCGTACGTACCTCGAACTTTGACGCTGGGGCGAAGGACTCGATCTGTAGAGCTGATTCGCCCCGACCGATGAGGTGAACACGATGTGTTGCGTGTTTCGCGTCCGTGGGCCAGGGTGCAGCCAGCGAATATGGCGAGAGGGCAACCGCAGCGAGAACAATCTGTAGCAGCTTCTGGAAGGGCAGCATGGCCGTGAACAGGATGTCCGTGGGGGATCCTGGGGATGCAAGAGCAGGATATCCTCTAGCTTTATGCGTGCTCTTGACCTCGTGCAACGAGCCACGCATGTCCTCGCCGGTTAGGTAAGTGCACACAATCCATACAGGCGCGAACTCCGGACTGAGCCAGGGCTTCGTGATCGACCAGGATCGCCCGCGCTGCGTGTGCCTTTGCATATGGCCTGCCGTGTGCGCTCTTGTAGACACAACGTTGTAAACGCAGAGGCAGCCCGCAGACGCAAACAAAGAGTCTGGCATAAATTATATCTCAGCGAAAGTGCGGGGCCTGGTCATGCGGTGCATTCGAGCAACAGATAATAGCATGAGGAGGGCGTTGCGTGCTGAATCGTGAACAGTGATTGTTCACGCACTGCGCAATAATCTTGCGGCTATCGAGGAGTAAAAAGCGCATCGTGCTCGTCTTCAAGTATCGCTGAGCTGTAGAGGGCACTGTTAGATTGGCAACATGACATAGACCGTGAACGCTCATGGTAGTCGGCGCGAAGGTCAAAGACTCGGCGCGCGCGCGAATGCGGCATCTCGGCCCGGGTTTGCCGAGACTTCCTATTGGCGCATTGTTGCGAACACAACGCCAACTTACACCACCACCACGACATGAACATGCCTAACTCTGGCACTGCTACAGACCCAATACTTGTTGAAGATGGCTCTCACCCCGAAGCAAACTCCGTGACATTACCAACGTCTCTTCCTTCCAAACCAGCAACGTCCAAACCTGACAGGCGACCTCGCAAACCGAAGCCGCCTCCGGAGCCCATCCGACTGAATGACCTTCATGCACCCTGGCTGGAAACTATACCCTCCTCATCTAGGACAAGTGCTGAACGGTGCGTTATCTGGTATCTCTTCTAGACTCAATGCTGAATATATCATATAGCATGCTACACGAGGAGATAGCGGCATATCAAGCTTATATGGCACCCACACCCGCGGAACGAACTCTTCGTGAGACTGTCACACATAGGCTAGTTGCGTCAATCAAGGGGAGACTCAGAGATGCCCGTGTCTACACGTACGGAAGCTCCGCGACAGGATTGTCGTTGCCTAAAGGGTTCGTCTCCTATGTGCGTTCAACCCCGGGCCCTCGTTGACCTGAGACACAGGGATATAGACATGGTGCTGCAGTCGGGCTCGTCCAATGACGAGCAAGGCAATAAGAGTAAACTATTCCAGCTTCGAAACACCCTCACTCGCGATGGTGTCGCCGCGCAAGCCTTCGTCGTCACGCGCGCCAGACATATGGTCATGAATGTGGAATGTCCTGCTCATCTCGGCTCATACAAGGCCGACATATCCATCAACTCGATGGACGGTGTCGACGCTGTGGCTCTCATTAATGACCACGCCGTTCAGTGGCCAGCGATACGCCCGCTCGTTATGTTCTTGAAAGGTTTGCTTGCTCTGCACAAACTTGGATCTGCGGCTTCTTCTGGACTGAGCAGTTACGCGACCATCAGCATGGTCATAAGCTTTCTCCAGGTATGTCTGGTTCATGCTCTTTATATTCTGAAGCTAATGCTCGTTCAATAGGTGAACCCTTATGGACTACCACAGGCTTCCATCAAGGATCCTATCAAAACCCACTCTCTGGGTACTCTCCTTCTGCAACTCTTGCAGTACTACACTAGCGACTTCCCATACGAAACCTCCTACATCTCAGTGCGCGAAGGCGCAGTACTTTCGAAAGAAACCAAGGCGTTCAATCCGCCTCGTCAACAATCTGACGCCTTGGTCATTGAATGCATGGTCAACCCAGATATCGACATCGCCCGTGCGGCCGGCAGGATGAAGCAGGTTCGCGAGCTATTTGCGGAGACAAGGAGAACCTTTCAAGAGGGTCTAGTTGCCGTGCAGACGGCTATCGACGCTGGTGTTTTGTCTGGCAGTGTGCTCAAGAAAGTTCTTGGCGTGTCTCAAGAGGTACGTTCGTTCTTGACATGTATATTCGCTAGGCTGATGGCCATGACAGTTATTAGACTACCGCATGCGTGTTACACAGCTAGTTGCTTCACGCCAGCACCTCCGTGACGACACGCTACCTCAATCCCGCCGTGACTCCTATCAGCCCTATTCTGGCGGCTCAGGCCCTCGAGGAGGCCCTCAAGGCGGGTCGCTGCTCAATCGCATCGGGGGCTACTCTCACACTGGCTCTTCCTACCGTTCGCGCGATGACCGTGACGATAAACGATCATACTCTTATCAGAGTGCCAGGCCGTATGGCTCCGAATCGTTAAACCAAGGTCGTTATTCAAGTGGTTATTCAGGTGGATATTCCGGTTACGGTCGTCGTTAACATGTAGCCTCAATGTTCCTCGGATGTCACCTATCGTTCATGCATGTTGCTATCTGTTGCTATGCCGTTGCTTTCCTCTGCTATTGTACTATTCATGTATGAACCCTAAAGAAATGCGACACCCGTAACTCCTCAAGAACCAGTAAGATCGAGACTGTATCTATAGAATGTCTGCATCAGCGTCCCAAGCACTAGAGGCGAGTATGCCAAGATGCTCACGTCGCGGGCACGTCGCTCTGCTTGAGCCCATCCACCTCGAGCGGGATTCCAAGCTCTCCGTTGATGGTCAGGAGCCTGAGATTCGCATCCGCGTTGAGGATGTCTAGGTACCCGAGCGGTATGATATCGAGACTGGCGATAGCGCCTTGCACGAGGATCACGTTCCCGAAGACGCCGGAGGATGCGGTGCCGAGCGCCGGGACGACGAGCTTCTGGTCCGATGGGAAGGTGTGAGAGAAGGACGCGTAGACGGTGTTGTTCACTCCGGCGTCGGTGCTGATCGAGTCGATGGTGAGTTCAAAGGGGAGGGGGTTTTTGACTACAAGCGAAGGGGCCATAAGCTGTCACGGAGCATTGCGTAGGGAGTGATCTTACCCGTGAAGTCGACACTGTAGATGTTGTCAGTCAGAACCACACTCAGGGAGCAGAGCCCTCTTAGACGTACGAGACTAGGTTGTCGACGAGGGTGTCAAGCTGCACATGCGGTGTAAGCTCTTCCGGTTCAGAAAAGGAGGGCCATTGTTCACCCACCGTAATGAACGTCGATATGTTCGTGACAAGGCCCACTCCGAGCAGGTTCAGGATCTCTCCGATCGCAATGCCTCCAATGCTCTCCTCCGGACTAGGAGTAGTGACTGGCACTGCGACTGCACAAGCCGCGAGTGCAAGGCCAGAAACAAGAGAAGACGTGATCCTCATGCCGGTTGCAGTGATGAGCTTCAAGAACGTCGTCGCCGCCGCGCCGACCTTCCCCGTATTCGCCTCCCCCGTATATAAAGCCCTGGCCAACGTTAAAATGGCCAGGGCGAGCTGAGTACGACGTGATGCCAAGGAAGCAGCAGCGAGTCTGGAGAGAAGCTCCTAGCTGGGAAACTGTCGTGAATCATAGCGACTGTAGTGAGCATGAGAAGATGTTGCGCGTGGGCAGGAGATGCGCGCCTACCTCAGCTGACCGCGTCTGCGCTGCCGGTGGGTCTTGCAGCACTAACAGAATGCAGTTTGAGGAGGATTGTTTGCGCATATCTCCCGTCGTGACTCTAATGTCGAGGAGAATAGGGAGTTCCTCCGGGCTCCCAGCAGGACTTCAAGAGTCAGCATAGTACGACAATAGTGAGCCGCGAGTGAATAGCCGCCGTTAGAGTTCAAACGTTCGTCATTCGTCGCCACATCATCGTTGTCGAGGCGGCATCGATGAAGGGCAGAGCCCGTGCAGGTCAAAGAAGGCGACCTCGAGTCCTGTGAGCGGTAAGCTGACCCTTTCAGAACATCTGGACATGTGGCGCACGGCCGCTCGTGGCCCGGACTGTGATTGGATCCGGTGGCAGCACGGGGAAGATGCGGATTTGTTGATCATGGTCTGAAGCAGTGGCTTCTGTGAGAGCAGACTTGCAACAAGGAAAGCGGTATCGAGCAGGATGAGATGGAGAAAATGTACTTCAGAGCCTGTGCGGAGGTCCTCACACCTGCCCGGTGCCATCACGCATCAAAGCGGCGTTCACAGCGGCAAAAGTATATCCAAAAGAAGCACGTCCTCGACCGCCGAGGATATCAGATTGCAAGGCACAGGCGACATAGCAAACGCACATCTCCAGGGTCAACAGATGTGGTACAGTGGTCTATGGTCATGAAATGGTTGAGGGCCCTTGACGGTCATCGTGGTCAGAACGAACGTCATGGTCAAGGACAAAGCGCGAGTCTCGGACTGAGCGCTACTTTGGCCGCGAGTGTGATTTATAGGCCTGACCCACTTCCGACGGTCACCCAGCCCGTCTCTGCTTGCTTCTGACCTCCAACAGCTCATGTCGACAGCCGCAGGTATGTATCTATGTGTCATATATAAGATACCAAGCGAACTGAGCGGCATAGTTGCGATACCGCAGCCGGCGACTCCGAGCTCGTCCCGAGTGCACTTCCCGGCGTCCAACGGTGAAGACGGCTCGCCATCGACGACTCCGAACTCGACGCCCGTCCGGCCACCCTACCAGCCATTCCGGCGCATCTCCCTGCCGACGGCTCCTCCGAACAGACTATCGCTCGTCAGCGTTGCCTCGACCGACTCACTGCTCGAAGATCCACCGAGTCTACCTGCGGCCACACCCTCTCCCAGTCGGAGCCCGGCGCGCAGGACGCGTTCGCGGCCGACATCTGTAGATCCGAAGAAGGTATACAGGAAGACCGAGCTCAAACCTGTCAACGAGGAGAGGGAAGATAAAAGGCGGAAGGTTATCGAGGAGTTCTACGAGACGGAACGGACGTATGTTCAAGGATTGGACTTGATATATTCGGTGAGTTGTATCTCACATACTACGGGCGTATCTGTCTCGGGACCGTGCTTCGCTGTCCGTCTGCCCGCTCTCGTCCGCCCGAGTAAGCTCTTCTCCGCCTTCATGGAAACCGGACACACGCCGCAGGCTATTCGGCTTCGTCTTTTCCCGTTGCACTCAAGAAGCACTGGCCGATCATCGCCGGCGGACCACGTCGTGCAACATGCATGCCAAAGATGGCTTTATGACAGCTTCTCTGCCTGTCCAGTGCGGTAGAATATCCAATATTCTATACCGGAAGTCTAGTGCCCCTATTCCCGGCTTTGGCGCGCGGATCCCGTTACACGCTGATGCTGATGTCCATACCTTTGATAGCATTTCCTGGCACCAATAATTGCCTCACTGGAAACCTCGCACCCTCTACTCGACCGCTCAGACCTCACAGCCGTATTCTCCAACTTCATCGACATATGGAACCTCCACCGCGCCTTCTTTTCATCCTTGACCGAACATCTCCGACCATTCCTACACTCAACATCAAATCCGCGCGATCCGCCGCCACCGATGTCAATGCTTCTACTCTCGCACTTCCCATACTTGTCGCTTTACACACCATTCGTCACCTCGTTCCACACGAGCGTCAGCAGCTTGATGAGGCTCTTGACGACCAACACGACCTTCTCGAGTTTTGTGGCGAAGCAGGAGGCCGATCCGGCGTGTGGGAAGCTGAAATTGAGGGATTGGCTTTTGACGATCGTGCAAAGATGTCCGCGGTATTTGCTTCTGCTGAAGGACTTGATCGGTTGTACCGACGCGGATGACCCGGAATGTGCATCTTTGACGGCGGCCCACACGCTCGTATCTAAGAGTGAGCATCACTCTACTTCGACCTGTCCACGATCCAACTAACGTACTTGCATAGTCACTTCTTCGCTCAACGCATCCCTACACACGCACGCCCAGACCCTCGCTCTTCTCGCCCTGCAACGCAGCACACCCAACCTCCCCTTCCAACTCATCTCACCAGGCCGAACCTTCCTCAAACGCGGCACCCTCGGCCAATCCGAACGCGGCGCCCCAATACGCGCCCGCGAATTCCTCCTCTTCTCCGACTGTCTCATATGGCTTGAAGGCGATCACAACGCCGAGATCAACGACAAGTGGGACTGGGGCGGTATTGGAGGAGGGAACGTCGGAAAGGCGAAACCGGGGTCAAGGCCGCAGATGTTGCGCTCGCGAAGTCGGTCCGAGGCTGAGCTCTCGCGTATGCTTGGACCGCGACCGAAAGCGCGGCAAGCCAGCAGTGGTGCAGGAGAAGAACGGTGGTGGTACCGCGGGTCTGCCGAGCTTGTCGATCTTGAGGTTGTTGTACCGCCCTCTGTCGAGCCTGAAGACGATACGCGCTTCGAAGTACTCAACCCCGAAGGCTCGTTCGCTGTCTATGCCGATACGCTGGACGCTCGAGATGAATGGGTCACCGCGATACGCAACGCCAAGTCATCGCTATTTGTCACGCTCAGCGCTACGCATCCCAACACGACTTTGACGAGCTCGGCGTCAAACGCGCATATCCGGCGTACGCTGCAGGCCTTACCGCATGCGCCGGGTGAAGAGCCCAAGGACTCTAGGAGAGGACGGGTGGAGCACTATGTGCCTGCGGTATGGATACCGGATGCGAAGACTGAGGCGTGTATGCGGTGTGGGAAACCATTCGGGTGGAGGAGAAGGAGACATCACTGCAGGCTCTGTGGGCGCTGCGTCTGTTCGGGGTGTTCGGGAAGTGTACGTGACCCTTCCTCATATTGTACTCTGGGGGTAATGTGCTGACGTATACCAGACGTTCTTCATAGCAGATGTCAACGGCAAAGGCAAGCAGTCGAGCAAGCCGGCTCGCGCATGCGATCAATGCTACGAGACGGTCTTCCCTCTCTTGCATGAGCCTGAACACGACGATGATGAAGAGCGTCCACCCGCTCCGACCCTCACCCTCGCTCGTCTTCCTCGTCTCCTCAACGCACCACAACACGCTACAGCCCGCCCCGCCTCTTTGCTCATGGCGATCGACTCGCCTTCCCGGCGACCGTCTGAACTGTCCTTCTCGGCTTCCTCGGCCGACGCCCTGAACGACTCGACGTACTCCCTCAATGCAGGCGCCACACCCGAACCTCTACCTTCTCCTTCAGGTGTCGTGCGCTTCAAGTCCTCGACTCGTCCGAGATCGTACCATCAGATCCTCGAGGATTTCCACACGCCCCCTCCCGCCACAGAGATACCTGTCAGCCCCAGCGGCGCATCTCTTCTGGACAGTCAAACCGAGAGCGAGCTCGAAGCCCCGCCGAGCCCATCTCCGCGCGAGAACACAGCACGGAGGAGGAAGAGGTTCTCGTTACCTGCTGTGGCGTTGCAGACTACGGCTGTGACCGCTCATGCAGGCGGGCCGAATGCGGGCGGGAAGAGGTTCTCGCTTGTGCTTGGGTCTAGGAGGACCGCTACGCCTACGAGCGAGAGGGAGGATGTTGCGAATGGGCGGTCAAGGGAAGACTCGGTGGTGAGCAAGCTGAGCGAGCTGTTGGGGAGGAAGGGGCGTGCGGAGGTGAATATCTAGTTCACGTTTTCATATCTTTTGCTACATTTATTCTCGGAGATACGCTCGCACTATTACTACCAGTACTGCATCTATCCATCTTTGTACCACCAGACACATCTTAGACATCGGACTCATTCATGCCTCATCACGATTCGCTTCATGTAATACCTTTGGGTATATATCATCATTATTTCTGTGCAATTTCATTGGGATCATCCGGGCGATAATTGGTATCGATGTCGGCGAGGATGAGCTGGGAAGAGCTGTGGTACAATGTGAGGATGGGTAGGTAAGAGTACAATGTTGAATGGACTACTACGACGCTGTTGAGAGCGAGCAATGACAGGTGGTGCGAGAGCAAAGCAGCAAACGGGAGCGAGATGGACTGATGCATCTAGGAAAGCATTCAGAGGATCTGGACCTTCGGCCACTTGTACTGCGGGCCGACGAGCTGCACAGACATCGAGCCCATCTTGTGGCCAGCCTCAACGCACTCCTCGAGGCTCTTGCCCGAGACAAACGCGCCGACGAAGCCGCCAGCAAAGGCATCGCCCGCGCCGTTTGTGTCGACGATCTCCGAGTCAGCAAGCGCATGCACCGGGAACACCTTCGGCGCGTCGGGTGCATCGCCAGAGACGACAACGGTACTCTGGGGACCCTGAGTGATGACAGCGATACGCGGGCGCGAGGAGTTGTTCTTGGGCGATGTGGCGAGCGCACGAGCGATGGCCGGGATATCGTCGACGCTGGCAAGACCGACGGCGCCGGCGTATGCTGCGGCCTCGGACTCGTTGCAGATAATGATGTCAGTGTAGGGGAGGACCTTCTCGAGCTGGACCTTGAAGAATTGCGGGATGAAAGGCGCGGACAGGTTCAAGATGAAGGTCTGTGATGGCGCGGAGATCAGTTCGGGCGCGGAAGCGCTGAGGTTGGGAAGAGAGCTACCTTGGAAGCGGCAGACGCCTTGGAAGCGAGATCAAGCGTGCTCTCGGTGCCGTGCGTGAGGAAGAAGCCTTCTACGTAGTATGCCTTAGCACCGTCGATGAGCTTTGCAACCTCGCGTGTCTCGAGCCACGACTTCTCGAACTTCTCTGCGGCACGGAGGGTGGTGACGAGCGAGCTGCACACATGTTAGACTTCGCATCGCGCATAGCGCTATAATATGAGACATACCGGTTATGGCCAGTGATGACAACGGCGCAAGCACCAGTCTTCTCGCCCTTCTTGACGAGGTAAGCCTCTTGGAGGCCCTCGCGCTTGTTGGCAGCCTTCAGCTGCTCGGCGAGCTCATCATCACCGACGCATCCGGTGTACACAACGGATCCCTCAGGGAGAACATACTATGTGATGATCAGACTCGGCATTCAGAGAAATGATAGTGATCTGAGCACTTACTGCTGCACCGCGAGCGGCGTTCTGTGCAGCTCCACCGGCGAGGTATGCAACCTGGTAGTCCTTCACGACCTCATCGTAGCTATGATGCGTTAGCATAGTCTATGTCGTAGAGTACGTGACACGTACATCGGGGCGTGCTTATCCTCAGCGAGAATAGCATCGTTCGCCTTGAGCTCGTACTTCTCCAGCAACTTCTCGCCGTTGGTGACCTGCATATCGAGCAGGGGGTTGCCCATGCAGAACAAAATCGGTGACGACATTTTGGTATGGACGAAGTTGGAGGGGATATGGGAGGGACTGGTGGGGGTGCAAACACAAGGAGATCGAACGAGATCCAGCCAGCCGTCTTGTTGGTTTCGGATTTTTATGATCTCGCGCCTCGAGGAAGACGCGCCACAAACTCGTTCGTTATTGACGAAAGATCGTGTATGACTGCAGATGCTATTACGCTATTACTAACTACGTGTCTATATTTCTAGGAAGGTCTGAAAACACGAAGATCGCTCTAAATATCTACAATACGCGTATCTACGCGCTAAGCGTCCATGTGAAATACTACGGATAATCTCTAGCCTCTATACCACACGACAATCTACTATAATCCTTCACCTTCAAGATGAGACCATCAGCACACGAGGCAGCCGAGTCAAGTTGGATCTACTCCTGCCCAACGCTGGGATCATACTCGTACCGTGGGTACACAGGTACCCACTCTCTGGCCTTAACCTTCGCGCGCACATCATCAACGCCGAACTCGACGTCCGCAACACCCTCCTCGATGGCCTGTTCAGCCACCGCAATGGCGACTTCGAAGTTCACCTCGGGCGCGACGGTGATGTCGGGGAGGAGTGCATCGTCAGGGTCCTTGAGGGCCGGGGAGAGGGAAGCAAGACGACGCGCGCCGGCGAGGATCATGCCATCTGTGACCGTCCTGGAGCGCGCGACGACTGAACCTAAGCCCAAACCCGGGTATATAAGAGCGTCTAGAAGCAAGCATTAATACTGTGAAGAGGTTTGACAGCAAGGCGACACGCACTGTTACACTCGGCAATGATGTAGTCCTTGCCGCTAGGCATCTTCGCTGGCGGGAAAGGGCTTCCAGTCGCCAATAACGCCTTGCCGTGCGTCCACTCGTTCGCGAGCTTCGGGTCAACCTCAACCAGCCGACTGGGGTTGGAAAGGGGGAAGATGATCGGCCTCTCAACGCCTTCGGCCATAGCCTTGATGACCTCCTCCGTAAATGCTCCAGCGTGCGTCGAGCATCCGATGAGCACAGTCGGCTTGACGCGCTTCACGACCTCGAGCAGTCCAACCTCGCCCTTCTCGTTCTTGTTCGCGTCTTCCCACTCCTGAGAGGGGCGAGCAAACTCGACGTGTGCGGGGCGCATTTGATCTGGGCGGAGGGACTGGGTGATGAGGCCGTAGCGATCCATGAGGTAAAAGCGGTTGTTGGCGTCTTCAACGGGGAGACCATCGATCTCGGACATGGCGTTGCGGATAGCGTGGGTTATGCCTAGACCCGCTGAACCTGCGCCGTAGATGAGGATACGCTGTTCAGAGAGTTTCGATTGTGTTACGCCGATAGCGGACATGAGAGCCGAGAGGGTGACGGCGCCTGTGCCCTGCCTATTGGATAGTCAGTCGGTGTACTAGCAGAGTTATATAGCGGACGTACACATCATCATTGAAGATAGCATGCTGGTCCCTGTACTTGTCTAGGATGCGCTGGGCGTTCGATACACCAAAGTCCTCGAAGTGGATAAGACAGTGCGGGTTGTGCTTGCGGACGATCTGGATGAACCTAGATGGCGCATATGAGAACCGTTGCCATGCAATGCTATGCTATGGAAGGGTGAAACAGTACCTGTCGATGAAGATGTCATAGTCGCGACCGCGTACACGCTCGTGAGGCCATCCCTACGAGCGCTTATCAATCTTGCAGCATGGCTGGAAGCTTAGATGACGGAGCGTACGACGTAGAGAGGGTCACTCCTCAGCGCTTCGTTATCCGTGCCGACGTCAAAAGCTACCGCCAACGCACGAGATGGATCGACGCGTCCGATGAGGGTGTAGATGGTCGATTTTGCCGTCGCAATCTGGAATGGCAGTCAGCTGTGTTCATTCATCTCAAAGAGATGAGATCACGAACTCCGATTCCACCGATTCCTTGGTCGCCGATACCGAGAATAGCCTCTCCATCGCTACACACGATGAGGTCCAGTTCCTTCCCCTTCGTCTGCTCGAGGTAATCCTCTTCCATGGTGTCCATATTCGTGAAGGTCAGGAACATGCCCTCGCTCCGTCGGAAAAGATGCGAATAGTTTGCGATGGCGTCAGCCTGGGGCAAAAGAGAGCATCAGTAGCTGAGGGGTGTACAGCCGAAGTATAACGCACGGCGGTCGGGGTGTATACAATGGGCACGAGCTCCTTGATATGCCTGCTCAGAAGACCATAGTAGAGCACCCAGTTCTGATCCTTCAGACTCTGCAAGAACGAGCTCTTCCGGAGCGGGGTGTCGCGTGCATGCAACTGCTCGTAGGCGCGTCTACACTGGTCATCCAGCGTGTTCACCCTCAGCGGCAGCCTCCCAGTCAACCCAAATTTCCAACGTTCATGGTTCGTAAACGCGGTCCCCTTGTTCCAGCGCGGCTGGGTCAGGATTGTGTTGCCGCGCACACCGACGCGCACGGTTGAGTTCGCCGCCTGCGCGAGCTTAGACTCGGTGGCATCCCGGAGATTTTGTACGGTCTGGCCGAGAGGTGGGATGTGGCGAAGGGCTTTGGTCGTCGGGAAGGACCGACGAGGTAGGACGCGCATGTCCGTCTAGAGTAAAGAGTGAACGCAGCTACTCGAGGCTGGGAACGGTGGCAGTCTCTAGCCGCCAAAAACAGAACACGAGTATCAATCAGGGGAGAAACGGGTAGGAAGCAATGCTGGTGCGGCGCGGGTGCACACTGCTTTATATACGGACGTGCCGTAAGTTCGCTAAAGCCTGGAACCTTTGAATGGAAATGAAAGGCAAGTTGGACGGCCGTATGTTTGCCACTCGCTGTTGCGCGTTTCAATGTGGCCGCGGTGGGCAAGACGGCGTCGAGGCGCGTTCGAAGACTCGGTTGTCGTGTGCCTGGCGGCCAGAACGCGGGACGTCATCACCGGGGCCGGCCTCCGTTCGGTGAACTTCGGGACCGTGTACGCTTGATCTCCGGGTCCGCCACAGTCGCATCCAATCTCGTCCCGTTCCACCATCTTATCGTTATCGATTGAACAAGTGCGGGCAGTCTATACTTGCACCCGCACAGGACCCGACAAACATCAACAGCGCCCTCGGCGACCCTGCACTATGTGACGTCGACGTAGGAATGGTAGTCTCAAAGAATCACAGTGCCAGCCAACCCTTGTCGGTTACTAGCCGTACAAGACCGTACCAATCAGCTTGCTATCGTGCTATCAACCGCCATGTCCGAAGGTCCCAGCGCCACGTACCGCGTCGCTCTGAGAGGCGAGGACATTCTCGAGCATCCTCGCTGGAACAAGGGCACTGCCTTCACCGACCAGGAGCGCAAGGCATTTGGGCTTGTCGGCAGGTTACCTTCGAGGGTCAATACCATTGATGAACAGTGCGCTCGGGCATGGGATCAACTACAGCAGCGCGACTCGCCTATACGCAAGAACTCGTTCTTGCAGAGCCTGAAGGAACAGAACTGGGTGCTCTACTATCAGCTTCTGCGCAGGCACCTCACGGACTTGATGCCTATCGTATACACGCCCACTGAGGTATACACGGCCCTGCATTTTAGCCCGGACATGAACTGACGGCCTTCGAGGCCGATGCTATCGCGGAATACTCGCATCTCTTCCGCCGCAGTGAAGGCTTGTACTTGTCTTTCCCCAACGAGGATTCGATGGAAGAAGACTACTTGGAGCAGACCCGCGGGCGAGAGATCGACCTCATCGTCTGCAGCGACGCTGAAGCCATTCTCGGCATCGGTGATCAAGGTGTCGGCGGTATAGGTGTTAGTAAATCCGTCCACATGCTATATCTTGGACATAATACTGACAAGAGCTCATAGATATCCACGGCCAAGTCTGTCATCTACACGTAGGTCACGATGCACAAGGGCATCACCCTAACGGTACTGACTCGGAGACTCACAGCTTGATTGGCCGCATGAACCCGTCGAAGTCGCTCGCTGTGGCTTTGGATGTTGGGACTAACAATGAGAAGTTGCTTAACGACCCTCTCTATGTTGTACGTGCATAATCTCCAAAAGGCGGCGGGTGATATCTGACTACACGCTTTATAGGGTTGGCCACAGAAACGCGTTCGAGGTGAAGCATACGACAAGTTTATCGACAAGTAAGCATGGCTTATAGGCTCAAGACCCTTAACTCATCTCTTCGATTATAGGTTCGTTCAACTCGTCCGGAAGCATCACCCGCATTGCCTCTTACACTTCGAGGACTTCGGCGTCACGAACGCTCAAAGGCTATTGGAGCTGTACCGCCCGCAGCATGCAGTCTTCAACGATGATGTGTATGTACACTCTCGGTTTGGCCTACTTTGCAGATCTGACGCGCATACAGACAGGGCACCGGCGCTGTTACGCTCGCAGCAGTCATGTCCGCTGTCGGCGTTACCAAGTCCAAGCTTTCAGACCAACGCTTCGTCGTCTATGGCGCCGGATCCGCTGGTCTGGGCATCGCACGCCAGCTCCGCGATGCTCTAGTCCAGCTTGATGGCGTGCCGGAAGAAGAGGCCAACAAGCACTTTTATCTCCTCGACAAGTTCGGCTTGATCAAACAAGGTCTCGGTCAAGACAAAATACGGCCTGCCCTCGCGAGCTTCGTCAGATCGGACGACGAATGGACAGACGCTCAGACAAACGAGAACGGCGAGGTTGGGCTGCTGGAAGTCATGAAGCGCGTCAAGCCGACCGTACTCATCGGATGCTCAACACACGCGGGCGCATTCACCGAGGATGTGATTAAGGCCATGGCAGAGGGAGTCGATCGCCCAATCATCTTACCATTATCGAACCCGAGTCGCCTTGTCGAGGTTGACCCTGCTCAGGCGAATGAGTGGACGAAGGGGAAGGCGCTATTGGCTACAGGAAGCCCATTCCCACCGGCGAAGATGCCCAGCGGTAAGGACTACGTCATCGCCGAATGCAACAGTACGTGCCATTGCACACTCTACACCGTTAATCTCATGTGCTGACCAGTCATACAGACGCCTTGATCTACCCCGGCCTGGGCTTGGGCACAGTCGTGTCGCGCTCCCGATCATTGACCGATTCGATGATCTTAGCCGGAGCCCGCCGTCTCGCTTCCCTTGCCCCAGCTCTGAAGGACCCCGACGATGCACTCTTGCCTGCTTTCGAGGACTCGCCGGAGGTCAACTTCGAGGTCAGTTGCGCGGTTGCTGAGCAGGCCATCGAGGAAGGGACCGCGGGCGTATCATGGGGAAAAGACGAAGTGCGCGAGCGCGTGAAGGAGTCTATCTGGTTGCCCGAGTACGGCAACTATGTGTACGATGAACAGGGCGAGAAGTAGAGACTACACAAGGATCGCGAGCTACGAAGAATCGTTTGGACGCCCGGACCTGAATGCAATGTAGAGCGTAATGTAACTCCAAGAAGTGTACGATAAGAGTTCCTTCCATAGCATACAAATGAATACCGTGATGCATGTAGACCTAATGAATAGCCGCAACAGCAAGATTAGTCCTCTCAACAAGCCCCCTAACCTTCCTCCCCAACCTCTCCGCCTCCAACTTCCTCGCCAACACCTGCGCCTCAGGCAACTTGCTCTTCGGCACCCATCCCCTCTTCGGCCTCGCACTCAGATCCACGATTTTCGGCGCAGCAGCGAACGCCACGACGCGCCGGAAGAGCACTTTGCGCTCTGTTACGAGCTCGCGGATGCTCTGCGGCCCGGGTGGTGTTCGGACGCCCTCTTCGTCTTCTGAGTCGCTGTCCGCCAGCGTGCTGGCTACGAGCGGTGGCGTGGTCGGTCTCGGTGATGATGGCGCCGGCAAAGGCGGCAGCGCAGCGATCTCAGCATGCAGATCCGCCCCGCGTAAGTACGCGTTCTCCGTCCTCAAGAACTTGACGGCTCCCCTGAACGCCTCGAGCTGCTCGAGCAGATAGCCCGTCTCGAGGCTTCCCTCTCCAAGCTGCACACCCTCTCCGTAGCCCATACCCATGCCAATACCCATCGTCGCCTCTTGCTGCTGAGCCTGTGCCGGCTTCTCGTTCCCAGACGGGACCGCAGCCTTGAGTCTGGCATTCTCTTGCTCCATGGCATCAAGATCGGCTTGAAGCTGCTCGAGCGCATCTTCGTAGCTTCTCTCCTGCTTCCGCGCCTGGGCGAGCTCGGCCTCGACCTGCTGGAATGCGTCTTGCTGCCTCTTCACGCCCTCCATTCTCCTCTCCATCAGCTCCGTCCTAACCCTCTCCTCCTGCAACGTAACATCGCGCGCCTTGAGTGTCCTCGCCATCGCCGTGAGCTCTTCAGAGAGCTGCGCGGCACGCCTTTCAGCTTCGACGTTCACAGCCAAGTTCGCTTTGATCTCCGCAACGCGCGTAGTCCAGGGCGGCGAGCCGGCAATCCGCACGACGTTCTCGCCTTCCATCGTAACGGGTAACAGCGCATTCGCGTCATTGATAAGCGCCGCCATGGCGCCTCCGAGCGCTTCCCACGGGCTTCCGACGTCTCTCCTAGTCTTCCCAACAGTCGAAGTAGCCGTTTCCCTCACAAAGCCCAGCACCTTGCTCAACACAAACGGCGCGTGATTCGCACGGGCGTCGCCAGCGTATGGCATGACTTGCTGCGCGAGCGAGATACCGAAGTTGAGCAGCTCGGCGGTGTGGTTCGTTACTGCTTGAAGTTCGGGTACGAGGTGCGACTTGAGGGCTGAGTTGTCGAGGATGAGATCTTCGATGCGACGTGTGAGACGCTTGGAGAGTGTCTTGGCGGACTTGGTATGGTCAAGGACGCGTTGCATTGGTTCGAAGAACTCTTTCTGCGGATCGAGGCCGGCGAGGTCCGATGCGAGCTCTGTATATATATTCGTTGGTTATCATAGTGGATGGGCGGTGAGGAAACAGCATACCTTCGTCCTTGAGGATATCTCCAACGCTCGTCTTCGCGGCCGCAATAGTTGCCATGTACATGTCCAGCTCCAAATCCAAACTCGCCACCACGCTCAACTCCCTCTCGCCCAGATCAAACTCAAATCCAGCGAAATACGTCTCGGCCAGATGTTCGAACTGCGCCATGATCTTGTTCACGTCCACGGCACATTCCATCTCGCGGAACTCTTCACGTCGGAGCAGGTCGATGTGCATGTCCACACGGCGTTCCATGGGCGCTAGTTCCGGGTAGAGGCGGCCGGCGTTTAGGAATGAGTCTGCATCGCAGCGTTTGAGTACAGCTGCAAAGCGCCTGCAGGAGACAGCCAGCGAGCCGATGGATATCCTCAACTCCGTGACACCGACAAGGGTATCGGTGACAGAACCACCCAGTATGTCCGGCAGACCATGAACTTGCGCGACGACGACGTTGATCAACTCGGCCTTCGCCGCCATACGCTTGAAGAACATATATGCTGCCACGGCATCTGCGTCTTGCTCATTATACAACGCGGGCAGATGCGGCGCGGTAATGCTCAACATCTCCTTCGCCTCCCTGGCCTCTAGCTTCGCCAGCTCCAGCTCAAGCGCCCGTGCATGAGCCTTCGAAGCGTGCGACTGCAGCCTGAGATTAAGCGCCATAGCTTGTGCCGTCTGGGAAGCGGCCACGGCGGACTCGGACTGGGCAGTCTGCGTCTGCGCACGTAAACCGTCGAGCTCCGTCTGGAGTTGCATGACGAGTTCGCGGAACTGCACGACCGTGCCCTCGAGGTCCTGGCACGCCTCGTTCAGCTCGTCGATCTTGCGCCCTTGAGCGTTGAGCTGGACGTCTTTATCGTTAATCTCGTCCTGCATCGCCTTCTCCGTCTCGACGTGATTCTCCTCAAGCTCGTCTGACAGTTCCCGCAGCGCTTCGAGATCCTCGATCGTTATGCGCATCTCCTCGATCTTCTCGCCTAAGAGAAGGTTGCGCTCGGTAAGTTGAACGAGCATATCTTCGGCGCCCAGTGCGTCATCCAGCTGCAGCTTCAGATCCTCGATCTGCGTATCGGCGTTCGTGAGCTTGATGTAAGCTGACTCGAGCTCGGCTTGCAACTCGTCGAGCGCCTGCACGTCCTTCTCCATATCTGAGATCCTCCTCCGCTGCTCCGCGTCCGTCTCCTGCGTCACATCCCTCAGCCGAATCAACGCTTCTTTCAAGCGAACATTCTGTTTCTCGAGTTGGATGTATGCGAGTGAGCCCGCGACGGCCGGGTCGACACCGCCATCTTCCTCCCCTTCTTCGCCCTCCGCATGAGGGTGGGTTCCATCCTTCAATACACCTAGTTCAACCTCAGCCACCGCTAGTCTCTCCTTCAACTCCTCCACCTCCTGTTCCGCCACTTCCGCCCTCTCCTCCGCGACTTCCTTATCTAATGCCGCCATCTCCAAGCTCTCCTGCGCATCCAACAATCGACTCTCGTTCAACTCTGCAAGTTGCTGTGCATCGGCCAACTCCCTCCTCGCCGCGATCAAGTCCGTTTGTTGTTGTGTAAGTTTGGCTTGCAGTTTGGGCCGTAAAGCGACGAAAGATTCGGCGTCTGATAATCGGGACTCGAGTTCACGGATCTGTCGAGAGTCGGTTTGTCGGTGGGTTTCAAGGACGCGGATCTTGGCACGGAGGGATTGGAGTTCGTCGTCTGCGGTTGCGAGTTTGGAGCGAAGTTCTTGAACTTCTTCGTCGTTTATCTATAGATTGTGTGGTCAGTATCTACTACCACAGTCAAAGACACGGGATGAACTGACGTGAACAGTCGGCTTTGATGGTGGTGCCACACCCTCCCCAGCATCGTCCGATCCATCATGTATAGGTGATTGCGACACCTGCAGATCGCTCCCCAGCGGCGAAAGCAGACTCGAGCTCTGACTAGCACCCGACACGCTCCTCAGCTGACTCGTCGTGAGCGGAGGCGAAGCCGCCCTCGGCTGCTCCCTTTCGCGCGGCTGCTTGAACGGCAAAGCCCGAATCGTAGGTGGTGCAGAGTCTCTGCTGCTTTCTCTGTCGAGATTCCGCGCAGAGACCGAAGCGGATAGGTTGGTGTCGATGACGGATGTCCGGCGCGAAGCCGCGGACGTCGCCGAGGTTGCTGAGCCTGCAGTACCTGTACGACGCAAGCCGCCGGGTGTCTGTACTACCGAAGCGCCCGGCCGCGTGGGTTTGGAAGGTGATGGCGGCGCGAGGGTTGATGAGGCGCCTAAACGGGAAGCGCGGAAGGTCGTCGCAGTTGCCGCCGGCGATGCAACTGTCTTGGACGGGCTGCCGGACCGGGAGGATGGCGAAGAGGGCTGGACGGATCGTAGAGAGGGTGTACGGGAGATGCCGTTACTCGGTGTACGGACATGGCCTAGTGACGGTCTTGCTCTCTGTATATATAGTTTATCAGCGTACATTCATAGCAAACATTCATACCAACGCACGCTCGGTCCAGGAGTGGGCTCCGGCTCCTTCACAATAGCGACCTGGCTCGGCTTAACGAATACGCCATAGTTCGCTTTACACTTGAAATACGCGACGCCTTGCACAGTTCCATCGTTTCGACCTTTAGCCTCGCTAAGCTCGACACCGATCCACTTGCCGACCTGAAACTGCGTCTGGCCGCTGAACCGAACAATGCCGCGCGCGCCTTGAATGTGCTTGATCTCGACTCGCGCGCCGACGGGTATTTCTTCGTTGGAGGCCATCATGTGGGTGAGCCCGCCCACCGCCTGTATATGGGTATACGAGATGAGGGTATGGGGGTTGGGTTGTGGCTTGCCAGGGCTTGCCGAGCTCGACGCGCGAACTGCACGACGCGCCCGTGGGTACGCGTCGGCATTGGCCGAGTACGCGCGCGGTCTTCGACTCGTGCCGACTTTGCCTTTGCTTCCTACCATCGCCAAACTACCGCCTTTAGCGGATGCAACCTTGAAGCTTAAAGGAAAAGTCTAAGTATGGGTTCTCTATGCACTCCCCGCCATACCGTATTTCCTTGATCATAGTAGTTGACGGACAATATCCAGCCGGTATAGAGAAGCTCCGGCTGCGTCTCAAAACTGCTATTACTATTAATAACGATGAAGGGTTCCTTCACTTGTATGGTGACTAGACGGGGAAGTCCGATTTGAGCCGCGCGGATGGTTGATGAATACTTCTTGATTGCATCGAATGCTCTCATGCTCAGGGCTCAGAATGTTTATGGGCGGCCACCGGCCAAAATTTTCAAGAACAGCATCTACAACGTGCATGACATGATCGTGACAGGAAACCAGGACGAGAATCAGAGCCGTTGCCGCGAGCTTGCGAATGTGCACACTGCGAGATTCGTCTCGTCAGCCATATTTGCACGAGACTAGCGAACGACATACGAACATACCTTAGTTCTTGTCCCAGGCGCCATTGCCCTTAACGGCGATCTCAACATCGACCTCATGCAGGAGAGAGCCGGTGAGCTTGGGCCCGTTCTTGATGGTCAGGACCACGTCGTCCTTTCCAACATGACCTGAGATCTCGTGGGCAGCGTTCAGCTGGTCGCGGTTATTGTACTCGAGTTGAAGCTTGGGGACCGTGAAGTCGGGAACGGATGGCTCCCAGACTCCAGAGTACGTGTGCTCATACTCCGTGCCATCGGCGTCCTTGATCGTGAAGGTACAGAGAAACTTGACGCCGTTGAATGCAGATAGCGTTCCGGTAACGACCTGAGGCATCTACGAGAGCTAGGTCAGCGGAGGCAATGAATGCGAGAGTGAAGAAGGCGTACATTGTTCGATGATGTGGATTCAGATGTGGTGAAGAGATGAGTGGCTTGCTGAGAGTACTGAAGGTCGAATGGGGCGGTATATATATACGTACAGGAGCTGGGCGGCTATGCATCCATATGTACGATAAACGCCCGCTTCCTGACTTAGCAATGCCGATTTGAGTGAGTATAGCAAAAAGGGACGTCTACCGGCAGCTCCGCTCCGGATGTCTGTCCTCATTGCCAGTCTTATGGCTCAACTGTCATTTATGCTGTGACTGATGCTCCTCGTAAAAGAAGCATAGCGGGCATATCTTGCCGTATTCAGCTTACATTAGTCACACCAACACCTACAGTCTCTCTATTTAAGGCAAGGTTTCACTTGATGCAAGATCTCCGTTGCTACTGCCAGGACGAGAGCAGATACTCGGGGATCCGTTGACATCGGCTGGATTCAAATGCCCCAGTCAATCGTCTCGCAGCTCTGTTGACGGTCTTCGAGCGTCTGCAGACTGTAAGCAGTGGAAAGATCTCCCTGCCATGACAGGTAACATCCAGCGCAGCGCCACATGGGGAGTCAGGCCGGCCAGGACATAAAGAGCGGAGATACTTAGTGTTGCTGGCTGGAAAAAACCTCAGTATCATGTATCTCTCCAGAGATGCTTAGTTTAGCCAATGAGCACTAGGTAAGCTCGTAGAGTTGGCTTGGAAACTCGGAGTATATGCTGCTCGATAATGATCATGATTCGCGGCGGGGAGTCAGACGTCTGTGAGGAAACCTGGAACGGTTTAAGCTGGCTCAAACTTGCACTCGACGTACGATTGCGTGGGAATCAGGCGGGCAGCAATTGTGAGCGCTCGACAGGAGGAAGGCAGGACGTCGATTAGAAAGCGTTGGGGTGACCGGTATTTCCAAGGACGTTCCAGCCTTCAGACAGGCTCGACACCACCGCACGTGGCAAGCACACGACTGCCACGCTGGATTCGAACCTTGGACCATGCAACCGTGTACTCAGTACTCAACTCTGGCATCCATCGTACATCACCCCATCGTGGTCTATTCACCAGTACTTGAAGCCAGAACAGTATGTCTGGACTAAGATCACTCCCAAATATGAATTTCCCTCGACATGACACATATCGCAAGCTCGCCGCATCGCGAATCTAGGCTGCTATATCAAACACGGCGTACTCTTGACGTAGCGTCTCGCCGTTGATTGATCCCTTCTCGCGTTATGCGGCTTTTGACCTCGGGGATACTTGCTCCGGGTAGCAACTGCAACTGAAATCGTGTTCGATGGCAGCCTGATCGTACGCGCTTGCCGGTCTCCGCACTTGTCATGGAAAAGTGTCACGGGTGGTGTCAGTACTGTACTGTGCCGTCGTTTGACGGAGCCAGGACGGACCTTTGCACTACCTTTGCATGGCCTCTCAAGCCGGCAAATGTGTCAGATGGGCACCGTTCCGATTGCTCGTCGTTTCTCAGTCTGGAATATGGAGCCGGCCAATGCTCAGATCCTAGTGCTTGTGTCTCTATATGGTGTGGTCTTCACCGCATGAACGCTCTACTGATGGCCAGCTTTCGAATAGGTTTTCAGGGAGGAGCATCATTCGAATTGTCTCAAAAGATTTCCGCCCAACTGCGTTATACGCACGGGAGGATGCGAATAGAGTCACACAGCCCAAGAGGTTCATATGTTCTGGGGCGCGACGCTGTCCATCCAGAACGCGCTCGGTGGCGCGGTGCTCCTTTACAACGACAGCGACTCTGCTGCACACGGCGTTGGTGGATACACTCCGCCGTGTCCGGACAATGGCTGTGCGCAAGCACTGGACTCACGAACAGGACCAGATTAATGAGTTATAAGCATGGCCACTGCTACGTGTAGTGATTGTGGCGTTAGCTTTTCGAAACTGTCAAGGCCACGGACCATGGAACTCGATACACCACACCTCGAACTGGTGTAAACAGTTCTGATTCTGGATCTGACAGGGATGATTCCAGTAACAAACTTCGATTTTCATGACAGTTAGACTCGCTAAAGATCTCCTTGCATTACCCAAGTCCGTGGTCTCGAACGTACACGTCTACCGCTTTCAACGCACGCCCGCGACGGCTGGATTCGAGACTACATGCCGGGCTCCTTACGTCCATCGTGCCATTGGTTGAACGTCATCGTATCTCCATTGCGCTATGTCTGCGTTGTCACCCTTCAAAGTCCACATATGTGGGCCGAGGTCATTCTTCATCAGAAGCGAGGCGGGTTTGAGCTGGCGAAGAAACGTGCATGTGTTCGCATTGCATTCTCCAACGGAAGCACAGGTTTCGCGCATCTCAATCATACACACTACACACGCCACGAGATCGTAGCTGGCTTCGCAGGCGATGAGGACCACAAACTTTTTATAAGACTGATCGCGGCCTCGTAAAGCGGATAGAACTACCATACAATATCAAGCGCGCACGCGCACCACAAGTTTCACAGCACTGATTCCGGCTTCGATCCTAGCAAGAGCATCTTCGATGCCCGTGAACCCATTATCAATGACTTCAAGCCTGGTGGGCTTGAATTATGTCAGCATGTATCCCGTTTAGGAGCTGCAGGACGGCGTACAGAGAGGAGGCCCTTCTCGAGCATCTCGCTCAAGGACAGGTACATTTCCGTCCCGAAAGCCTGATGGAATGGCGCGTTGATCCCTCCAAACGCCCTAACAAACCGCTTCCCTTCGCTGTCATCATCTCCTTGAGACGTGCCGGAAGGACGAGGCGCCATGCCTCCGGCGATGACCAGCGCTCCGTTGGGCGCGAGAACAGACCAGGCAGCCTTCTGTGACTCTTCAGTACAGATGGCGTCGTAGGCAATCTTTACTGGAATCTGTCCCACGATGGACCTGATAGTAGCGGGCACATCGGCGTACGGTACGTCGTGATAGTCAATGACGTGAGTCGCACCCGCAGCGAGGCAGTACTCTTCATTCGACTTCGAAGCAGTGGTGATGATCGGACCGAAACCGGAGAGCTTGGCCAGGCGCAACGCTGTGGCATATGACAGTCAACTCACGCGGAGGGCGAAGAGCAGGAGGCGCTAGCTCACCAAACTGGCCAACTGAGCTCGATCCTCTGAACACGATAGCCGCCTGTCCTTCATACTTTCCCATGCCATCCTCAGTCCAAGGAGGAGTAAGTCCGGCGCCGCCAACATCAAAGCCGTTCGGCAAGACCTGAGAGGACTTGGGCTTGTACATGCCGATTGCGGCTGTGGCGAGGCAGAGCGGCACAGTCGCGGCTTGCTCATACGTCAGATTGGGAGGGATCCTGCCAATGCGAGCTGCATCTGCGAGTGTGTATTCCTGGTAGGCTGAGCCATCCGAGGTTCCAGCACCTGACTGGTAGAAGCTACGCGTGCGTCAGAACAAGCAAAAAATGTATCATGCGTTGAGACGAGACATACACTCGGTCCCCGACGCTAAAGTTCGTCACGCCTTCACCTACAGCAGCGATATCGCCAGCGCCTTCCCTTCCTGCGACAGCAGGCCACTTATCGACCAGTAGGCCAAGCCTCTGAATGTACTGGTCGACGAGGTTGAGACCCGCGGCGACGTTACGAATTAGGACTTGGCCGGCTTGGACGGTGGGCACCGGGCGAGTACCGAGCGTGAAAGGAGCGCCTTTCTCATGAACCAAGAGGGCGGTTTGAGTGTTGGGTGCGGACATGATTGCGATTACTGTATGGCCTGGCGCGTCTATTGAGCAATATATAGGGACTGGCGTATATCCAGAGGAGTAGTGGCCAGTCAGTAGTGTACAGTAAAACGGGACTGCCGCGCGGCTTTTCCGAGACGAGTACTGAGTTCATTCAGTTGGTGTTTGGGTGACCTGTGGCGCTCTGAGCCTCTTGAGGAGGCGTTCTTCTGCGAGAGCATACATGGCATGACGTGGTGTAAAGCGAGATGTGCCAGGCTCAGGACCTTCTTGAAAACTCCATTTCGAGGGTAGTATAGAGGGCTACAAAGACATGTAGGATGCATGGAGTGTACGAGGGAGAGACAGCGAGTCAATGGCCATGAGCATCAAGCAAAGGCCATTCGACGACAAGTTACAGTCAGCCGCGGCGGGACCCAAGCGGGACAGCACCCGTTCCATCGGCAAGCCCTTCAGCCGCTGCATTGGCACGTCATCGAGCCATTGTCACACAGTGCAGTAGTATTGCGGCATAGACATGTCTGGGTAGATGAGCGACCGTGTGTTAGTCGAGAGGAACCCATGAAATTCCTGACAGTCGTTGTTGAGCACAACAAGCGTTGTGGATGCCTGTGGGTGTTCACAACCGCACGTGGAAATGCTAAATTGCGCAGGCATTCGGACATTCGGACTTTGTTCGGACTGTAACTGAACCCATGCAAAATGAGGTGTATACGACCTTGTAGACATGCCGCGACATATTCAAGCATATAAGGTAGCAGATCAGGTATCTATTTCGTAGCATTCGACGACGACGTGGGTATTCAATCATTCTCACGATCGTTTTCTGTCTTTACAATGCATACTTCTGCTTGATGATATCGGCCGCCTTCTCGGCAATGGCGTACACGCACGACTGGATATGCGTGGCCATCTCCTGCATGGATGTCTTGAGCATGTACACGCACGCGAGGGAGACCATGAACATACCATGGGCAAGATAGAGGCATCTACAACGCGTAGATTCTTGGTCCCATACACCATCAGGGATGGATCGACGACGCCGCCAGCCTCCCTTGGCAGCATAGAGCACGTCCCGACAGGATGATAGATGGGTTCAACACTGCTCTCGCTCATGAGGCATACTTCTCCTAAGTATACTTAGAGGAGGACGCACCGCTCGCGGACCCAATCACGAAGCTTCTCGTCGTCGTCGAGGGTATCTTCAGTAGGATCAACGAACATCGGCTTCATCTCGTTGTACGGCGCCGTCTTGCACAACTTCTTCACGAAGCGCGCCGCGTCCATGAGAAGGTCCACGTCAAGAGGGTTGTGAAGGTATCCTGGGTCGAGATTAGGCATGGCGGCAGGATCGGCTGAGGATATGTGTATGGAACCACGCGAGAGCGGGTGAAGGTCCATGAGAAGTAAGGTCTGGTATCGGCGCTTTGTATTCATCCTTTCCCGAACGGACTGATTGAGCGAGTAGAACCCGGGGAACTGAAGAACTCTATAGATATGTGGGTTAGTAGGGTGGTTCGTCATGAATCAACTTGGAGCGCTACTCACTCGAGCTGAGGATGATCCACGTCGGAGAACCACTTCTTGAGGAAGTTGGACTGTTGTTGCAGTGCCGCCGTTCCCCAAAGGCTAGTATCGCGCTTGACATCACTCAGGAAGGTACCAAGCATGTCAGGCTCCATGATGCGATTGAGTGGGATGTATGCGTATGCCGAGAATGAACCGGATAACATTCCGCGCCGTTGCTCGTCGCTTGAAGCTGGTCAACTCCAAGAAATGAAAGGTCGCCTAATGCAACTCACTAGAGCTTCTGCTGGCTCTCGTAGAAGTGTGGGTCCGATAAGTTTTCGTACGTCTCTGTACTGTTGTCGACCTCGTGGATGAAAGGTATCCAACCGTGATCCTGATGGGTTAAGCGAACAGACATGTAGTAGGCGTAGAGGCGCGTACCTCTACAAAAACGCGTAGTTGAGTCACCTGTATCTGCATAGAGAGGTGACTACGTACGGAGGTTCTCACCAACGGGAAGGTCAATGAGCTGAGGTATGCCGTGAGCGTTCAGCACTTCGCTCAGTCCTATCCCAGACAGCTCCAGAATCAATGGCGATTGGAAGCTCCCTTTGAAGGTAGTCTCAGTCCGCATGCGACTACATATAGCGGGGAGGACTGACCACAGCACAGTATGACCTCGCGTTTGGCGTACACTGTGTACTTCTGCCCATCCCTGATGAACTCGACGCCCTTCGCCACGTACTCGCCGTCAGTCTGGTCCAATAGAACGCGCGTAACATGGGCATCAGTGAGGAGGTGCAAGTTCGTGCGCTCGGCGTTGGGTTGATAATAAGCCTACGAAACCATCGAGTCAGGTCGCAAGGATGTTACGAGCCATGGGCTGCTTACACTGCCGGAGTATGTTCGAACAGCGAGAGATGGGTCTATAGTGAACATCCCAGTTGATGCCCCAGTGTTGGAGCCACCCGTCTAACAAGGGATGAGCAACGGGCGCAGGATACAGTCCCTTGATGATCGCACCGGGTCCTCGTTGAAACGCACGCCGAGATTCACCATCGAATCTAGAAAGCGGTTATGCGACTCATTGTGCCAGTGTGAATACGATATCTTCAACGGGCCGTCATAGCCGTGCACGGTTGCGTCTGTTCCGAGGCGATACCGTCCTTTGATGTCGTCGGGCGGCTCGGTGAATGTTTCGGCCTTCTTCATGTATCGAAGGAAATTTGCCCAGTTCCATCCGGGATTCCCGAGCGCTTCTATAGCTGCAAGTGGGTGTTAGTGCCGTGTAGCAGATGGAAATCGGTGTCATAGTTTACCGTCGTACTCGCAAGCGTTGGCCCTGGCACCAAAGTCAGAGTAGTCCCGTTGCACATCTCCATACGCACCTCGAGTACACCATGAAGTTGAGCTGTGTATAGTTGAGTCCATCTAGTATGCTGGCAGATCTTCGACGAGAGTAACCTACCGCGGAAGATCCTCCGACGCCCTTTCCCCGCGGGCAAGTGATGACACGGTCATTCGCTCCCGTTTGTTTGATAGTCTTGAACTTCCAGTCCAGCCGCTCATGATTGAGACCTTTACCGGCGAGACCTAGATAGACGCGCATGAGATGCACCGTACATCTGGAAGCGTGGAGTAAAGGACCTGGAACTATGACCTCGGTCATTTCGGAGTTGTCGCCGCCTGCTTCAACGACGCCGACGTTGACACTAGCGATCTCAGAGAGTCTGGAGTTCTGTCAGTATGAATATAGACGACTACAGAGTAAGGGCTCACCGAGAAGAGAGAACGAGACCTGCCGTTCCACCACCGACGACAAGGAAATCATATTCCTTCGAGGCGAAAGCATCGGGCGTGAGTAGAGTCATTCGGATACTCCTGCATGCTCAAACGGCCTCTTAAAGCTTAAATACGCGTCAGAGCTTCTCGTGCATCTTCTAGGAGAAGCTCCTTTGAGAATGAAAGCAGTTAGCTGAAATATCGAACGGTTTGTTTGCAACCCGAGTAGTCCGTCGCTATCAGAATACTCGGAGTTATCTCAGGCTCTAACTGTGACTATTTAGTACTCATAGCACTGAAATAAAATTCTTATTCCACGATTCTCGCCACCAATCGTGTTGGTACGAAGCCAGAGAAGAGATCACTGGTTGGGCGTTCAACGCGAGCGCTCGCGTCGTCGGCCGCCCGTGCCATTGACAGGCTGTCAAGTTGGTGTATTCAGAGGCTAACAAACTTTAGCCATACATTCTGATTAGAGAGCCGAGCGCATGTAGCTGTGGCGAAGTTTCCGATGAGCATGAGCCACCGGCGGTGGTGGATACGTTCCAACTCGCGATGTGGACGCTTATGGGCGACGAAAAACGAGCATGACGTTCTCACGCGCTCGGACCCTCGGCCCTCAACCACTGCAATGCGCGCTACATCGGGTTTCATTAGGACTTCCACTACGGCGCCGGTGACTGTGTGTTTCTGTTCTTCTGACGGTGTGTACTCTGCTGGGACTTGCTAGATCACAGTCACTGAGTGATAATAGTCGAACGCGATGGAAATGCGCGCGTCTCGCGGTCAGAACGGCGGGCCGCACGGGTACCCAGGTACGCTCTTTGCAACTCGTATTTCTGTTGATAAACGTATTGATTTATATTATCGAAGCCGGCACCAATGGATACCACGAAAGCCCGCGGCGAGGGTCCGGTTCTGGGACGATGCCCGCGCGGATCCCCCTCTTCCACACCGGCTCGGACGGCGTGACCTCCACCCAGAAGAGCTCAGGCTCTGATGACGAGACCGACCACGGGATATTCTCAGACGGCAGGGCCAACGCGTCGCTTGAATCTCTGCTGGACCCCGTGCCGATCATCCCGTACTGGTCAGCGAAACGACATCTGACCTGCGGGAACCCTACCCCTCCGCCGCCATGGGTCCCCAAGATGACGCCCTGGCGCTCGTCCCCCGGGAAGCTCAAGACGGCAAACGCGGCGCTGGTGCTCTGTCTGAATATTGATGTTGATCCTCCCGACGTGATCAAGACGAACCCGTGCGCCGTCATGGAATGCTGGGTCGAACCACACACCATGCCGTCCCATAAAGCGCTCGAGGTCATCGGCACCAACTTGCAGCATCAGTTCGAGGGATTGAGCCCGAAGTTATCCTACAAGCCCATCTTGGATCCATCCTACGAAGACTTACGACGCTTCTGCACGACTCTCCGCCGTCAGGCGAAGGACGATACAGTCCTGTTCTATTATAACGGCCACGGCGTTCCCAAACCCACCCCCAGTGGAGAACTTTGGTGCTTCAACCGAAATTACACGCAGTATATTCCGGTCTCGCTCGCTGAAGTTCAACACTGGCTAGGAACGCCTTGTGTATACATCTGGGATTGTTCTGCAGCCGGCAATCTTCTTTTGAACTTCAATAACTATGCGCAACGGCGCGATCAAGAGGCCGCAGCGAACGCTACGGAGTTTACCGTTCCATTCTCCGACTCTATCCAGCTTGCCGCATGCACCGCCAACGAGCTGCTACCTTCCTCCCCCGAACTCCCGGCCGACCTCTTCACATCATGCCTCACATCCCCCATTGACATCGCCTTGCGGTATCACGTTATGAACAATCAGCTTCCCAGCAGCATTACCGCGGATATGGTTATGCAGCTCCCCGGAGATCTGAAGGACCGCCGTACACCACTTGGCGAGCTCAACTGGATCTTCACTGCTATCACCGACACCATCGCCTGGACCTCCTTCTCTCGCGAACTCTTCACTCGCCTTTACCGCTCCGACCTCCTTGTAGCCTCTTTATTCCGCAATTTCCTCCTCGCCGAACGCATCATGAAGAATTACGGCTGCACGCCCCATACCTCCCCTTCCCTACCTCCGACCAACACCCATCCTCTCTGGGCTTCCTGGGATCTAGCCGTCGATGCGTGTGTACGGCAGATGCCCGAGATGCTCAAACATACCGCGTCGGATGCCGCGGCGCTGGCGAGCAGCTCCATCCGCGCGCGGAGGCAAGCGCAAGCTCAGGCCGCTGCTGCACGGGAGGGTCCTCACGGCGAGAAACCATACACCTACATCCCCAGCCGATTCTTCGCGGACCAGCTCACCGCGTTTCAAGTTTGGATCGCACGGGGAGGGTCGGCGCTCACCCGCCGCGGTCCCAACTCGCTCCCTCTCGCCACACCGGACGGCGAGCCAGGACCCGAGATAGCCGGGCTCGCAGGGCGTGGGAAGAACACCCATCTCGTACCGCGCAAACCGCCAGAGCAGCTCCCCATCGTGCTTCAAGTCCTCCTCAGCCAGCCTCACCGACTACGCGCTCTCATCCTTCTAAGCCAATTCGTCGATCTTGGGCCTTGGGCCGTTCATCTCGCGCTTGCCATCGGCATATTCCCTTACATCTCCAAGCTCCTGCAGGCAGGGGGTCAAGATCTTCGTCCCGTCTTGATCTTCATCTGGGCGCGTATCCTCGCCGTCGACCCGTCCGTGCAGGTTGACCTGTACTCCAATGGCGGGTTCCGGTATTTCGCCAACATCCTCGCTGCAGTGGACGAACCCGGAGGCGCGGGAGGCTTCCCGAACAGCTCGGAGCATAAAGCGATGTGCGCGTTTGTGCTAAGCGCCATCTGCCGCGATTTCCCACACGGACAGCAAGCGTGCCTGAGAGAGAAGGTGTTCCATGCCTGCTTCGAGAGGGTGGGCGAAGACGACTTTTTGTTGAGGCAGTGGTGCGCGCTGTGCATTGGCCAGATGTGGGACGCGAACGACGAGATCAAGGTCTTCGGCGTCGACAACGGCACTCAGGATCGTTTCATCAGCTTACTAAGCGATGATGCGCCCGAAGTTCGCGCTGCGGCATTGTTTGCGCTCGGCACGTTCATGGGCGCCAGTGGGTCGGCCGATCCGATGAAGACGGGTGGAGGCGGGACGGGGACGATGGCGCATCTGGATGAGAGGGTGCACTTCAGGATGGAGGTGGCCGTCGTGACGGGTGGCGCGTTGGCGATCAAGGACGACGCGAGCCCGATGGTGCGGAAGGAGTTGCTGGTGCTCATCTCGTGCTTGGTGAAGGAGTGGCGAGGGTTCTTCGTTGTATGCGCGTGGATATACTGGGAAGAGGATCGCAGGGCTCAGGCGCCAGCGGGGTCGGTGTTGGAAGAGGACATCACAGGGCAGGCGATCGCGGAGTGGTTGGAAGGGTTCGTAGACAAGGATATGAGGGAGGAGAACAAGGTCATCATGAGCTCGTTCTTCACCATCTTCACCATCCTGCTCGAGTTCTCCGTCGACCCGTACCACGAAGTCGCGGCTAACGCGCAGACCATCGTGGACTACATCATGGCGCTATTGATGGAGAGCGCCTTCACACGCTTGGAAGGTTCCTCGCTATCGGCTCCGCCGTCGTCGCTGAAGGACAAGGAGATTCCGTACGGTCATGGACTGCGTTCACGGCGCTCGAGTCTTACCGGGTCACCATCGCGCACGCGACCTCCTTCCCCGGCACTATCAAGACCCGCGATCTCCCGTGCGGATACGATGACAAGCACGATCTCCAGCGCCGCCAGTAGTACCATCAAGCGCACTTCATCGTTCGCGCACGCGCTGAAGAACCTCGCTGGCGGCATTGCTTTCCCCACTCTCGACGGCGATCACCACCAACATCATGCCGAGTCATCGGCCAGGACACCCGCTGCCACAAGACACAACTCACCCGTCGACACTCAGCCTGGTCCCGCATCTCGTGCACCCTCGCCGAACCTGAACTTTGCGCACTATATCTCGCCTTACGACCGTGCACGATCGGCAATGCCTCAGTACTCCAAGAGCGCACCCGTCTCGCCCACACATAGCTGGTCACAAGCTCAATCGTCCAAGACGCAACTGGATTATCTACCCTCGGACGTCATGGAGGCGTTAATGGAGGAGGATATGAACCGCTTGCGTGCACGACGGCGCGGAGAGTCCCCTCTGGCGCGGAGTCCTGGCGAGGACGCACTCGGTCTTGGCCAACCCGCTGTACGCGACGTGCTGCCGCTCAAGTCGACATTCTACGACTGGTGTGTCGAGTACTTCAAAGAGCCGCAGATGCGTCAGCAGGAGGCGGATGAAAGCGGGAGCGTGGAGTACAACTACCAGGCGTGGCGGCAGCAACGGAATGAGAAGGTGTCCGCGGAGACTGCGACTCAGGCCCAGGTTGCTGAGGCGAAGAGTTGGGGGAAGCCGGTCACAACTCTGCATGTTGCGGGCGCGCCGCTGAACATGGCGTTCCATTCGTATGACCCTCATCTTGTGGTCTCGAATGAGGTGGATACTGTCACGTACGATCATGTCTGCATGAGCCCAGGTCTGTGCTAACATCTTCATCACAGTGTCTTCGACTGGTCCAAGCGAACGCAGCTCACGAGCTTCCATAACGGAAACCCGAAGGGCGCGACGATCACCTCCGTACAATTCATCAATCAAGATGTGGGCGGGCTCATCCTCGTCAGCTCAGCGGACGGTATGATCAAGCTCTACCGGAACTATGATCCCGCGACAAGCGATACGCCGGTGCAGATGGTCAGCGCTTACCGTGGGCTGAATGACATAATCCGATTGCAACGTGGCTCTGGGGTCGTCGTGAATTGGAAGCAGGCTGGCGGTTTCCTGCATATCTCGGGCGATACGCGTATAATCCGTGTTTGGGACGCCCATACGGAGACGCAGCTCCTCGACCTCTCTACACGTGAGGAGAGCCCTGTCACGGCGTTGGCATCCGAAAGCGGTCCCAGCGCTACCGTCCTGGCCGGTTTTGCAGATGGGGCAGTGAAGGTGTTGGATCGCCGCATGGACGAGGATGACGCTGTTGTGCGTTCGTATAACGACCACTACGGCTGGGTGCAGAATGTCAGGTGGCATCCTCACCTGCCAGGCCAGTTCTTGTCCGCGAGGTGCGTCGAATCGCCTGTATATGCGCTCTATGTCCAGTGTTCCTATACTCATGCTACGATAGCTTGGCTGGAGAGATCCGATTGTGGGATATACGCGGCTCAGATAGGGCCGTGGAGCAATGGCAGCCGTTCAACGATGGATTGAGCGCTTTCGACGTCCATGCCCAGGCCGGTGTCTTTGCGAGGTGCGTGTTGGATTGCTTCTCCCGCCTCCCTATGTGCCCCAAATGGAAGATTCTGATGTCGGGATAATAGCCTATCGTCTACGACATCATCCATTTTCCGGTCGCAGAAGACGGTTGTGCAATCGCTCGCGCGTTCTAGCGTGCTTTCTACAGTCGAGACGCCGACGGGACTTGTGGCGGCACCTTCGCCGGCCCGCGCGTATCCGTCGCCTTACATCCCCCGAGCGAGCTCGCTTGTTTTTCACCCACTTGAGATGCTGTACGGCGTGGGCAGCCAGGATGGTACTCGTACGTGCCTCTTCGCTTACGTGTACACGATAACGCTGATTACCCCGCAGTCCGTGTGTTTGGATGTAAACTTGTATAATAGACTCTATCTGGCGCCGATCTGTCTGCAACCTTACTTGTACGTCTCCTTTGCTATAATCTCCCGTAGCTTGCAACGCGCTATCGACCTTGCTGTTATCAGAATTGAATGGACTATTTGTTCTCGATCTCCCCTCATCGCCTGGTCATGCGGCACATCTACACTTGCTTTCAGCAAGATCCGTACAGGCGTCTTCTGTTCTTCGCATTGTTTGGTATGGGAAGCCGCTTGCCGAGTATGCCGGCTATGCACGCTCTGAAGGCGTTATCTACGAAGGCGCACACGACAGCGTCCACGCCAAGGCTTGTACAACGCGGGCGATCAGGAAGCTTGTGCTCGTTCCGGAGTTTGCATCTTGTTTGCATCTGGGTGGCTCGTGCATGCTTACCCAATTGCCTCAACCATGGCGATGCGTTAGAGCGGCGGAGCGATGACCTCTTCATGCTAACCGAGCGCGCTGGCGGCGATGGGCAGGTGGGCGACCTTCTTGGCGTCTTCCGCGGATTCTCCTTGGGCATCCGAGCCGAGTGCACCCGCGCCGCGAACCGCGTGCGCGTACAGCAACATCCGCATCTCTTCACAGAGCTCGCGACATGACGAAGTCTTCGCAAGCAGCGTTCAAGTTCGCTATCTACAGCTATAAAAGCATGCAAGATATCACCCTGTCGAAGCCGGTGTCCTCTCCCTTAGGCTCCTCCTCTACGGTCGCTCGTCGTCGTCTACCTGGTCAAGGTCATGTTCTCCTTCCAGAAGCTCCTCAAGGTCGTTCTTGTCGCGGTTGCCTGCTCGTCGGCATCGCTCGCTGCACCGTGGCCCACGGACGCGAAGCACGAGACGAACCGCGTCCACCTCGTCGGCCGTGGCGACGCTGCGCTGAAGATCGAGACGTTCGCTCCGGCGTCGACCTTCGAGGTTTGTCGAGTGCCCAACGGTGCTCCGCACATTCGTACTCACAGCGTGCATCTAGACCTTCGGCGCTGACGGCCTCGACCACCCTCTGGCCAAGCGCGACGGCTTTGACCTCCAGTCTGCTTCGAAGGCGTTTGTGTCTTCCAAGCTCGATGTCAGTGAGGACGATGTTCACTACAACACCGGCTACTCCGGCGACGTGACCCATCATGCGTTCATCAAGCAGCAGGCGGTGCGTATCATCACATCCTGGCAGCTAGCTTGTAGGCTCACGTGCTCCATCAATCATACAGAATGGTGTTCCCTTCGCGAACGCTGTGGCCAACGTGGCGTTCAACAAGGATGGCAAGGTTGCTTCTTTCGGTTCTTCGTTCGTTGACACATGTAGGTCCATTGTTCCGCTCATGTATTACTCTTCCTGACAACCTTCACCAGCTGCTATCGCGTCTTCCGAGCCCACCGTCTCGGTGGAAGATGCGATCAAGACTGCTGAAGCCGCTCTCGGTGCTTCGGTCAACGACCACCCGGGGTCTCTCGAGTACCTGGCCCTTGCGGATGGCTCGGTCGCTCTTACGCACGTCGTCCAGGTTCAGGACGAGGAGAAGGGCATCTGGGTCGAGGCTTTCGTTGATGCTCACACCAACGAGCTGATCTCCATTGTCAACTTCGTCACGAAGCTGACTGTGAGTCTGATTCAGTGACAATTCCATCGACGCATGCTGACAGTGATTGCAGTACCGTGTGCTCCCTATTCAGGAGGAGGTCCTCACCCAGGGTTTCCAGAACTTGGCGAACCCTGAAAACACCGCCGCGTCTCCCCTCGGTTGGGTCACTAGCACCACCACTGCGTATGACTGCTTCATCTTCAATCTGGCCGTACGGAAGATTGACTTATTCTGCAGCGGTAACAATGCCATCGCGTACAAGACCTCACAGACGACCGGCGTCGCGAAGGAGTCTTCGACCGGCTCGTTCATCTACACCGCGAACCCAGCTCAGGCGCCGACGGTTACTGCAAACGTGAACGCGGCCATCGTCAACGCCTTCTACGTCGTGAACAGCATCCACGACATCTCGTACCTCTACGGCTTCACGGAGGCGGCGTTCAACTTCCAGAACGACAATCAGGGCAAGGGCGGCGCGGGCAATGACCGCGTCACGATCAGCGTGCAAGACTCCGCTGGCACCGACAACGCCGACTTCAGCACGCCCGCTGACGGCTCCAGCGGCCACATGCGCATGTTCCTCTGGGACATCACCAACGTATGCATTCTGGCCCATGTATCTCGGCCATCAATGCTGACACATTGAATAGCCGGAGCGTGACGGCGCGCTGGAGAACGACATCGTCTCGCACGAGAACACGCACGGCATCACGAACCGCATGACCGGCGGTGGCACCGGTCGCTGCCTGCAGACGAATGAGGCCGGTGGTATGGGTGAGGGCTGGTCGGACACCATGGCCGACTGGCTTGAGAACGATTCCAAGATCAGCGACTTCGTCATGGGTAAGCAAACCTCGTCCGCTTGATGAACATGCTGAGGCTTACGGCTGTTTCAGGCCAGTATGTCATTAATGACCCTGCGGGCATTCGCTCGCACCCGTACTCGCGCTCTACGACAACCAACCCCCTCAACTACGGCAGTCTTAAGACTCTCAGCGAGGTTCACGGTGCGTGCACTGAGTCCCATTTTGAAAGGCATGAAACTGATTTGGAGCAGACATCGGTGAGGCCTGGGCCAACACGCTGCACAACGTGCTTGCCGCGCTTGTCGACGCGCGCGGCTTCTCCACGACGGCCAAGACCGACGCCAGCGGCACCACCGGTAACGTCGTGTTCATGCACCTCATGATCGACGCACTTCCTCTGCAGCCGTGCAACCCTACTTGTGCGTCATCTCTCCGCCGCGACTGTTCAATCCTCACTAACGCTTACTCTTAATAGTCCTTACTGGTCGTGACGCCATCATTCAGGCAGACGCCAACCGCTACGCGGGCGCTAACAAGTGCACGCTCTGGAAGGCATTCGCGAGCAGGGGTCTCGGTGTCAACGCAAAGAACCACGTCAACGACGCGACGCTCCCCTCTGGATGCTAATTCATCTATCTCTTATGGGCTTGTGCGGGACAACCTTCTCTCTGGGACTCTAGGCACATTGCATTGATGTACATCATTCAATTGGATCAATTGTATACATGGATTGTAACTCTACAGTCGGATTCTCAGTCAGAACACCGAGGCTCTCATGACGGAAACACGCGCAGATCAGTGCGTCGAATCGTCATGAGTCTCTACTATTACGACGAGCCGCCACCTCGACATCACGGCGCGTGCTTTCAATCCCGCTCACAGCGAGTTTTGTTACGCTTAAGGTGTGCTTCGCATCCTAGATCGAGGTTAGTCCATGTACTAGCGCAGTAGCAGATGCTCGCAAACACACCTTCATGAGAGATTCAGCTTGCGCCACGTTTCTACGCCTCTTTGCGCGGTACATCCAACCAACGGGATTCATCGAGTCACGTTTTGTTAACTGTGCGGAATTGGAGCATGCACTAGCATGTATAAAGCTCACGGATGAGTATAAGTCAATGTGGTATGTGTTGAACCAACTGACGCATAGAGTTTATTGTTGGCCCGCGCAAGCTGATCGCTGACCTTAGGTGTCTGGTACGCAGGATGACCGTAGGCGTCATCAACGAGCTCTCCAAGCCTGGTATGCACAGAATCTAGTCGACTGGGACTGATCGATACCGTATCGTTTGAGTCGCTCCTTTCGGCTTGGGTGACCATATTCTGATTGAGTGACCGCTGTAGAGACGCGTAGGGAGTACGTGAGTGTACGGATGCAGAGGAGCCTGCTAATCCGACTCTTTATGAAGCTCTGTTGAAGGCATCGGGGGTACGGAACGTCTGGTGAATGGGGCTATAACCCCTTTGTTCGGAGCGGCTGAGACTTGTGACGACATACACCTAGCATTGACAGCGGCTAAGGCGAGTCGCCTGTGAGCAAGTGTGAGCGTAGATCCTTGTGAAAATATCTTCCTTGATAGGAAAGACTATACCGTGCAAAAGCGCGATGACGTGAGCACGGTCGACACGCATGGAACGAGAATGAGCGGTGACTAGGCCGCTCAACCTCAGTCTGTTCTCCATGCCGTGAGAGAGGTGGCCCTTATACGAACTGAGAATAACACATCCGAAGTTCATGCCGTATGCGTCGGGATCGTGTGACGGCGTAGAGAAAGTGTGCGGCAAAGAGTGCGGCGATGTCGTCGCGGGTTGAAGACGCCCTAGTAACGGTACCGGCTTTGATATCCTTGTTCGTATGTGACCTTGTTGAAGCAGCATTTACACATCCCTGAGACAGTACATGAGACATTGCGCAATGTCTGTAGCAGGGTGCGACGCACCAATTCCTCAATGAAGACCTCACGTCGACCCCTTCAGATGGATTCAAGTGCCACTGAGCTGACCTTGAAGGCGCTGGCAGCGCAGGTCGAGTCATATCTTCTCGCATCTGAGATGCAGTGGGGTAGACCATGACAGGCATAGAAATCACGTCCGGCGCGCATACGACCGTGTATGACGGGTGAATACGCGATATACGGCTTTCATCTGACTTGGGATAGCACTGTGCGTACGCTGTCCGAAGGCACGCGTAATCATTGGCGGCAGGGTCGCTTTCGAATCATGACTTGTCTGTTCGCAACGAATGGGCTATACTGCTGATACATATATCCATTGGCAGAGGAAATACGCGTATGAGATAAGGTGGATAAAAAGATGCTGACACGAATGCTTGTGCGAACCCCCGGCCCTACGCCCTTCCAGCTTTCAACGAAGCGCGCGTAGCGTAAACGCCGGGCACTAAGACGTCCAGTCTGTCTCCGCCCTGTTTTGGCACAGAGTCGTCCTAGGGAATATAGACGGTCTGCAATTTGACGTGAGGTGCGTGAAGAAAAAAATGTTGGCGCCGCGCGCGCGTAGGCATCCCACCGTGGGAGGGTCCGGCGTTCTCCGATGATGGCGTCTCCCGACCCTCCGAGCTCCGAGCTCCGGGCCATCATCCCGTCCACGACGACCAAACTTGACATTATATCTCACCACAAAGTCCTACCGCTGAAATGGCTCTTTGGTGGGCGGGTGCCCGTTGGCCATACCTCAGCCTTCCTCACCATCATTCATCGGATGGGTATTGCATGTGCGCGACTATATCCCCTTCAAGCTTCACGAATGTATCGCCATCCGGCTACGTTATGGTGCATGCGCGTGCAGGTTGCTTGGGTCTTCCTCGCAGTTTCTCCACAGCTTGTCAATCGTCTAGACTCTCCACGCATCGCGTCCCCGACCATTCTGATCTTTCCCCAGTAAAGAAGGTTCAGAGATCACGCAGCTGACGAAGGGTGCTCGCGCATCCGAGCTGACACTTCTCCGTAAGATGCATCGCTATGCACATGGACAATAGACCTTGGCACACGTATGCACTACTGCGCGCGGAATAACTACGCGCATCGCGCGTAAGCACAATGGTTGCGAATCACCCTTCAGAGTCTCACGCCTGCCAGATCTGCGTTACAGGCGAACCCCGTTGCCCGAAAGAATGTCGTCTATGCCTATACGTGCCGGGCCACGCGGCCCCGTGAACGTAGTCACCATCGTCTAAGTACTAGGCTAAAAGGTCGCCCTCGGCGGCAGTCCCAGCCGAGGTTTACCCTACAAGCAGCGCTGAGCATAGCAACCTACAGCAACCTACGACACCGCGGGAACATGGGATGATACTATCCGACTGTACTACGAGATCCATATGTTTCTCGTGAAGCAGGTTCTTGAACAACACGCACAACCTGAATAGGTGATTGACGAGTTGTTTGGACGCGAGGCTGTCCATACCATACCATTGGACTATCAATGTAGGGGTCCAGTCTTCTATCTCTTCTGATACTTTCAGTCATTCGTCTAACTCCTGGCCTTTGCAGGCCTGACATTACCGCACATGTGGACCAGAGACACGACCACTGTGCTTTGTTATCGAGACAGCATGGTCAAGTTGCTTCTGTTCGGTGATCCCAGTCCTCGCTTTCGGATGCGCTGAAAGGCTGCTCTCTGATGTTTAAGTGATACGGCACGGCGTGCTAAATATACCTATCGCCTTCGTGGACAACGCTTCTGCGACCGTGCAGCAGCGCATGTGCACGGTGACGTGCCTCTGTATGGACTACCCTTCCAGACTCGAAGGTCCAAGGAAGTGCTCGGTACCCCTAACGATCTCGAAGTGACGTCGGAGCCTAGTGCGGTACCGACCCTATACAACTGCTCCATATGCTCTACGCGCGCCTAGGTAGGTCGCGTCTCCTCATAGGGAAGGATGTCTCGAGCTGATCACACTGTCACACAGTTGAGGTGTATGATGATGAATGTAGAATGCCAATATGCGTCGGAACACGTCCGAGATGAGGATCCAGCTGTTTGTGTCCATGGAAGGCCTCGGAATCGGACGTTTCATGACCGAACTTTCGATAGACAGATACGGCGAGTTCGGATGAGCATCGTACAGACACTTGTGATGGTAAGGGATGCCGTGAATTCCCACATTTGGATACTCTGATCGTCAGACCACATTCATCAATCTAGTAATCAATCGAGATTCGACCTAGTACTCGCGTTCAGGACTACACTGAGCAGCAGTATCGCTCGACGGCCCACCGGTTAGTTAGGGATATGCCCTTCAATCCAGTAGGGGATGGCCTTATCTTGCTCCACAGGACCTCTGGATCCGATCGCCGGCGTCGTGATGCACCTGCTGTCGAAGGGATACAGCCGCTGGCAGTCGGCATGCTTGCTTCTCAGAAGCTCATGCTCACCTGATGGTCGCTCATGCGCTCATAAAAGTAGGGTATAGCCCCATTGCGACAGTACGGGCAGTATAAAGGCAGAACCGGTCGTGACCAACTACCTCAGCTCCCAGGTCCCTCGACTTCCGCAGCTAACAGGTCTACCGTCTACAACTCGTTCACCATGAAGTTCGCTGTTGCTACTGCTCTCCTTGCCGGCTCCGCGCTCGCGGCTCCTTCCTCGCGCGCGCGCTTCGCTCAGCGCCTTGAGCGTCGTGCTTTGGCTCGCGGCTCGCAGCCCAAGATCCCGTCCGCTGGTCTTGCCGCGCTTTCAACGAACGAGACCCAGGTCGAGTACTCGTCCAACTGGGCGGGTGCGGTCATCAGCAAGACCACGGTTAGTAACGGTTTCCATCTCCGCCCGCATGATCTAACGACTCTGTAGGCAACCTGGACTGCTGTTACCGGAACGTTCACCGTCCCGACGCCCAAGGCTCCCTCTGGCAGCAGCACTGCGTACGCCTCTGCTTGGGTCGGTATTGACGGTGACACCTGCGGCAATGCCATCCTCCAGACTGGTGTTGATTTCAATGTCGAGTCCGGCGCTGTCTCGTACGATGGTGAGTATACAGATATTTAAGCACACAAAGTCCATGCTAAGGTGCACAATCAGCTTGGTACGAGTGGTACCCCGATTACGCCTACGACTTCTCGGGCATCAGCTTCTCGGCTGGTGACTCCGTCACGACCACCGTCACGGCGACTTCCAAGACGGGCGGCACTGCCGTGATCAAGAACAACTCGAAGGGTACTTCCGTCACGCACACCTTCTCCGGCCAGCCCTCTCTCTGCGAGTACGACGCCGAGTGGATCGTTGAGGATTTCGAGTCGAACGGTGGCCTCGTTCCCTTCGCCAACTTTGGCACCGTCACCTTCACTGGCGCGTCGGCCACCTCGTCTTCCGGCTCTACCGGCCCGTCCGGCGCCACCATCATCGACATCGAGCAGAGCAACAAGGTCCTCACTTCCTGCTCGGCTTCGTCGTCGTCGGTCACCTGCTCCTACACTTCTTAAAGGAGATGAAGGGACGTTTGCTGTACCGCTATGCTCACAGTCGGCTATAACACCCTATTCACGTCACATCGAACGATTCCTCGGGCTCCAGCTTCACGAACTCTTTTTGCTTGGTAGTGCAGTGTACTGAACTTGTGAACCCCAATGTCATATCTCATATGGTTGTACGATCAACTTTGCCTGCGTGAAGTGCTTGCATCTGCACTGGTGTTCTCACAACCATTCATATGATGCCATCAAAGTGGTGAGCACGAGGCTCGTAAACTGCGTCGCAACATGAAGATCGGGTGCAGAGAGAACCCTGCAGCATTGCTCATGACCACTGACTCAGAAGACTCGACAGACGTGTATGCCGCAATGTCGCAATCGGCAGTTATGTGAAAATATCGATTACGCGGACACGGTTCCGCCCTCTTATCCCACACATGTTTCCGATGGAGGGCTTTCGCTCCTCCTCTCGATGGCTACCGCTAGTACCTCTCCTCTCTTTGAGCCCTACAGACTTGGTGATATCGGCACTATCAACCATCGTGTTGCTCTCGCGCCACTCACGCGCGTGCGTAACGATGAGGACTTCGCCCCGAAGGATATGGCCGTTGAGTACTATGCTCAACGAGCGAGCACACCTGGTACACTCCTATTCACAGAGGGTACCGTAGTTGGGCCGCAGGCGTACGGAATCAGAGGGACTCCGGGGATCTGGAGCGATAAGCAGGTTGAAGCTTGGAAGAAGGTCGGTCGTCATCGATCTATTGGAAAGTGTGCCCCTACAGCAAGATCGCCGCGCAGGTTACAGACGCTGTCCATGCTCATTGCTCGTTCATCGTCGTTCAGCTTTGGTCCACAGGACCCGCAGCAGACCCGGCTCTTCTCGAGCGCCTGGGTTATCCGTACACGAATGCCTCCGCTTGGCACTCCAACCCTTCCTCTCGACTCCCGCGCGAGATGACTATACCGGAGATCAGAGAGCATGTCGCTCTGTACGCGAACGCTGCTAAGAATGCCGTCGAGCGCGCAGGGTTTGATGGCGTAGAACTACACCTCGGCAATGGATATCTCATGGACAACTTCATACAGACCATCTCCAATAAGCGCACGGACGAGTACGGTGGGAGCGTCGAGAACCGGATTCGCTTTCCGCTGGAAGCGCTCGCGGCGATAGTGGAGGCAGTTGGCCAGGAGCGCGTCGGGATCTTCATCAGTCCATTCGCGTTGTACCAAGGTGAGCACAACCAGGCATCTCCATAAGAACCGAAATAGATTCAGAGTCTGCTGCGTAAAGGTATGCGCATGCCCGAGCCGGACATTGTCGAGACGTTTTCCGCGCTGCTTAGTCGCGTCCGCGACGCGTACCCCCACCTGGCCTTCGTTCACGTCCGCAAAGACCTCGGAGGAGCAATCGATCCCGAAACTGCCAAACGGTACTCGCGCGATTCCGACGACTACCTCCGCGCGATCTGGAAGTCGGGGATTGACGCCGACAGGCGCGCGTACATCGTGGGAGGCGGCTTCGACCGCGAGAGCGCTCTGAGGCACGCAGAAGCGGGTGACCTTATCGCCTTCGGGCGGGCGTTTTTGGCGAATGTAGGTTGACAGTAACCATTGCGATGAGGGCTAGTTGGTACTAATGATAGTACTCAGCCCGACCTGCCGCGGAGGTTGTTGAACGACTGGCCACTCACTCAGGGCAACCGCGCCACATACTACACCAACGGAGAGGCCGGATACACCGACTATCCTTTCTATGAAGATAGCAGCGCGAAGGATGTCGGCTGAATAGTGCATACCATCCTGAGCAGAGAAATCCGAGCGGACTCTACATTCAGACTCTCGCGGCGCTCCCGTATCAATGCAATCATAAATGGTCCATTGTCCGCATGCACAAGAAACACGAAAAGGTTAGGGAGCAGCCACTACCTTATGGCGAACGACTGCACACATAAAAGAAAAGAGGCAGTGTCGTAAAAGAACGGCAAGCCAGGGCAAGGCGCAGAGCGACAGCGAGTAACTAGTTAACGATGACTATTATGAGTATATGCGTGACGGCGATGAGATGATGATGGTCAAGAAGTCCCAAATGAGAACACAGGCGACGTTGAGGATGGCATGAGGTCCGTAAAGCAAAAGTTCAATGGGCAACTGTGCTTAAGAGAAGACGGCCAAGGCGCCGACGATGAGGCCGAATGCGCCAACAACGATCGCGGAGATCACGACGTTGGGGAATGCGGCGCTTCCGTTGAAAGGAGTATACGGGCTTGCGCTGGTCGTCGCAGCGGCATCGGCGTCACCACCGGTTCCACCACCAGTCAGGTTCGCACCGTTCGGCTGTTCATCGAGTCAGTAATCGATATCAAGTTTTCTAGAGAAGGGAGACGTACGCCAATAGGCCGCGAGTTATCTGTGAACTGGCACGAGCTGTCGGAGCACAGGCACTTGTTGCCGATCGGGTCCCAGAATGGCGTTGAGCAGTTTGCCGGGAGACGGAAGCGTGCCTGTTGACCATCCGCGACGCTCTGCTCGGGGTTCGGGTTCTTGACCGTCGGGCTCTCAACGGGGCAGCCGTAGCACGTCCAGAACGGCGTGTCAGAGAAAGCGCAGTGTTCGAGCAGGCCATCTTCGTTCGACGGCATGCCGTTGCAGATCTTGTCGGTGACCGAGGGAGTGCTGCACTTTAGCGGCTCGAAGCTGTCCAGCTGCGAGATCGGCACAGGGTTCATGACCCATTGTAACAACTGCCAGGTCGAGACGATCCAGACGTTCTGCTGCTGCTGTGCCCAGTCGAGGAACTGGTTGATCATATTGATGGTGCTGTTCGACACGGTGGCGCCGGGGACAGTAGTCTGTAAATCAAGGTGAGCAAAGGATATAATAGGTGTGCGGAGTTGTACACACCGAGACGTGGATCGGGTGGGTGTAAAGACCGAAGGGCTGGCGATTCGCGTTGTAGTGAGCGGTGAAAGTGTTCTTCATGTACTCGAGCGTGGCGGTATCGTTGACTTCATTTTGTCCATTGGCCATGTCGAGCCAGGGGTCCATGAGATGGATGCCGTCGACACCGCGGTCGTCGAACATCGCGTACATGGGAACCTCCCAGAAGCCGGGTAGCTTAGGCTCGCCCTTGCAGGCATTCTCGAGAGCAAGGCAGTCATTGGCGAGACCGTTGTCGAGCGTGTACGGCCAGAAGGCGTCAGTGTCGTCCTCGGTGACCGGCAGGGAGGCGGATGACGACGAGTCATACGTGAAGCCGGTTGCTGCCAAGTGCTTGAGGTTGTCGACGGTGTAGTTCAAGAATGGTGCGCGGAAGCCACGGATGTCGGACATCGGGATACCGGCCAGGGAGTTGAGCACGATCAAGTTGCCGTCGATCTCATCGTCAGGCGGTGAGCCGACGTGGGACATGCTGTGGAGATAGACATCAGTATCGGAGACGATTGATACGAGTAGGAGCTTGTGCGTACGTATGATCCGCAATCTCATTGCCGGCGACGAACCAATCCGTGACGAGTGTGTAGTTGGTGTAGTTAAGGGAGGTATAGTAGGTCATCCTGGGCGTGCAGCCATTGGGGTTCTTGCGCTGGGCCAGGAACTGGTTGACGGCGTCGAGGGTGTATGATTGAACGGCATCATCGGCAGTGAAGACGACGAACATCGGCGTGTCGGACTGAAATCATGATTAGTAGGTGATCATTTCCAACGAACGAGTCGTAGGCCCAATTCGAGAGTTCTTTGGACTCGAAACAACCCGGTCAACCACGGGCACTACACATGTGCTACAAATATAGCACAATGTTTGCGAGCATGCTGTCGATCATTGCGGGATCCAGAATCGCGTGGGCAGAAGACCATCACAAGCGCCCTGCCGGAGTGGATGGCCGTATTTCCGCAACGGGCCTGTCGCCGGTGCCCTCTGCAAGCACTATCACTTTCCATCCCCCATCTATAGCAAGTCGGGGAAAGCAATGCAGTGCGATGCGTGTGAGGCAGCCATGGCACCCGGCAGAAATGATTGAGACATCCGCGTCTCCAAGTCTGTTGACCACCATTCAAAAAGAATAACTTACTGGCGATATTCCACCGGGCGGGCTTGTGCTCGCACAATTGCATGATGGCAGCTTGCATTTTGACGAGTCGCAGGAGTAGCCAGCCGCAGACGCAGAGGAGGTCGGGCCGGAAAGAGAGCCGTCGTCGCCTTGTGCCAGAACGGCGGGAAGGACCGCGGCGGCCGCGACGAGGAGCGTAGCCTTGAGCATGACTGAAAGGCCGGTGTCGACGGAGGAGGGGAAGGGAGGAAGACGACCCTAAGGGTACGAGGGTACGAGGTCTTGAAGCTTGAAGATGGCAGTCGCAAGGAAAGAGTGCGGACTCGAGCGGAGAAAGCATGACTATTCCGGATCGCGTCGGCGTCAACAGCCCGTCTCTACGCAATCGAGACTCTTCTCGAACTGCGACCACTCCGCACAATATACCTTGCTCATCGTCGCTCTCGACGGCCAGAAGAAAGTCGCAGGCGCGGAAAGTGCCACTCCAGCTCTTATACGCACCCGGTATGTTTCCGCGGTCGAAAGTGGTACTGCGCAGTCAACGGGTATATCCGGTCCGGGTACAGTCCTGAGCCGCGGCGCACGCCTCAAACGTCTATTCCTGGGGCCTACCGTAGTCACCTCCTGCGAGGGGGCCGCAGGCTGCGATGCAACCTGTGCTCTGTGTCACTGCTTTATATGCCTCACGTCTGTCGCACGACGTGTGGCGAGCTCGCACGATACGCCTGACAGTTCTTGGCTTCGACGTCTTCATCTCGCACCGATTTGGGCCGGCCGTTGCCTTTCTCATGCGGCGTGAGCCTTTACACGTTTGCCGTCTTCGCTTTCTGTCCGGCAGCAGACAGCTGCAGATGATCGTACACTGCAATACCATTTCTGTACAGATACACTCACGAGAACCGGATACAGATACGTGTACAGAGTCCAAACAGTCCATTCATTCGGGAGAACTGACAACAAGATACACCGAGAACGCAAAGAAATACAAGTCACACATACACTGCGAACTGCCATTTAACGACGCCTATTCTTGTACGCATTGCGCGGATCACCGCCCCACTCCGCCGTCCTGCTCTTCAGCAGTGCGTAAATGGTGAAAGTGGCCGTCTGACCATGCGTCTGGGCCGTTCGGCTGTCTTTGAGGACGCCGTTGTCCATCGCCCGAATGACGTCGTTAGGTGGGAAGACCCCTCCAGGACAGTATGAGGAGAGGAGATACGCCGGGACAAGCTTGTCGCTAAGGAGTATCCTGGCCTCGCGATGCTTCTTCGTGAGGACCGTTGTGAGTGGGTTCTTGACCTTCGGCAGACTCCTCGCCGTTTCATCCGAGTACTCATTGGCGCAATCTACCAGATACTGTTCGGCCATTACACACCCAGTATTCCGGACGAGGGGAAGGTTCCTCTCGGGCCATCCTTTCCATGCCAAAAACCGCTCTGCGTCGTCAAAGGACGGCGCCCATGCTTGGAGATCGCACCCACACTTGTTCGGAAGTGGCTTCGCGCAGGTTGAGCATACGGTGGCTTTCCGACTGTACAGCTGTCGGAGCTTTCGGCGCGCAACCAGGAGACGCACGGCCTGGATGGCGACTGCTTGACGCTTATGCTCGAATATGCAGCACCTACGAACAGGAACGATCTCCTTCTCCTCCTCGATCTTCTGCTCCAGCCCGGTCGACTTCAACGCGTCGGCCTGTTTAGGGGGTGTAGGCGGCGGAGACAACGGCAAGCGGGATGGACCGGCGACGGGTTGCGGCATGGGAGGCCTGGCGTACATGGGTGGCGAAGGCGGGAGCGGTGGACCCATCCGGCTCAGGAGTGAGGGCTGAGGCGGAACGGGGTACCCGTTCGGCAGAAAGGGGGCCGGTGGTGGTCCGAACTGCATCGGAGAACAAACCCCGTTCAGAGTGGGCCCGGACGGATGGAATGGTAGAGGGAAAGGTCCGTTGTAGAACGGGAGAGGGGGGAATGGACCGGGAAGATGAGGAAGCCCGTGAAGCTGAGGAGGACCAGGGGGAGGTTGAGAGCTGTAAGGAGGAGGGCCGTGACTGCTAGCATCGTTGTCGAGTCCGGAGGGACGTATAGGTGGGGACTGCTTGAAGCTGTCAACGACCTTGCGTTGCACAGCTTTGGCCTGAGCTTTTTCCCGCTTGAGGCTCTTGGGCGCGTGCTGCGAGTCCCAAATACTGCTATGCTGGACGTCCGGAGATGCGTAGGGAGTGGTTGGAGGTTTCGGTGATGCGACGGTCGCATCAACCTGCGAGCTCTCCTCGTGTGCCTTCGGCTTCGATTTGCTCTCTCCGTGAGTAAATGCCTGAGATTCAGCATAGCTTCCGAAACGACGATCCTTCCCCCAGTCTTTACTGAGCACGTCGCCCTTTGGTTGGGTGGAAGGCGCAAGCGACGAAGAAGTGGAAGGGGCTTCCGTGTCCAGAGGCAGCGAGATGGTGGTCTTGATCGCTGCTTTGCCTTTGCGCGTGGACGACGGCGGCGATGACGGTTTCGGTACCGATGACGGCTTCGGCACAACCGCTTGCGACTCCGTGTTGCCGCCCGCTTGAAGTTCAGCATAGCTCCTCACCCTGGGTTGGTTAGCCAATCTCGTCCAAAAACTCTCTTTGGCTTTAGACCGCGGGGGCGTCGACGGGCGTGTGGTCTCGTCCGAGATAGTGGACGTTGACGGGGCCTCGATGAGCGACTCGTGAGAGCACGCCAAAGACGTGGCTGTTGACAGGTGAGAAAGACGGGGATCAGACAGCACGATGGTGGACTGACAGTTGGACGTAGGCTCTGTGGCAGACGTACTCGTCTTCGTATCAGCCTCCTCCGCGACGACGGCAATCTTAGTCGGCGTATCGACTGGCGTAGGCGCTGGCTCTGCCACAGAGGGCTCCTGCCCGTCGACGACGCAGGCGGCGGCGTGAGCGAGATCTTCGGTCATGTCGGCCTTCACTTTTTCGTAAACGAACTCTTCGTCGTCGTCGTCGGTGCCGCCAGTCGCCGACTCCTGCGAACCATCATGCTCACACCCGGCGACCATGGCGTCCTGGACTTCGTTGGCGCGCTCGAGGGTAAGCCTTGCTAGTTCCTTCTCGTAGTCGAATTCCTCGTCGTCCTCAAAAGCAGGCTCGGTTGCGGTGCCATCATCGTCTTTGGCATCGTCGAGGATCAGGTCCTTGAGGTCCGTGAGAGTGTCGTCAGCGTCCGAGGAAGTGAGCATCGCTGCTGAGTCTTGTATAATGTCCATCTCAGCGTTAGTCCCAATGCTGTCGGCGTCCATGTCCTTTTCGAAGTCGTTGCTGCTCGGGTTGTCCATAAGCGCGATATCTGATGTCGAATCCTTGGAAGCGGCGGCAGGCAGCGTTGTAGCCATGACCGAATTGTCAGAATCGAGTGCCACAGCGGTGGGCGACTCGATCTGGGTAGTACCCTCCTCGAGGCAGACGTCTGGGTTGGAAGACTCCGCGGAGTGAGGGTCAGCATAGTCCGCGCCATGGGCGGCGGGAAGAGCCTCGTCGTCGCAAGCGTTTGCGCCGGTGTCAACGTGGCCAGCCGGGAGCAACGGCTCAACCAAGTCTGTTACCTTAACGTTGACAGGCGTGGTGTGCGTGTGGTTGGTAGAATGGGGCGAGGGGGCGACGACGGTAATGTCAGATACCTCGACAGGGTCGGCAGCGTGCTGCGGCTCGACCTGTTGTGGTGTGGAGGCATCGACGACGGCGGCCGGCGGTTGTACGTTGTTGATAGAGTGGGGCGAAGGTGCCGTGCCGTTGATGAAGGGCGCCTCAACGCAGTCTTGCGATCCCGGGAGCGGCGGGCGCTCCGCGGGGTCTGCTGCGGAGGCGTCCTTGGGTGGGGTTGAGACAAGAGAGACGATCGATGAATCAGATTCGTCGTGGATACCATAGGGTGAAGGAGTTGGAGTCAGGGTGATTGCTTGGACAAGCGCCAGATGTTCGTCTGCGCTGAGAGTCGTTGAGATCCTATTCGAACGAGGTCGCGGTGGGGTCGACCGGGGTCGTGGTGTCTTGGGAGGTTCTGAGGTAGTAGAAGCTAGGTATGAAGGCGAGTATTCGGGCGGCGTCAGCGCGAGAGGCTGCGGCGTAGGAGTACCCGCTGTAGTAGATTCTATCATATTGTTGAAATCCGCGAGCTCAGCGGGCGAGATCTGAGAGACAGTCAGCTCCTAGTCGTGCTTAACATTAGAGAGGAACGTACTTCACGGTATGAGTGCTTGAACTTCCTGTATGTCGATAAGAGCGCGATAAATACAATCAGTATATCCGTGATCTGCGGTGGCGAAGTCAGCGACTACTGCGAACCCTGGCAGACATGGAACATACGGCCGATTCCCAGTCAAAGTACGCCCAAACTGTGCTTGTAGATCTTTGCAGGCGAGCGTACTCCTCGTCGTACGGGACGAGCTCGCTAGAGTCCGTCTCCGAGTCAGGCTCGGTGGCCGCGATCTCAAGTATATCGGTTGAATCGGCGGCCACAGGAAGTGAGGGATTACTGAATGCGGCAGACATGAGCTCTAGAACGCTCAGGGAGAGGCAGACATTGTCTTCAGAGCGTCCGGTGGCGACAGGTGCGGGAGCGGTGGCGGTGGCGGGCAGTTGTTTGGTCGTGTCGGAGACGAATACAATGGCGACCGGGTGCATGTCAGCCGCATTCGAGAGGTTGGACGAGATGAGCGGAATGCGAGTAGAGCCAGAGAGCTTGAACGACGAGTGCTGTGCAACATTGGCGATCAGCTGGGGACCATGCTCGGTTGCGGCGTCGATAGTCTTGAAGACGGAGGCAGAGATGATGAGATGATTGTAGTAGATGTTGAGGTAAGTCGCGAATTGCAGCACTGCTGCAAGTAGCCCGCGCGCTAGCATGATGAGTGCTTGTACGCAGAGACTGGACGATGGAGGGAGGAGGGAAGTCGAGGGCAGACGAGAGCGAGCCACCGCCCTTGTTTATGGACGGTCCTAGCAGCACAACCACACAAGGCCACGAGGCGAGATATTGGGGCCGCTTCTTTTGTCTGGTCATGTGGGTCCTTGATATTCCATGATACGGGGCCTGAGGCCTGACGCTAGGACCAGAAAAAACAATGGTGGTCGCTGATGGGGTGAACAAGAAGACAATCATTTCAACTCCGCTAGGGCCTCCCGCAGCCTCTCTCCCGAGTCCATTGTCACAACTCACATCTATTACCTATCTGTTCATGGGCTCCTATCCGGAGCCAGGAGAACAGGTCAAAGATGCAGCCATGTGGCGGCTACGACCGCAAGAGGGAAGCAGAGGGGCTAGCCGAGATTCAACCCATCAAACCCGAGTACTGTCATATCTTCTGCAAAAGCTTTCGCCTGAGTCATGCTGTAGTTAGTATAGAGGGTCTATTCTGGCTCGGAGAGACCGCCCGAATGCCGTATTGCCTCGCGAAGCCCAGCCGCCGTGATCCGCTGGCTGTGGGCTAACAGATACAGTTCAGGATATTCGCTGAATGAGATAGTGTGCCCGGGCTGGCTCAGTATTGACGCAAGGATGAACTAGGAAATTCGGGACGTGGTCCAAGATAAACGCATTGCTGGCGGTCCGAACGAAAGAAGCAGGAGCACGGGCGTCGCCTAAATTTGATGCCTGCGTGCGCGCTGCGATTGGTCCGCCCCCGCATGCACGAAACGTCCGTCGCACGGCGCCGCCGACAATCTTGACTCTTGCCGTCCATCTACCACCAGCCAAGATGCCTGTCATCGGCTTATAACATCTGCTGAAGTCTTCTGGGCCCCACCTCTAGATATTCTGGTATAGACGCTAGACCTTAGACACTAGACGATATCCTTCACTAGGCTACACCGCATCGACATAGACGACCGCACTCTTGCAAGACTCAAAGTCACTCTTTTATTCACGGGACGACATAGAGATACAATGACCCTGTTTACTGCACCGACATCTTCTCTACCGCCCATCGGGCGCCTAGCTTCATATTCGCTCGAGCAAATCACAGACGCGCTTGCGAACCTTCGCGGACTGTACTTTCCGCCCAAATCTACACTTCCGATAGCCGCCGTCAAGCCTGTCAAGTTGGCGCGGAATCATCTGCTTCACGACAATTCTGTACCGGACTCCGGTTACGCATCGGCGGAAGAGGATGACGAAGATCAGGAGCAGGAGCAGAACGCGGACGAAGAAGCCCTCGAACTTCTTCGTGCGGACGAGTTCGAGCGCTCGTTCGCGGTCAGGTGGCTAACGGGCCTTACATCGCGTGCCGATGTCTTCCTTTACCCACCCACGCCTTTGACCGACGAGGAAGAGGAGCAACGCTCTGCTGTGCTTGATGATGCCGCGGCTCTGCTCGGCGCCTTCGTGGGCACAGAATCGGAAGACTCCGACGACGAGGGATTCGCCCGCAAGTTTACGTGGACTTCACCAGACGGGCCTGTGTCTGTGGTCCTGACAGATGCACCCATCCAAAGCGGCGACCACACCTCCGTCGGTCTACAAAGCTGGGCCAGCTCAATCATCTTCGGCGAGAGGCTTTGCGCGACACCAGCCGCCTACGGGCTTGGCTCACCCACGCGGGTGCTCGAGCTTGGAGCAGGCACGGGCTTGCTCGCTCTCACCGTCGCCCACCTCTTCGCGCGACATGAAGCGAAAGATCGAGGCACCATCGTCGCGACCGACTTCCATCCCGGTGTTCTTGCCAATCTGGAACGCAACGTCGCTGCAAACTTCCCTTCGGCGCCGGAGAATACGGTGGCGGTGCGCAAGCTCGATTGGTCCGCACCAGATTGGAGTCTCGCACCGCTGGACCAGCCGTTCGACGTGCTACTCGCAGCAGACGTCGTATACGATCCGGCCCATGCGGGATGGATCCGAGGCTGCGTTGCGAAGGCGCTTGCCCCGCAGGGTGTATTTTGGATGATCCTGGCACGACGTGGCTCTGCTGGAAGGCACGCCGGATTGGTCGAAGCCGTCGGGAACGTCTTCCCGGCTGTTGACGACGTCTTGCCTACGGTGGAGCCGGCTCTAGCTGTGCTGATGCAGGAGGACATCGGGCGCGTTCGAGGTTGTGGGCGGGCGGACGAGGATTCGTATAGGCTGTACAAAATTGGTTGGGTCACCAAGGCGTAGGACTCCTCGACACATTTTCCCGGGTTTATGTGCTGTACATCTGCTATCGATCTTCAATTTGCTATTTTCTCTTTGGGGAAGGAATAGTATCAGGCCTGACGGTCTCGATCTTTGAGCGCCGGGCGCTCACAGACGTCAGACTGGCGGCTGTTCGCGTGGAGATGGAACACATAACGCAACCTCCACCCGCGCGCCACAGCTACGCGCGCATTCCGCGATGACATCACCTGTTGCGCGCCGCTTCGCCCCCATCGACTTTCGCGGCTTTCTTGATATATAAACGGATCCTCCTCATTCTGAAGTCCTCACCAACCTCGTTACTACATTCACCTTGACCAACCCTCTACACTCTCGTACCATCGCTTCAAATATGTCTCACTCATCTGGTGCTATGATGTCCAATGTCGGCAACCCGCAGGTCTACAACGACGGTGACCAGCGGTATGTGGATATTCCTATCCGAGTGCGAACGTTGTACTCACAATGTATTGCAGCCCAAGCAAGAAGGAGATTGAGGAGGCCCAGAACCACCCCGCATACCACGCCGGCGAGAAGCACTCGCACCAGGACCTTGATCCCAAGTACGTCCAGCCATCTTCTGCTTTCAGCCATGTACTGACACAGGGTCAGGGATTCCCGCTCGATTGCCAACCGCCTTAACCATGCATCGAAACATCAAGGCGAGGACGAGGAGGATAAGACGGTGCATGACCCGTTGAAGCCCGCGCAGGATCAGGGTCACGAACCCAGTCGCGGCGCACAGATTGACAAGGAGCTGCAAGAGGAGGACGAGGCGATCCTCAGGAAGAAGGGCATCAAGCACTAGACGTTTCGGAGTCTCATTGTAGAAGTCATCTTGTATCATAGCCGTCGCACTGTATTCGCATCGCAAATATTCATCAGCACTTCCTCACCACCACTTGAGCACGTTGGTCTACGAAAAAACTGCTGAACTGGTATGCGATAGTAAATGGTCTAGAGGGTGTATTACACGGGCGGCGAAAGAGACGCAGGCACCGCTGCGAAATCTATGTTAGTATGTACGATGTCGGCGATGACGCAAGGTCTTCGGAGGAACCGTGCGGGGTTGTCGGACCGATGTCCGAACCGGAATGAGGCTCTTGACTTTCCCCGCGGACGATGCTGAGAGTCTTCCCCGACCACCCACTATCGCCCTAGAAACCTCACACTAGACCTCGACGAGTCATGGCAGACCCAGCCACACAAGGCCAAGAGCAAATGAAGCTCCCGCACGCACGCCCAGCCGAGAAACTGCTCGTTGTAGTCATGGTGCGCTGAACTTCTCAGATTTACACTCAGATCGGAATGTTGATTGTTCCAGGGCGTGTCAGGCTGCGGCAAATCGACCTTGGGAGCGCACATAGCTTCGGCGCTTTCTATTCCCTTCATCGACGCGGATGATCTGCATCCCAAGTCTAATGTTGAGAAGATGTCTCGCGGCGAACCGCTGACAGACGAAGACCGGGCACCGTGGCTGGAGCGCGTGCGAGAGGCAGCTGCAGCAGCCGCACACCATACCGCGCAGGATCACATCCCCGGGCCGGAAGCCGTCGAGGAAGCGAAGCATGAGACGAACTCGTCCGGCGGTACTGGCGAGACGCATCCCGAGCATCCACCCGAGCATGCATCGGACTGCCCTCCACCCGCCCCTCTACCTAAGCATCCTGCAGATCTTCTACCAGCGCCTGCAGAACACGAACTGACGCATCCAGGAGAGAGCGAGAAGGGCGGTGCAGCGGTGGTCGCGTGCAGTGCGCTCAAGGTCAAATATCGCGACGTCTTGCGCGGGGGCCCTTTGCGCACGGTCTTCGTACACCCCCATGGAGAGTACGATGTTCTACTCGCACGCATGCATCATCGAAAGAGCCATTTCATGAAGGCGAACATGTTGGATTCGCAGCTGGCGACGTTGGAGGATCCTATAGACGAGCCGGACTGCGTGCGTGTGCCGGTCGAGGTGGGGATGATTGAGCAGGTGGAGATTGCGCTCGATGGGCTGCAGAAGATGGGTGTAGTGACGAGGGAGTAGCCTGGTCGCGCAATAGGCTACATAGGAAAGGCTATGGATATAGATGTACAGTAGAAAAGATTGTAGATGATAATGGTGTACAACCCAGTGTGACTGTGGCGCGAGTGCTCTTTGATGGGGTGACGGGACGCGTCGAAACCGACGACGCGCAGGCTCAACGCGCCTAGACGTTTTCCTCTCATACGTCCATGAGTTCCGAGAAGCTACTCCCTTCTTTACTGGAATAGGCTTCCGAACCGCTCGATTAAACTCCTACACTCCATTCTACGCGCACCGCTGAAACCCCATGCCTTCTGTATTCCGCAAACTTGCTAGCCTTCCGCGACGACTTCTGTGTCTTCCTAGGCGCTCGGAGGTGGATCTGACGGACGACTTACCTGTAACTCTTGGAAACGCCACCAAGGATACTACGAAGACTGTAACAGCCACATCTGTGGACGCGACAGACAGAGAAGCTGCGACTACCGTACCTGAGACAAGAGTCATCGTTGCACAGAGGGCGCATAGTTCCGACGACGTCGCGGACGTGCACAACGTTACAGACGAGGAGTCGATAATCGACACCACTCACAGAACTCCTTCAATATATGGTCACTGCTCACAAGATGATCTGCCAGACCCTTCCTGTCCTATTGCGTTCCCTCGAAGAGCGATTCCGACTTGCGAACAGGGTGCCTGGGCACGTCAATCTCGTCGTACTTCGCCGGACAATGGAACGGCACACGCACTCAGAGAGCTCTCTGAACTTGCTGCTCACTCACCTTCGAGCTTCGTGAATACTTGGAGGACGTACCTTGCCGAGAGTCGTCCAACGGTAGCCAGCAAAAACCCGCATCTACCGTTTCTTATCCTAATGGACGTTTGTGCGGTCAACAGCATCGTCGTACCTGACGCCTCCAAATCGGAACAACTCTGGTCAGATATGCTGCTGAGCGGTGCCGCCGATGTATGCTCTGCGTATCTGAAGAGGTATCCCACCACGAAGGCGGTATGTCGTCGAGGCATGCTATGATTAGATCATCGCGCTGAATCGACTCAGCTAATGGTCACAGGTCTGAGCAACGTGATAATCTGCATGCATATCGCTTGTGCTCCACCGAAAGGCGTCGAAGCGGCACGGGCGTCCTATATGTCACTATTCGCTCAGTATTGGAAGTCCATCTGGGAACATAGGAAGCTTCTCACAGATGACGAGGTCGGGGGATCGGGAGAATCAGCATCTAAGGCCAGGTCTGCCGTCCACGCGGCGATCTCTTTGTTCTTCAGTATACTCTGGTGAGCCGAATTTCGCACGTTGTCAGACAGTATGATGTCTGATCTGACTTCACCACAGGCGTAACTCGGCTCATTACTCGCTTTGGAAACGGGAAGACTTCGCCGTATTCCGCCGCGTCATGCTACTTGTATGGATGCATTCTGTCGACGATGATCTGGACACTGATGAGAAGGAGTCCTATCCGGTTTTGGCATCCACTCTCTTCGACAGGTTCAAGGATATGACGCACTTTACCGATGTTGACCGCCGTGAATATGTGGAGGAGGACATGATCGGAGAGTACGGCGCACAGAAGTACCTCGCTCGAGCCTGCATCACGATTTGCGCATTCAAAGACGTCGATACTCTTGCCAAAGTGCACGATGTTACTGCAAAGACTATCGCGCATCCTGACTTTCATCCTTATCTGGTCTCCTCTGGCGTCTTGCAAGCTATCAGGGATACTGCGGATGTACCTATCGCGCAGTCACCGGACAAGGACGCGCTCTGGGTCTTACACAAAGCTATCATTGCGGCGTACTGGTGGGATCTCGCGTCTTCTTTAGAAGCTCATGTGCTAATTGGCCTGTCACATAGCCGCCTCCTGAACTCAGCGCCCGTTCATCAAGCTGCTAAACCTCTTCTCCGCACGTACGACATTTTTGAACTTATTGCGCGCGCCTCCATCAGCTTCGTGAGCGTCCGAGATACGGAGAGGTACAATTGCTTCTGTACGTGCTCTCCTTGAACTCTGTTCAAATACAATGCGTTGATAGTTTGATAGGTACCGTACGGGAAGTTCTGGCGGTCTATACGGTCATCTCGGGCGGTGCTCAGGCCCATTCGAAGAAGGATGGACTGGTCAATACGATCTTGCAATCTCTGCGTCCTCATTGGTACCGCACCATCAGAGACCTGCGCCGCATAGCGGAATACAATACATCTGCTGAACCAAGATGCGAGAAGGTTGTAGATGTGTGGAAAGCTCTCGGCGCGACGCTGGGTTTGAAAGAGGAGGAGGAAAAGGTTGAGTTTGAAAAGGAGATGAAGAGGCTGGAGAAGCTCTGCGCGTGGAAAGAGTGCCAATACCACACTGTAGAGCCTCCCACCACGGCGAGTCGCTGCGTGGGGTGTCGTGAGGTGGTAAGTTGTATGGTTTGTACAGCTTTGGGATCTTGCTGACCGCTCTTTTCACAGCGCTACTGTAGCAAGCACTGTCAGCAGAGGTGCGCTCTATACATACATCTGATTATGCACACGCTAAAGAACGCTTCGCAGAGACTGGAAGGAGGGTGGACACAAGCTACGGTGCAGACGTCTCAAAGCCGAGCCACATTCGCCACGTTCTTTTCAGGGCACGTCTAGCTCCTGATCGCAGTCTCCATGTACACTGCTTCGTGCCCCACCCCCTGCATTGTCTTCTTGACATTTCTTCTATTCCATCAACGGTATCCTACTCGGATGAGCTATGTTCTCGAAGGCGCTGATATATCAGGCTCTCTCTGACGAATGAACCGTGCGCGCCCTCGCCGAGCGCGCATCAGCCGTCAAGCCGCTTTCAAGCTTATCCGCAGCCCTGAGATGATGTATGAAGTCTATGATTATCGCATTCGTAATGACGGCCGCCCGTACGGCGAGAAGATGTGGTGTAAGGTTCGGGTGACATACGCATATACGCATTTTGGAAACATGGATGCGACGACGACGGACCGCTTACATCTGTCCTGAGCATGCGGCCCGCGTTCTTCAACAGCTGACCCGTGACGGCGTTGCAGGATGCGGACTGATGAGGTGGGTATACTCACACACAGAGATCTAGCACTGAGGGCCAGAAGGGGCAGCGACGGACTATTGAAGCTCGCCGGTCGCCGTTCGGCGCGCGAAGTTACGCCCGCTGCTGATAGACGACCGTCTCATGCCAGGGAATACACGTGTGCAACGGTTCAGACGACCCGATGGCATGACCCTGCCCAGCTCGGTGGCCGCAGGGGGGAAGAGCGGTAAGCGACCGCACCAGGACGATGCCACGAACCGGGATTACGCCCTTTCCCAAAATCAGCAGCAGACTGTCGCGGCGTGTGAGGCATGTAACTCCACTCCATGAAAATCGGCGCGGGCTGCCGGTGGCTCCGTGGCGTCGAAGGGACGTTGGCAGTCGGCATGAGATTCAGAGACGCAAGGAATCGAACTACACTGCTGAAGCTGGACGAGGGCCGGCTAATTGTAAAGCTTGTAACGCGCAAATCGCCCGCCGTTCACACGAGGAGCAAGCGAAACAGACAATGAGCACATGGGAATGCATGCTGGCAGCCCTCGGCGAACCTATTCTCGCGCAAACGGCCGCCAAATCCGCGTGAAGGGAGACGTGGAAGAGACCCAACGCGCGAGTTTCCTCCCACTATCTTATACCTCGAGTTCGGCGAATCCGCGCGCCCTCGACAGGTCGCCGACCCGCAACCGCGATCTTTCCGAGGACGCAATACAATCTCGAGGATCCGGAAGGCGCTAGAGCATCTTGTCATGTGCCGTAGCTTGCACCGCGCGAACAACGGAACATACAAGCATGAATTGCAGAAGGAGATGGAGGAGATCACCTGGTGTTGAAACCAGGGGATATAAGTCAGCGATGCTATGGAGAAGCGAGGGACAACCATCCTCTACCATCCGACGACCCGCCTGCGATTATCCGCCACATTCAATCGCTTACAATGCCAATGACACTCTCGGTAGGCTACGCTGTCTGGTGCTCTCGCTAGACCCGAGACTGACGCGCTTGTCGACCAGAAACCCTCGGCATCTGCCCAGCAGCGCACCTTCTTGAACTTGCGAGGCAAGTTCAGCAAGTCGTCCATCGATAAGCGGGCCCCGCACTGGTGCGACGACTCCTACTCTACTCTCGTCCCATCCGAGACCAGCACCTTGGTAAGTGAGGTCATAGCTGTAGGCACACAGGATGTTAATACCGTTATCAGAACGAGTTTGATCTTGACGCCTACGTCGCTGCGGCCATGACGGAAACACAAACCCCGAGGCACGCACAGACGCTTGAGGACGACAACATGGCGTGGTCAAAGCCAGCTCGGAGAGACGAGCCCAAGAAGCGCTCTGCAAAGCACAAACGGGGCACCACTCGGGACGCCGGCTACGTACGTGCCCTGAATCATTGTCCGTAAGATGCCGAAAGAGCTCATCCGGGCCTGACATAGGCGCAAAACCTCGACGCTGAGAATACTTCTTGGTAGAGAAGCTCACACGCGGGATTCTTTGGGTTCATTTGGGACTTCGGGGCATTAGACACAGTCAATCTTATTTTGTAATATTCATGAATACCCTGGGCAAATATGCGTTAACTCCACCTCCACCGAGACGAGAGAAGAAACGTACCACTACTGCCCCTATTCAGAAGACATAGATTTCGCCAACCTCCACACCGCCACGTTTGAGTACACGAGTGAGACGATCCTCATGCAGTTCAACTGGGTACCAACCGTTGACATCAGAGTTCAAGAACTCCTCGATTGAGATCGTTTCTCCGTTATTGGGAAACGACAGCGTGGTAGAGGAGTATGCAAGCCGACTGTGTACCGCTGGGACCAGCTGCTCTCCATCATGAAACTCTTCGGTGGCGCTTGCCTCTTCATGCAAGGTAAAATCGGATGCGAGGCTAAGCGGTGAGGGCGCAACGCCAGCACGTGCCGATGGACTTCTGGAGAAGTCCAGTATCTCGTAGCGGAGGATGTTGAAATGCGAGGCGACATCAAAAGTAGGCCACAAGAGGCGTGATCCCGATAACAGACTGGGATGTACTCATCAGTATTGGCGGCACCCAGTGGACGAGACAACATACCGGTCAATTCGCAATTCGGCGCGGTTGCAAAGGACGCGAGTATTATCTGGTCCCCATCCGTCCCATTGGAGAGTACGCGTTCCCGTGTTCGCCTGATCGGCTTGGCGGAATAGGCGGAGCAGCGAGTTGACAAGCATGATGTAGAAGAAGCCCCGACTACCCATCTCGGCTATGTAAGGGATCTGACGAATGACAAAGATACGGTCGCCAGTAAATGGGGCTTCCGTGAATGGTATGTTCTCTAGCATACTGCCGAACTGCTGTTTCCGAGACACAGGACAGGAGCTCGAGCGGTGCATAGGCAGTTGAAGGACGACGAGTGGATTGCCCGTAAAGGTCAGACCCCGTATATCGTATATACGTACGGTCGCTGAAGTACACATTGCAACGCAAGACTCGTCTAGGATCTGGGTATCCGTGACATGATCTTGCCAGTCTCCGATGATGGTAATGCTCTGCAACAAGATGGTTAGCCTATTCAGAACTTTGACTTTAGAAGTGAAGGAGCTGACCAGTTTCGTCACGTCATTCTCCCAATCTACAACATACAGTTGCTGAGCTCTTTCGCCAGTTCGAGCGACAATGGCTAGAAGATGTCCCATGAGATGCCACGAAGTGCCGTTGTACCTCCGATGGTCGACATTAATGTCAATGAAAGGATGGATGGCATCAGGGTGGTCCGCACTACCTCCAGAACTCCAAGTCCGGAAGTAGAATCGGACAAAATGAGGGTGTCCATTGTTTGATAGGTTTTGGTCCAAAATAACAAGGAGATCTTGCGCGGGATCGTTCCTCCAGTCGAAGATCTCTGGGTCAGCTTCACCCAGCAGACCATGACGCATGTCGTCAATGCTCAGGCCCAGATCCAGAGCTCTCATCTCCAAGGCGGTAGGGTGTTCAAGTTGTACCTGCGAGCATTGGTGAGAGCGGTAAAGCAGTGTAAGCTTTGACGCACGCGCACTTTTGAAGGCTCCGCGACTTGCATCGTCAAGGTCGGTTCCAGCGTTCGCCAAGCTTCGCGACGCTGTTGCAAGAGGGAAAGCCTTTCCATCAACGACAATGGGCAGTGTGTCGGGCCATCTATCATCCCTGCCGCCGCAAGACCATGATTGTAATGTAGGCTGGGCGTAGTAACGACGATATCGTGCAGTAATCTACAAACCTTCGAGGGTATCAGAATGAGACCTTCACAACGAAGAACTCAATATCAACGCACCTGAAGACAGTGGCAGACATCGCGGACATCTACATGGATTAGAATGTAGCCGAGTAACTCCGGCGGGAGGTCATGAAGGACAGCCATATCGAGGCATATACTTCCCAAGACCACTCTATACGGCACGGCGGTCGCCACTTGTCATATATACCAACAGCATCCCACAAGGGGCTCTGTTCGCATTCGCCTCAATGCACAATAGACCACATGAATATTGTCCACAACAGAAGACGACATCGATAGCTACGAAACACAAGATCGGATATGATCGGCAGTTATCCTTGAGGCCCGCCTATCCAAACCGGGTCTTGGCCATCTGCATGAACATGTCCATAGTCGCCTTGTCCTTTTCGCGTATAGCACTCGCGCGCTCCTGCAACTCTGCGGCTCTTTCTCGTTGGGCCGCTGAACGGCGCTCTTCACCCCGCTTCTTTGCGGCATCGCGCCGCGCAAGTCTGCCGGGACATATCAGCATCATCCGCAGTATGCGATAGGTTAAGTCACGCACTCCTGCTGGAAGCTTCCTCCTCCCATGAGCGTCGCCTCATCCACCTCCAGTCCTTCATCACCGCGTTCACGGAACGCCCGATCATTCGCCCGCCTTTCCGCCTTCTTCTCCAGCATTCTCTCCTTTCCGATTGCACGTGGTCCGTTTGCTTCTTCCTCTCGATCTCGGGCATCACGTCGCTCGCGCTTGCGTTCTAGTGCACGATTCGCCGCCGCCGTCTCAGCAGCCGTCTCGCGGGCAAGTACCAGGTCAGAGGGTGTCGGCAAGCTTGGGCCCTTCGTTCGGCTGCTCGAGCTTGAAGCGCCCATCAAGTCATCGGCGGAGTTTCGAGGTGGCTCGCCGCCCTTTGAAGCGAAAGACCATTTATGCTTCGTCAGCGCACGGCGAGGGGCGGCTTCCACACCTGCATAGAGGTTCTCTACAGAAGTAGTCAGACTTTGCATCCGAAATCCTCACTCAGGTCAGGCGCACTGGAAAGTGTTCCTCGATTCCACTCTTTGACGAACTTTCGGAAATATCTGTACAAATGAAAGGCCAGTTAGACAAGTTACTGGGCTAGAAGCATGTAGTAAATCCTTACTTGCGCGCTTTATCGCCCGAAAGTTCATCAAAGTACTATTACAGTACGACCATCACCGCACACAGGCCGCCTTATGCATGAGCCGGGATCGTACGAGTGCACACATTGACGCTGGTTTTACCTTGCGTTTCTCCTCCCGCAGCCAAACGCTGAACTCGGCATTCTTCAGGAAGTAGTCCTTCTCGGATAAGGGATCCGCATTTCCTGGTAGACGCGGTGGTGGGGATTCCGAGCGGGAGCGAGAGCGAGAGCGCCGAGAGGACATGGCGGTGCGAAACGAAGCCAAGTCCAAGCGCTGGCTGCGCGCGCTCATACAAGGCGAATGCTCCCACGAGTCACGACCACGGCGGCATGGCTGTCTACGCGCGTTCGTTGTACTTGCTCTCGTCCACCAACATGATGGACTTTCTGACAACACGGAACAGATACTCTGCACGAAAGCGAAAGACTATGCCGCGGGCGCTCAGCATTACCCCCTTGATGCAATCCGGTGCATACGACTGAATCAGTGCATGGTCGAACGCTTGGCCTCAATGCCTTCCGCTAGCTTCGTAGTCCATGTTGTTACATTCAAGAGGACTATGTGCTATTAGCTTGATTGCTTCTCCGCAAGCAAAGCCGTACGGATCGTCATCAATATGAAGTAGCCGCGTTCACAGGAGACGTTTGCAACTTGCCTCGCGGTGACAGTTGTTGTGGGGATGCAAGCACTTGAAGGTTTCCAATGAGATGAGATATCTGTAGATGCTTGTCTCTTGGCGCTATTCACAAGCCTTCAGCTACCACTGCAACCCGCCGCCCCAATGCCTGCGAGTTCACATCATCCACGTGCACGCGCTCAGCGCGTTATGTCACGCGTCGATCACAGCTTGTGACTTCGGCAACTCGGCGCTGCCTGCAGCGCGTGCTGCGTCGTTCTAGCGACGCGACCACGATCATCATCGGAGATCCTGACCCACCGCAGTAGCCCTCATACGGTGCGTATTACTTATTGCGATATCGGCCATCAAGACTCACCCTCCCAAGAGCGTCGCAGATCTTGCTTCACCAGGCTTCCTGGTCCATGGACCTCAAAATGTCGTTCGATTTCTGCAAACGAGCCAAGATTTTCCCACAAGGGGTGTTCACACCGTCACGATACGCAGGAGACGGTCCAAGCTGTATGATGGCCGGACTGCGTTGCAGTGCACTCACAGCAAGATTCACGTCAGTATGCTCTCGGGGGCGTCCATGAGGAGGCGGATATAATGCCGCGTTCGCCCCAGTGCAGAGTGCCACCGCTTGCCTGGGAAACTCCCTCTATATGATGCTTCTTGGTTCCGACCTCTCGCTGCTGTATGTAGCAGCTGGCGTCATCCTGCTCTACATTATCGTACAAGTGTACAAAGATCGGCATGTGCGTATCCTTTCCCTTGTTGTAAGTCTGCTTCTCAGGAACTGAATGTAAAACGCGCAGTTACGAAGCATACCCGCCGTTGGGTACACAATACCAATACTCAACTGGGTGACTTGCATCCAATACATTTTTCAAGCTCGCGAACTCATCCGAGAGGGATACGAGAAGGTACGAAGCTACTCTAGTACTTTCTGGTAAAGAGTCCTGACAGCTCATATGACATGCTTTAGCATCAGAGCACTGGAGTATTTCGCATAGCTGCCCACGATGGATGGCTGATCATTGTCGCAAACCCGCAACTAGTCGAGGACGTACGCCGCGCGCCCGACGATACCTTGAACTTTACGGAAGCCGTGATGCGCTCGGTCCAACTCAAGTACACGATTGGAAACGACATCGCGGACAGAACGTATCACGTAGACGTTGTGCGCAATGCTCTAACGCGCAACCTCAATACGCGCTTCGATGATATACGTGATGAGATACAGGTGGCGTTCGACGAGGAAATCGGTGCCGGCGACAGTGAGTGGACATGTCATCGTACGGAGCAAAGCTCATGATTCCTGCAGATTGGAAGGAACTTCCGGCCATCGAGACAATTCAGCGCATCGTAAGCCGCGTGAGCAACAGACTATTCGTGGGTATGCCGCTGTGTACGTGCACTCATCTTGGGTTTGCGGCCCTGGTCAAGCTCATGCTCGGATGTAGGCAGAAACCGCGCATGGGTGCAACTCAACATAGACTACACGACAGACGTCGCGATTGGTGCTATGGTTCTCAACATCGTACCAACGCTCTTCAAGCCGTATGCCACACGCCTCTTGCTTAGAGAACCATACCTCTAACTCGAAGTCAGTTTAGTGAGCTGGTCCCTAACTAAACTCAAGGCTCAGAGGCAGCTCGCGAACAAGCTCGTGGGACCAATCATCGCCCAGCGTCTGCATGACCTCGAAGAGCACGGCGAGAAGTGGAGCGACCGGCCTGTATGCGATTGCCCTGACCGATGACCCGATGTTTGACACTCATTCATGCTTACAGAATGATCTCATTACATGGCTTGTAGAGGCGTGTCCGCCAGAGCTGCGTGAGGTTCCATTGATCACGAATCGGCTCCTCGTGGTCGAGTTTGGCGCCATTCATACATCCTCTATGGTAAGTTCTCCCTATACCACGGCGATAGCCGAGACTCCCGTGACTGACTAGAATTAGACGTTCTCGAACGTGATCTACAACCTGGTATCCAACGAGGAATGGATACGAATGTTGCGTGAAGAGGTGGAACACGTCGTTGCGATCGAGGGCTGGTCGAAGATTGCTCTGGCAAAGATGCATCGTGTGGACAGCTTCATCCTCGAGACACAGCGCGTCCACACCATCGGGATGCGTACGTCTTCGCTCGAACGACATGGCAGCCTCGGCTTAACCTGCATTCACAGTGAACCTTCAGCGTTGGACGATGAAGCCGTTCACGTTCTCCAACGGCATACGCGTTCCTGCAGGCTACCAAATCATCAGCGCTGCGGAGATGCTGCAGATTGACCCAGCTCATCACGGCGGACGCGCTACTGAGTTTAATCCCTGGCGTTGGTCAGATATGCGCGCGAAAGACGCAGGGTCTCTAAAGCACCAGATGGTTGCGACGAATTCGACACTTCTTCACTTCGGACATGGGAGGCACGCATGTCCGGGCCGCTTCTTTGCTGCGTACGAGCTCAAGGGCATGCTTGCCCATCTCTTACTCGAGTACGACGTACGGTTCAAGGAGGGAGAGAGAAGGCCGTCGAACATGGAGTTCGGGCCTACAATCGTTCCACCCCAAGTGCAACTTGAGTTCAAGAAGCGGCGCGACTCTTGATGAGGAGGACAACGGCGCCTCTTCAGACCCATGGGTTTCGCACTCTTGCTAGCGTGCACTATTTCGCAAGGGGAGGGTTTCGTGTGTCAAGCATGTTCAATCGTAATGAATACGGCTACAGGACCTATCAATTACATAGTCAAACTATACAGGATGTCGATTACAGTGTCCATGGCGCAGATGATGAAGTAGACGATCAGCGACAGCCCCTGCATGATCAGAAAGCATTCCTCAGTACAACTAACTCACAGCGAAAGCAGAAAGCAATGAGATCATGATAGTATAGCATACGGTGCCATGAGCGCATGAGGCGAAGAGATTGTCCGCCGGCGCCCGCCGGTTGGATGACCCGCGCCCGGCGCGTTCCCTGTCGCAGTGAGAGCCCATAGTGCCGCAACGTCCGTATAGCTCTTTCCCCTGCGGGATGGTATACTGTGGCTAGCAGAGCGCGCGTGCGGTGGACCCTCGGACATCTTTCGGCAGACCCGTGGGCGACGCTTGCCAGATTTGGGTGATAGAGGCGGTACGAGCATGTCGTCGCTCTCGCTCCCCACAAGTGTGCAGTCGCTCTCGTTGCTATCCTCTCGGCTGAGCAGAGCGGTGGTATGGTGCACCGGCTTTGGTAATGATGAGGGGATAATTGAGCGTGCCCAGCGGCCTGATGCGGCTAACGCGCGCTCCGCGGCCGGCAGGAAGGAGAACGCCTGGAAGACGTGAACTTGGTCATCATACACCTCCAGTTTGACCTTGACGCCCGCTGCACGAGCTTTGTGGGCTAGCAATGCACACTCGTCGCGTAGCACTTCCGCCTCGCCGCTCTGAATCAGGAGTGGCGGTAACCCCTCGAATGCGCCGAACAGGGGGCTCGCATAGGGATGCGTGAGAAGTGCGCCCGGTGCGTGCTCCTCGCCCAGGTAACATGCGATAGGGTCCATGATGTCGCCGGGTACAGGTCGCGGCACGATATCGAACGGTGCGTTGTGTTCCCAGCTATCACACGAAAGCGTGAGGTCGACCCAGGGTGACATGAGGATCGCGCCGGCTGGTAAGGGGTGTTGGGTGTCTCGGAGGTACAGGAGAAGGGCAAGAGCCAGACCGCCTCCTGCGCTGTCGCCTGCGACGAGGATCCGAGACGGCGGGACGGAGAGATCGGTGATGAGTCGGAGGTAGGCGCTGACGGCGTCGTGTAGTGGGCCGGGGAAGCGCGTCTCCGGAGCGAGGCGGTAGTCAACAGCTGAAAAGTGCGTGAGTTACTGTCGGGAAAGCAATGGGAGTAAGGCTCACAGAATACTCGTGCACCAGTCGTGCGTGACAATGGTACAGTGATGCGCCTATGCGTCGCAGGGCTGAACAAGTAGTAGGCGCCTATTCTCGAGTTGAGCGCCGGTGCCACACGCCCCAATGAGGAAATTGGCTTACCGCCGTGCAGGTACAGAATAACGCGCCCCTCATCTTCCACACCGTCCTCGCGCGCATCAACCCACTCTCCCGCCAGTTCGCGTGAACCATCCTCAGCTGCGTCATGTTCCGTGAGAATGCCGGCCAAGCCGCGCTTGCGTACGCGGAAGGTGAAAGGCGAGATATGCGCAGCATGGGGTAGTGGTGCGAGGTTTCCGAGGCTGAGGAGTAGCCTGATCGTGGCCTGTCAAGATAAGATAATGGAAGCCGTCAGCTACCATTGGAGAGTGCAAAGCTATAGGAGGGTGTACGCACGATGTCGACCAAGTTTGAGTGCTGGTTTGCGCCGCGCATGATGGTGCTCAGCAGTGTCATTGGTAGTCCCCAGGACTGCCGTCGTGGACCCCAGAGATGGTGCGTGACCGTATCGAGCGCAAGTTCCGTCGCTGTGGCGCAGGGGTCAGCGCTTCAGCGTCTAAGTATGGCACACTCCGTTTCACGATGCCGCCCGTCTAAGTCCATTCCCCTTCCGCGATGCGCAACCGCTATTGTGCACACGACCCCAGCGCAATTGCCCAGATGCGAGGAGAGATCCAATACGGAAACAGTGTACACACCTTTTGAAGCGAGTGCGACACCGAGCCGCAGAGCTCTTGAGCTTAGCCGCGAGCCTTCAGCCTGTCGTTGTTCGGCAAGAACTACCGCACGGATGCGCGCTGATGGCGGTGACATGCCCGGCTTTTCGAAGTGGGTGAGGAGAGCGGCGAACAGCCTCTCGTCGGCGTGTGGCGTGGCATCAACCTGCGATTCATTGTCCGCGGCGGTGATCTGCGGGGGCGCCGCGGCGCTCACAACTTCATCCTTGCCCTGTCGCTGCTGGCGCTGTGTCAATGCTAGCTTGTCCATCGCAAAGCTGAGCGGCCAAGTAGCGGCGGTGAAAAGAGCGGTGCCCACACCGAACGGCATGGTCGTGTGCTGCTATGGGGAAGGGCGAGAAGGGTTGGGAGCCAGGTTGGGCGATGAGGATCAAGTAGTCTGTGCGGGGAAGCAGAGCAGGCCAGGGTGATAGAGATGGCAAGTAGATAGCTAGTATGTGCGATGTGTACTGGAAGATGAGAGATGGACGTAAGTAACACAAATCACATGTGGCCCCACAAGCTAGGAGCATTGCCTCCGCCCTATACCCCTTCTTCCAATCGCCGCTCGCGGCCGTACCCCTCCCGGTACGTCGCCGAGTACGCCGTGGGCCACAGCATGTCTCGCCGTCATCTGCGTCTCTTCCATATCCGCGCACCGCTCAGTAGTCGTCGCCGCGACTGACTACCTCCTTGCGCGTCGGGCGGAGGAGAATCGTATGTTCCTGCGGTACACGCAGCCCGAGGTCAGCGGACTGATACACTCGCTCATCACAACACGGAAGACGTACAAACTGGGCCGTCATTGACCCGCGTTCGTCACATAGCGGCGGGTAATCCTGCACGATCCCCTGAGCCACAAGGTGGTTCAACTGCTCACGAGCCGCGAAATTGCACGTCAGCGATTCGCTCGGTCTCAAATGATTCGCAACCGGTGACGCACGGCAAGGAGGTATCCGCTCTCGCCGATGCGGTCGAGATACCGCCGGCAGAAGGGCAGCGTATTGAAGTTTTTGTTGATCGTGCGGAGTAGCGACTTCGCCGTCTGCAGCCTGTGGTCGCGTGCGAATCCCACTGTCAGCGCAAGAATGCTCGCACGTTGCGCGTTCTTGCGCACCTCAGCTGTGCAGGCGGCGCGTTGTATATCTTTGCATAGTGAGAGCAGTCGCCCTGTGTGGCATGTATGAGTGCTCCTATTGGGACTCGTTGATGCGATCTTCCATACCTGCTCAATAACGCGCCCGCGGCCCGTCGAGCCGAACGTCTCAATGGCAAAATATTCGCCCTCCTCCATCTTGGTGTCGTCATTGTTCTTGACAAGTAGGACTGATTTGCCGCGGTCGCCACCGTGGATCATATACGGAATGATGGTGTGTCCGCTGAGGTTCTCGATGGACTTGACTAGAAGATGGCAAGTACGTCAGCCCCACAGATCGAGCAGGATGACTACGGTCTGGGGAATCGCGGCGACTGCTACAGCACGCAAGTAAGACGCATTCAAGAAGCACAGGCGAAAGCTGCCAGCATGGTTCCAGAGGGAGAGGCGCATTGCGAGTGCAGTAGGACCGAGGATGCGCGATGGACGCCAAAGGAAGGTGGCTGGCAGACTTACCCGGGAGTGTCTTGCCGTTCACTTCGACTTCGTAGGACTCCATTGTCTCCTGGATCGCAGCGCCAATATCTCCCAGCCGTGCATCAATACCGGCTTCCCGGATACCAGTGTTGGTCGCCTCCTTGACGGCCTCGAGCAGCTTGTCATATGTCGGCTCGAATGTCATAGTAAACGCCGAATCGCAGATCCTCCCCTTGACATGTACGCCGATGTCAACCTTCAGCACATCGCTATGTTGCAACACGATGTTGTCTCCAGCATTGGGCGTGTAATGGGCGGCGCAGTGATTGAGTGACAGTCCGGTGGGAAAGCCGATGCCAGAGTCCAGCCCGTCCTCCTCCACGAGTGCCCGTGTGCCGTCCTCAATGAGGTTCGCGATGTCGGTCATCCGCATTCCGGGCTTGATCGTTTTGCGCGCGTATGCTCGCACTTGTCTGTGCACCTCTGCCGCCCGCCGGATCGACGCATATGTCAATTCTGGGTCGCCCATCGCAAGCTTCTCCTTCTCCCGCATCTCTGCGGACGTCGTACGGAAGTGGTTCCTGGATTCATAGCCACTTAAGTCAAAAGATAGAAGTATACTTGAAGCACCACGCACTCATCCTTGTAGTCCTGTAACTCTCCTTCGGGGTAAACGCCGTCCGGGAAGAGTTTGGTGATTCCAACGCGGGGAGGCTCGCTCTGTGCGACCTTGGCCTTTTTCTTCTTCGGCTTCTTTTTCTGCGATTTATAATAAGTACCCTCATAGTGTACAGTCAGATCCGGTACGTACCTTCTTCTTCTTGGCCGCTCCATCCGTGGCGCCTAGTGAGTTGCTCAGATCGGGGAAACGTCGCAGGGCCAGATAAAGAACCTCACTTACCTGCGCCTACGGGTGCATCGCCATCGACCTCATCATCGACCTCCTCGTCCTCATGATCGTCTGCCGCGCCGTTGCCATTCACGACCGGCTTGGTGTCCTCTTGTGACTTGGGCTCGGCGCTGCCGTTCTGCGTCATGGCCGCAGGATGAGAAAAAGTAGTATACAAGCGCCCACACGACCCGGAGTAACGGTACAATGGCCACGCTCCCACGAATTTGATCCTTCTTGACGTGTATCCTCATTTCGCCGACTTTACCGCCACCAGCCTTATCGTGCCGTTATGCTCAGCACGCAGTCTTAAATCGATATCGACTCTGTTCTGCATCGAGGAAATGAATAATACGAAGGCCATAACGCGTTCACATGCGTAGAACGGCGACCTGCGCTCTACGACTCAAGTGCACTCTGCTTCTGCCTTCTCCAAGGACAGCGCAAAGCACATCATGGAAGGACGCACGAAGGGAAGGAAGTGACATTGGCGCAATCACCTGGTGATAATGGTCGTGGACTTCGGGCTTGTCGACGTGCTTGGGCTCGCGGACGTCCGTGGGAAATGCGCATTAACGTGACTCCCGAACCAGTGTGCAGGGACTCTCTGTGGTCGACGACGACGACAACAGTTCGAACGCTCAGAGCCGGGGTTGTGCGTCAGCCCTCAGCACTGGAGCAGACACATGGACTCCTCGATCATGTACGCACGACTCCCTCTCTGCGAGCATACGCAAAGAAACGGCGTGAGCAAGGCGGCGTAGGAGGTTCGCCAGTGAAAGCATGGGATATCGATAGCTTCCTTGTTGGCAGGCACGTACGTATGCATTCGCCTTCTGATCCTCCCGAGCTTAACTCTGGGCTTCCAACTTTGATATCCACACAGAATCCTGCACGAAGAATGCGCCTTGCATGCGCACATGCATATGCATCTGGCGCTTCAACTTGAGCGTACTCGTCTGCGACTATCTTCTATGCGCACTTGCCTATCTGTACCCTGCACTTCATGATTCAAGTATATCCCCTTCATCCCGGCATACAGAGAACCAGCATACAATGGGCATAATGGGCATAAACAAAGTACAAGAATACAGCATATGACATGACCCTACCCATTGTAGGGATTGAGTACTTTGAGTCCAGAATAGTCCGCATCACAGCGCTCACACTGAAAATGGTGTCAGATTTGGCTGCCGAGAACTTTGAGGTGATACTTACAATAGTACAAGAGTTCTAGCTGAACTGGGTGTTTCAGTCACGGCTGGTTCCTGCATTGCTTCACGATGATCGTTATAGTATCCCACAAGGGCATCGCGTCCCTCTTCGGCTGGGTGGGATGACGAGTCTTGACGGACTGGAACGGCGAGGCTTGTTCGAAGTCCAACAGGTCGATAGGCTGTGTTGAAAGGAAGAGCTTGATGTAACCAAGCCCCTCGTCCACATGCCGGCGCAAAACGAACTCGCAGGGTTGTCCACCGCCAGCGCCATAACCAATCGTGAGCTCGCCCTTAGTCTCGCCCTTCAATCTTACGTCCTCAGGATGACCGCACCCCGGTTGCAAATGATCGCATGATCCAGGAAGCACTCCTTCAGCATTACATCCTGTCGCCGGTGGTCTATAATATTCGGCTGCGACGATACGGCGTGAGTGAGCGAAAGAGTGAATGGTCACTTGAAATGTCCTTACTGATGGCCAGGGTACTGTCATCAAAGTAGAACGCCCACACGTGAAGCGGTACTGCAAAATGATTCCGCAACAAGATCCCGTATGGCGTGCCGTCCTGCGCGCGAAGGTGCGCTATCCCGGACTCCTGGTCGTAGAGGTTGGGTCCCTGTGCCATCCAACATACACCCTCCTCTGGGCCGATCATGTCGCGCTTAAGCTGAAGGATCTCGACATCGATCTTCTTCCTTAAGAAGCTATGATCAGGCGCCTGGCACAACTGATTGTCGAAGCGAGAGATGGCGTTCTCCATGGCGTGCGCCTCCCGGGTCTTGGTCTTTTGTCCGTGTAAAGCCAATAGGTCCTGGGTTGTCGACACGACATCGCGAATAGTAGCGATGACCTTTCCACTGCCAATCGCGCTGCTGGCCTTGCTGCCGTCGGCCTTAGGAGTGCACGCAAGGTCCTTTGCAATTTCCTTGAAACCCTGAAAGTTTCCGGGATCTAACGCCGAAGCCACGTACGACCGGAACGCATTCGTCCTCTCGAGATGCGTTTGAGGCACAGCGAAGTAACGTGATGCGTTATTGAGCTGTAGCTCCTTGCTCATGATTGAGCGTGGGTTGCAAGCTGTCAGCTCAGACGAGAACGCATGGACCTTGACCGTCCTCAAGGTCGCCATCGGTGGATCCTCGACTTTGAATGCGCTGTCCGTGTATATGGAAAAACGAGCGTCGATCGCTACGCCGTTGAGAAGACCCGCGTACACGACGAACTTGCCACTGCCGATAGGTTTCGCAAGATACACCTTGTGCTTTCCTGGCACACGCAGACCAAACAGTACGCGATCGGCATAGTGACCTTCGCACTGAGGAGTCTGGCTATTGATGGAACGTTAGCAACCCATGCCGTGCTTCTAATGTCCGTGTATGACATACCCTTGGATGTACTCAAGTCGTCGCATGAGCTCTTGATATGTCGTCTCGTGAGGTTTCACGGCGCGTAGGGCTTTCAGGAGCTCTCGAGTGAAGTATCCGCGACCATCATTCTCGAAGGCGGATTCGTTCTCGCGACAGGCGGCGAGTAATACGTGCGATTTGGCGCCTGCATGCGTGAAGCCCTCAAGAACGTTGATGTCACGAACGCGTTTGACTGCGCGCATCACGTCTGCGTCCAACGTCGCCGAGAGGGCTCCTTCCAATGCGAAGCCTCTTTGACGGCGCCGGTGCGGGTCAGGAATGTCAGGGGAAGCGAAACCGCGAGTTCCCGAACCGGAGTGGCAGCAGTCGAAGATCACCGTCTGCGTTTTCGAATCAGGCATCTCATTCGCAAGGCCGAGCAATCACTCACGATGTTGTTGCCCATACCGCCACCACATCCCGCCTCAGCAAGGTGATGAAGGAGAGCGCCGATGGTTCGATCTGGGATGGAGTGCTGGGACAGCGGTCCGACGGTCTGAAGCTTCTTATCCGCATCGTACGGAACGATGAGTGATACCCGACCATTGCCTGAGTGCCATTCCGGAGGTGCGATCGCGGTAGTGCCATGCCCTGCATAGTAGATGACAATGGCGTCGCCTTTCCGTATCCCTACGCGGCTGCTGAATGCCTTGATCTCCCGTATGATTGCGTCTCGTGTTGCTTCCTCATTGCGGAGATTCACGATGTGATGCGTCGGGACGCTTAGGTCTGTGTGCAGGTACTTGTACACATCATCGGCGTCCGAGACAGCTCCATAGAGGTCGTCGATATCGCGGGACTTGTACTTGTCGATGCCGATGACCAGAGCGTAGACATTTGTTGCCACGGAGCTATATCCAGCGCATCAGCTTCATCGTGTATATACACCTATCAGGATGGAGAGCGAGTGGACAGACGTTTCATCGCAAGAGAAAGCAGATTCCCGTGTGGACCACCTGTGTAGATGTCAGTGGACTGGTTTGCGGAGTCACATAGCACGCAACGTACCCCATAACCCTCCGTAGAGCCGCTGTGCTGTCTCTTGGTTATCGTGTGTCGAATGGTGCTCAGAAGGGAATGGGACGGAGCATCGTGCACATGCTCGCCGAATGCTATATACTCATAGGCGCTTGCTTGCGCCTTACCTCAACAGGAAGAGCTGAAGGCGCTGCTGAAGTCGCATCACCTTCGGGCGTCTGGGCGTGCAGCCTATGCCTGTCAATCGAGCATAGCTTCACAGTAACCTTGATACTTTCGTTAGGAGCACGAGGATGGCAGCCCTGCCACCACCAGGTGAAACGTCTCTTCCGAATACAATCGTGTCCTCGTATTCTCACGCAGATCGTCAGAACAGTCGGTCGTCCCCTCACTTCCTCGAATCTTGTTTCCCAAAACGCCTGTCTTGGGCCAAAGAAGCGAAATGCAATCAGTATGTCGTGCAGCGCCTCCTGTCAGTAAGTAGATACCTGGGAAAAGCCGACGTCTATAGGGGATCCCGGGTTTCAGGAATTGATTACGGATTGACTAGGCTGAGATCTGTAGATGAATGCGAGGGGCCTCCAGCCTTGCAAGTGGCGAAGCCGCGTGGATTCGAATGCTGATGCATCCGAAGTCCTCAGTGCATGTGAGCGGCTAGCAACCCTAAGGGCAAATGCGATGAGGGGTAACCGGTAAAGAGCCAAAGTCTACGCAGCCATTTGCAGCCACTGACATCGCCGTCAGTAAAACGACGCGACCTTTACTCGCGGCCAGCGAGGCAAGAATCAGTCAGGCCTCAGATATGACGAATGCGGCACAGAATAGCTTTGGGCTATCACGCGGCAATCGCACATCATACGCTTGATACCATACACTTGATACCCAGCAAAATGTGGGTTGTCGGAGACGTGCCATGTTAAAGGATAGCAGCATACGGATATCAGCAAAAGTGTTCGAAGGCAAGTTGCGCGGCCGCGCGCAGAGCTGCGCCTCGCTCGCACACCATGTGGCGAGGGATTCCAGATTCCCAGGCTACGCCAATTTCGTTCCAACATCGCTACCGTGATCGTCCAACGTTCAACGTTCAAATGTGCCCAACGTTAAGTATGAGCACAGGTACTTCAACTAGCAGGGGCGACTCGGCGGTCTCGGGGTATCAGGACTCCATGATGGGAGGCGACATTCTGGTTTCAACCGGTCTCGTCCGAGGAAGGCTCGGAGTACCCACCAGTGCCGCTCCGAACTTCAAGTTCTAGCAGCTTGTACATGCGAAGTGCTGGCAAAATCGAGCATGCACTGCAGTAGACTGTGGCTGTTCATAGTCGCAGAGTAGCGCTCATGGTCGCTCCAACAATGCTCGTGATCAACCACTGTTACAGTGCGATGTCGGGTACATATAATACATGATTGCATGGAATGAACTACCCATTATAATCTCGGAAAGCTAGGGTGAACCCATCGTAGGCAAAAGATGATGCGCGTGGAACTACCGGGGAACTACCGGTTAGGCAGGTTAAGGTCGGTGCTGCACGACCGCGATCGTAAAGGTATCCCAGACACCGTCAGAAGGGCGTGTCTTTTTTGGCGTAATATCGCGGGATACAGCAGGATCCAATGGTGAATGCTGAGGGATGCCCGAGAGATCCACAGGCTCTGTTGAGATGAAGAGCTTGATGAAGCCGACGTCCACATCTTCATAGTCGTCTGGTACAACGAAGGTGTACGGCTGGCCACCGCCATTGCCGTATCCGATCATGAGTTCACCCTTCATATCGTCAATATCCTCTTGCGTATGACTGCACTGGAGGTGATTGCACTTGGAAGCGGGTAATGAAGGAGCGGCGTTGGGTCCGGCTGCGGGTGGCCGATAATATTCATCTGCAGTATGACTTATGAGCACACTGAATTGAGAGCAGCATCCAAATGGGCGTACGTATGGCAAGGGTACCGCAATTGAAGTAGAACGCCCACACGTGCAAGGGTACTGTGGAGTTGTTTCGTACCAATATCCCGTACGGAGTTTCGTCGTCCGCGACAACGTCAACGATCCCAGAGTTGTAGAGATCAGGATCTCGTGCAACATAAGGAAGCCGTAGGTCCGGCCCAAAATCTGCATCCACGTCAGGTTCCAACTTGCAAAACCGTATCTCAATCCTGTCGTTCAAGACGTTCTTCTTGGGAGCGTGATGTAAGTGCCAAAAGAAGTGAGCGGCTGCGCTGAGCACAGGTTGTATCGCGTCCACGTCCGCTTTGGTAGTGCGACTCAACCGCGAGAGCCCTCGATCGGTAATGGAACGGTCGTGGATGGTATATGTGGCGTCGTCTTCGGTGATGCGTATGCTGAGGTTCGCCTGTGTTGGGTCGTTCCTGAGGAAGATCGCCGGCCCGCCGCCGGCCCGGTGAGCATGCACAACGTTCCCAAGAGCCTCCAGCACACGACGCTGGCCGGGATCCGTAGCTGCCGGTACATGCAGACGAAGTGCGGTCGCGCTTCCCATCGAGTTTGGCACAGCAACGCATTGGGCACCGCTTAGTGCTGCATGCCCATCACGAGTCAAGGGCCCGAGGCACTCCAGTTCTGTGGTAAACGCGTACACCCTCCTGACCACCATAGTTGCCATAGGCATCTCGTCGGGTTTGAAGTCGTCGCGGGCGTAAACAGAAAAGGTGGTATCGTCGTCCACGCCGTGTATAGAGCCGATGTCTACAGCAAAGACGCCAGCCTTCTTGTGCAGTTGGTACGTGGCGCGTATGCGGCTCGTGACGCGCGCATCGAACAGTATGCGATTCGGGTTGTGACCTTCACACTGTGGGGTTTGGCTAGTGGCATAGAGTTCAATAATCCGGCTTTTCACGTATATTGTGCTAAGACATACCCTGCGATATTACTCGAAATGTGTCGCATGAGGTCTTGGTACGTGGCCTTCGTCAGCTCCACAGAGCGCAACGCGGAGAGGAGCCCATCGGTGAAGTAACCACGCTGGTTGTTCTCAAAGGCGGACTCGGACTCGCGGCATGCAGCGAGAAGTATGTGTGACCTCGTGCCCGCCTGCGTGAACCCCTTTACAACGCTGAGCCCTCTTCCTTGCGGAACCTCGTTCAAGATGTCCTGGTCCAGAGTCTCTGGCAAAACGCTCTTTGATGTGAAACCTCGCGCCCTTCGAGTGTCGACGAATGCCGGAGAGGGGATACTGCGAGTTCCGGAGCCAGAGTGGCAACAATCAAAGATCACAGTCTGCAGGAAACATCGATGAGTGGGAGCAGCCATCTACGTGTGTATGTACGGGGTCTTACGATATTAGCGCCGGCGTCGTCTGTTCCAAGCTGCTCTGCGAGCAAGTGGAGGAGGGCGCCGATGGTCCTGTCTGGGATGGCGAATTTGGACATCCCCGCATCCTCTAGCTTCGTGTCCGTATCATGCGGCGCAATCAACGATACACTCTGCTTCCCTACGTGCCATCCCGCCGGCGCCGGTGCGGTGGTACCATGCCCAGCGAAGTAAATCAGGATGGGATCTCCTCTACGGATGCCTTCTCGGGTGGAGAGCGCCTTGATCTCTCGTATTACTGCGTCCCGGGTTGCTTGTTCATTGCGGAGGTTGACAATGTGCTCCTTTGGTACGCATAACTCATTGCGGAGATAGTCGTCAATAGCATCTGCGTCCGAGACGGCTCCGGCAAGATTTGGGATATCCACGCAAGCATATTCGTCGATTCCTATTACTAGGGCTCGTAGAGGTACAGAGCGTCGTGTTCTGTGAACAATGATGAGTAAGACTGGCCACTTGCCAGTCAACGACAAGACGCACATTCCCTCCGCGTCCTTAGTAATGGATGCACCCCTTGAGCGAGAGGCGGGAGCTTCGTCGAGCTGTGGCGTCTGATCGGGGAGAGGTGACCGGTTGACTGACCATCTGCTGGATGTAAGTGTGGCGTTCACTCGCGAATAAGCCAGTGGCGCACCCTATTAGATCCCCCAGCTTGCCAATTACACTGCTCCCAAACCCCAGCATGCTGAATGTCAAGAGGAGTCAAGAAGAGGCGTAGATGACGGGTATCAGCTCTTATGCGCAAAGTGCCGGCTGGCATGCAGTCGCATGACAAGAAGCGATGATAAGTAAGCGCTACTGTGGCGGCCTTCGTCAAAGACAAGCTCTATCTTCACACCACGAATGGCGCTATCGATGAAAAGCTTTGGCTCACAGAAGCCCTAGACAGTTTCCCATGACTGCTTGATGAGTGCCTAAGGAAACGTCCGGTACAGCCTGTGCTCGCGCTTTGGTTTGCGCGCCAAAGCGAGCTAACTCGTGCTCTCACGTCTCCGAGGCCACCCGTAAGTCCGTCCAGCATGTAGCAGGGCCTGGTATGGCCAGACAGCTGTGGCTCCGAGGTGAGATATCGATCCTCTACGTGACGTTTAAAATGTGCAGAAAGCCCCCGCCTGTGTTCCCATAGGGGTGAAGCGAGAGGCCGGACAGATCGGATAGGACGTTCGCTCGATTTGGTGGGCTGAGGTGTGGGGGCGTCTTCAAATAGTGCTTGGTGGGAAAGCCGGGGGTGAGAGTCACGAAGGCGGCGTTGATTGACTGCATAGCATCGCTTTTAGACGCTCAGGATGAAGATAAGGGTCCAGAGTCATATTCGGGAACGATGCGGAATCATATCGCGAGATTCCAATACACTGGATGAGGAGGACGTCGAGACGGTCGGGGTCAAGCTTCAAGCCGGGCACGCCCGCACGTTCTCTTAACCGCGAGCCGCGGCCGCCGCCTGCCTTTGACCACCACCACTACGACTCTTCCACAGCTTTGTGATTCAGCTCTACGACATGATCACGCACCGTGTTATGGTGTGGCAACTTCGTCGTCTTCTACGCCAACGAGAAAGTCACACGTCATGACCATCATTCAAACTGCGGTCATCGCTGTAGAGTTGGCGAGCATGAGCTGAGAGGCTGGTGCATTATGAGGTCTCAGACGAGTTGTGGCGCTCGGTACGTACTCTGCTTCTCATGCATGCTTATGCACGACGTAGCTCATACGTCCAAGCTTCAACATCTCAGCGCTGGCCTCGAGTACCCGCGGGACTGGGAATACTGGTCCACACCCGTCATTGGGAGGCAGTTGTGGAAAAGGCATAGCAGGACGTGGTTGTGTACTCATTGCGTACGTACGGCAGTCGCGTTCTCTACGGATGAGCGAACTCACGTCTGCACACTAGTCACAACCACGCGAGCAGGCATTGTCACGACTATCGATCTACGGTACCCAGGACATCCGGTCTTGCACGCTATTGCTCGATTCCATCCCTATCGTGAACATTGCATACCCCTGGAATCAATGCTCGACGCCAGTCGAGCCCGCTTTACAACCTGACACATTCCCTGGAATGTCGAAGACGCACTCCTCCACTCGATCTTGACACCGAGGATGCCCTGCCTAAGATCTCACTAGACGACATCGTTTGGTGTGCCCTAGGCCCAAGACCCGTGAGTAGTACACCACCTCCAGCACTGCCAAGGGCTGACTGTCGCGTTGGTGTAGAACGCGCAAACGTGCGATGTGAATGCCCTCTACGCTGACAAACCAGACGTTCGCTCTTATACTTCCCCTCCCCCTTGCGTGGTCCAGAGCCTCCAGGTCGTTTCGTTGCGCAGGCTATATCCGGAGAGGAACATTATGTATTGGCATGTAATCTCGAAGGCCAATGTCCAGTAGTACATGATGGCACAATAAAGCATACAGAGAGTGGAATACCACGGCTTGAAGCTACATTTCTACCGAAAGCGAGATAGGACGTCGGGAATGGTTTGTGCGCCTGCGCAACAGACTATCTCAATGATGTGAGTCAGGTAATGGAAATCTGTAGGGGGGCTCACAACAAAGCCAGAATACAACACGGGATCATGCATGGTATTCTGTCATCACCGCCGCCGCCGTTGCACGACCTTAATCGTGACGGTATCCCAGTGCTCCACAGGATCATCCTTCAACTTGATATCGCGGGTTGTCGTGGGGTGGAGCGGCGTCTGCTGCTCGATATGCGTGAGGTCTATGGGTCGTGTGGAGAAGAAGAGCTTGATGTAGCCCTCCTCCCAGTCGTGACCATCCGGCAAGGCGAAGCAATACGGCCGCCCTCCACCAGAACCGTAACCGATCGTGAGTTCGCCTCTAGTCTCGCCTTGTGCGACAAGGTCGCGAGGGTGGTCGCACTTCGTATGGTTGCACTTTCCGGGGAGAACTCCTTCAGCATCGTTTCCTATTGCCGGTGGGCGGTAGTATTCGGCTACGGGCGATCGTCAATGTAAGAATGGGAAGGATGCGCGATGGACCTCACATATAGCCAGTGTCCTATTGTTGAAGTAGAACGCCCAGACGTGAAGGCGGACAGTGGAGTTGTTCCGCAATAGTATCCCGTACGGCGTGCGGTCGTCTGCGATAACGTTGGCTACTCCGGTTATTGGGTCATAGACGTTGCGAGAACTGTGCGAGTTGTGCCATGCTTGTGCGTCAAGCTGCAACTCGAGGACCTGGATCTCAATCTTGTCTATCAGGACACGGTCTTGTGGGACGCGATTGAGATGTGCGAAGAAGTGGGACGTTGCATTGAGGATGGGCTGCTTCTTCGGAAAGGCCTCCACCGTCGGTGCGCCACATATTGACAACAAGCCGATGAAGAGCTCGTGAACAGCCGCCGGAACGTCACCTCCAGCTCCATGCGCCTCGACGCTTGCGTGCGTCCCGTGGTCCATCACGGCGTCGAATGCTCTGGTGCTATCCTTGGGAACGCGTGTGAGGTCCTTGAGAGCCTCCGGAATGCTGCGATGGTCCCGATGCGCGAACTCCATATATGTAAGAAGTGCTTCTCCCTTCCCTAAAACGTTCTCGGGAACGGCGAAGAGGGAAGAGGCGCTGTCGAGTCGATCCTGCGTAACTCGAGTCGAGCCCTCATCAAAGGCCAAGATCGAGGTCAAGGCGTGAACCTTTGCCGCCTTCAACACTGCCACGGGCTGGGCATCAGACTTGCAATCGCGGTCCAAGTAAACGGAAAATCTTGTGCCCTCCACGACGCCATTGATGATCCCCGCATGCACGACGTATTGACCTGGACTGAGGGGTTCCACATTGTACGCTCCGCGTTGTCCAGAGACACGCGTACTAAAGAGCAAGCGATCCACATAGTAACCCTCGCACTGTGGCGTTTGCCTGCGAACTAGGTATCAGTTGTGAGCACTGCATTGATATCCGACGGTTACGCACCCTTCAGATCTTGTTATCCGTCGCATAAGCTCCTTGTATGTGATGTCCAGGTCAGGCTTGGCCGCACGTAACGTGTTCAGGAGCTCTTGAGTAAAGTACCCGCGTCCATGATCTTCGAATGCAAACTCGTTCTCGCGACAGGCAGCGAGGAGTACGTGAGACATAGCGCCCGAGTATGTGAAGCCTGCTGATACGTTGATATCACGAGCGCGGGGGATGTTGCAGATGATTTCACGATCAAGGTCTGCCGGAAGGACTCCTTCCAGCGTAAAGCCTCGCGTACGGCGTGAACCTGATACGGTCGGACTTGTGAACTCGCGAGTGCCAGATCCAGAATGACAGCAGTCGAAGATTACAGTCTGCGTACAAGTCTTAGTCGAGATGTGATCGCGGTGGGTATGGGTCACTCACAATGTTATTGCCTATACTACATGCACCTTCTCCTTCAGCGAGATGATGGAGAAGAGCGCCAATGGTCCGATCCGGGATGGCGTACTTGTCAGAGATGGCCGCGTTCTGCAGCTTTCTCTCCGCGTCGTAAGGAACGATAAGCGAGACTGTCTCGTTCCCTGTATGCCACTCCTGCGGTGCCATAGCGGTGGTACCGTGTCCTGCAAAGTATATGAGAACGGGGTCGCCTTTGCGTATTCCTTCCCGTGAACCGAGCCTCTGAATCTCTCGTATGATGACATCGCGTGTAGCCTCTTCATTGCGAAGGTTCACGATGCACTCCTTCGGCACGTGAAGATCTTGGCGCAGATATACGTCGACAGAATTGGCGTCCGATACTGCCCCAAGGAGTTCCTCGATACCGTCGGATTCATACTTGTCAATACCTATGACCAGTGCATAGAGTATGAAGGGACAATTCCTAAGAAGGGCTGGTAAGCAGTGGCATGTATCGATTATTGAGACTAGTTGCAGACATTGTATGGCCCAAGATGGAAGCGCCACGGGAAGATGGACTATCAACAATCAGCACAACAATCAAAACCCTCGGATGTAAACAGTCATTCACCTCAGTGGGCTCAGTAAGGCGTCCAGATAATGCATTCCGGGTAGCCACCAGGCCGAGAGCGAGTGTGTCTTCGCATGCACGACTCTACGCTCGGAGCATTGAGTCTTATATGTGCACACTGCAGGCGCCAGACTGGTACTAATTATAACCTCATCCAGAGAGATGTTTCACCGGGCGTCGACGGTACATAGACACATGAGTGCTGGGAACATTCATCTGTCCACCAGACAGGCTTCGCATCATGACAGTCGTCTTTATCGGGCAACATGAGGCAGTCTCCTCAAGGAAAGCGCCTTAAGCTTGCACATACATCGATCTTCCCACTCGGTTGAGGCCAACGCTCATCGCCCTCCCACATCCTGAGATCGCTCTCCTCATGAATTTGAATGCAATGCACTCAATTGAAGCTGTTTGTTCCGAGCTCGTTCGACATCAAGCGCCCAGTGTCAACACACAGTATTCATGAGCCAGCGCGTGCTGCAGAGTGGTCATGTCATGCTGAGGACTGTGGCCTGGCAGAGAGGCGGAAACCTAGTGGATCTTTGACGAATCTGTGCGTACTGAGAGAGAACATGCTTTGAGCGGGCGGTAACAGGAGCGGCGTTCATGGTGATGATAGTAGTCGAATGACAATCAGTGCCAGAGCGCCCGCCACGCGGGGTCCGTGCCGCTGCAGGCGCGTCAGACGCGCGTTGCGCCCACACCTGTCCACACGCGGTGCGGCCTCCGTTTCGAAAGCGTGTTCAGGCGGGCACTCGGTCACTGCGTCCATTATGAGGCGAGTGTCACACCACGTCGTCTGAGCGGTATCATAGGTGTAGACAGAAGATAGTTGAGAGCAAGTTCCGGCCCACGGGGCGCGCACAGAGGCTCGTCGGACAAGCTCGGAAATGAAATGGCAAAAGATCTTGGCGCTTAGCGCTTAGCTTGCTCGTCCATCTACTTTTCGTCGGCCCTCTGTTACATACACAACGTCGCCATCACGCTTGGTCTTCAGGCCCACCACTCGCAGAGTCCCTGCCTATGGTGGCAACCAGGAAAGATATTGGTCTGGATTCACAAGCTTGACATCAAGGTAGTCAAAGGGTTCTAGTACAGAGATAGGGACAGGATACTTATGTATACGGTATACGATGTGGATAGGACGTCTGCATATCGCTGGAGAAGAGGGGGATTCGGAGGAACGAAAGAAGGCTGGCTCTCACAAGATGTCCCTTTAGCAACCATCAACCAGTATACAATGTGTGGACATATGGGTATCCAATTGCCAAGTTCGGTTGCAATGAGAATGATCTAGGCAACGTCTTCGTATAGAGGCGTTTACGGTCTAACACATCCATAGCAAGGTGCATCCTCGCATCACTCAAGTGGAAGGGCGATGAGCATCCTGCGTATGGCACCAAGATGTTCAGCAACGCCCTCCGATCAATATAACGTGCTACTCACGAGACGTTATGTAGGACCCTCCACTGTTAGCCAGCATGTTGCACAACAGTGATGGTGATGGTATCCCATAACGCCGGAGGATCGTCTTTCGGCCTTACACCGCGAGCATTGGCGTGACCGAATGGCGTGCGTTGGACGATACCAGAGAGGTCGATAGGCCGAGTTGATAGGAAGAGTTTGATGAAGCCAACCTCTTTGTCTTGACCTTCCTCCAGGAAGAAAGTATGGGGTAACCCACCCCCAGTACCATAGCCTATGGTGAGCTCTCCCTTCAGCTCCCCCTTCAATCTGATAGTTTGGGGGTGATCGCATTGGCTATGATCACAATTTCCCGGTAGCGCGGGCTCGGCGTTGCTGCCGAACGCTGGCGGCTTATAGTACTGCGCTGCGGTGCAATGTTTCAGCACAAGGTGAAGGAGAGTGCTGTGGACAGCACTTACATATGGCAAGAGAACTGCCGTTGAAGTAGAACGCCCAGACATGAAGCGGGGCTGTGAAGTCATTGCGCAAGATAATACCGTACGGTGTTTCTCCGTCGGCATCGACATGAACCAGTCCAGACCTGATGAGGTTCGCACCATCCGCCATCCAGGGACGCATCAGATCCTTTCCCAATTTCGCCTCCTCGTCACGTTTGAGCCGGACAAGCTGAACGTCGACGTTCTCATTCAGCTCGCCTTTCCTTGGCGCGTGATGTAAGTGATAGAAGAAGCGCGTAGCAGCACTCAGCACCTCCTCTACTTCGCCAACCTCACTCTTCGTCCTTCCACACAGTATTGATGGGCGCCGATCGAGATGATTGGTGATCAATGGGTCGTAGATCGTATAGGAAACGGTATCTCCAGCTACGAGCGCGCCAAAATTCGCCTGCCGTGGTTCGCTCTCGGCGACAATGGCAGGACCACCGCCAACTCGATGCGTGCGTGCGACATTCTCAAGTGCTTGGCCAATACCGTCCTCAAGTGCAGTTAGCAAGCGAAGCGCTGGGGCCTCGCCCACAGAGTTCTGGACGGCGAAGCAAGGAGAGTTGCTTTTGAACCTGTCGTGGACGGCAGTGGCGGAAGGGTCGAGTAACACGAGGTCTGCTTTGAAAGCCTCAACCTTCGTCGCCTTCAGAGTCGTGAAAGGCTTGGTATCGGGCGTGACGTCGCGGTCGGCATAAATAGCGAACGTAGTGCCCTCCACCACACCGTGTATGGAGCCAGCAGTCACAGTCAACCTGCTGTTCTTGCGACTCACTTCATACACGGCGCGTCCCCGTCCCGCGACACGCGCGTTGAACAAGTAACGGTCTACGTTATGGCCTTCGCACTGTGGCGTCTGTCTGGTGGCAACGATATCAGCGATGAGTGTTTCGCAGGATATAAGGGCGTACCCGGGAATGTTCGAAATTTGCTTCATGAGATCCTTATAGGTGATCAAGTCGAGTTGTACCGCTCGAAGAACGCGAAGGAGTGCGTGGGTGAAGTATCCACGCTCGTGGTTCTCGTAGGCTGACTCAGTCTCCCGGCAGGCAGCGAGAAGTACGTGCGACCTGGAGCCTGAGAGCCTGAAGCCCTTGGCAATATCGATGTCCCGACCCTGTCTAGCTTCGCGAACGATCTCCTGATCCAGAGTCGCGGGAACAACGCCTTTCCACTCGAACCCTCGCGCCCGGCGCGACTCGTCTGAAGTGGAACGCGGGACGGTATCGACTGGGATAGAACGCGTGCCAGATCCAGAGTGACAGCAGTCGAAAACCACAGTCTATATTCGATTTAAGCCTCGGAATAGCCATGACAGAAGTAGACAGTGCCCCGGTACTCACAATGTTATCACCAATACCCTCGACTCCCTCCTTCCCTTCGGCAATACTGTGGAGGAGTGCACCGATAGTTCGATCCGGTATCGCCTGCTTGGACTGTTGCACATCCTCTAGATTGGTATCCGTGTCATAAGGAACGATGAACGAAATCCGTCGCCCTTGCTCGCGCCAACCCTCTGGAGCTATGGTAGCGATGCCATGACCCGCGAAGTAGATCAAGATGGGGTCGCCTTTCTTGATGCCTTTGCGCGATGCGAGAGCCTTGATTTCTCGTATGATAGCCTCGCGCGTTGCTTGTTCGTTACGAAGGATGACAATGTGCTCCGCCGGTACTTGCAGGTCGACGTGCAGATAGTCGTACACGGCCTGAGCATCTGAGGCTGCTCCAGCGAGGTCCGGTATATCAGGGCACGGGTAAGTGTCGATGCCTATGACTAGAGCATATAATACTGCAGGGCGGACGCTGCAAGCGATATATGAGTGACGTCGCAACTTTAAGCTAGGACCATCGGCACGAACCTTGCAATAGTTTGAATGGTAGCATTGTCATTTGAGAGCGGGTGAGGCATGTTGACTGAGGTGTGCAATGGGTCAAAAACACGATTGTACAAGTGCCTTTTTATTGTCAACTCAATATGTAGACTTAACCACTATTCGGTCAACTTACAGTATGTGGTTCCAGGAAAAGGCGGCCATGATGTTCCGCAGGATTTGCGAGATGAACAAGAGATCGAAACACATCAAGTTGCATACATTGGAGCGTTGACATTTAAGTAGAAGGCGCTTGCATCAGTGTAGCTTCACGATAGAGAGACGCCGGAGAAGCTTCATCGTCTGTAGCTCACGTGCAAGTGACGTTGGCCTATACTCTCCTCGTCTAGGCATCCCCAAGAGGGCTAGATACATGCACCGCGGCAAGAAAGGCATTCTCCCCGATGCTGCCGAGGGAACCATGGCACATATAGAGGTATATGCCCTCGGCAGCGCTATCGTTCGGATCGCATTTGTCTAGTGCCCTCTCACATCAGCCGGCTTTGGCAAGTATCCCTTCTATTGTTCACTCTATCGAGATAACACGTTGCGCTGGGCGTTGTACCGGGCGTCATGCCTTTGCGTCAGTGCTGCAGCTTTTGGGACATGGCATGTCACGTAACGGATGAAGTGTGTGTAGAGTTCGATTGGCGGATCCGCGTTGGCTCAGTGACAAGTCATGAGTCGAGGATGGTGAGAAGCCGACTAGATCGAGGAATCGACGTCGGCATCCGAGGTGGTCGGCAGCATCGTGTGGCGTTCTTCCAAGGGGACGAGCGCAAGGTAGCCTTCGAGTTGAACGACGCGCGGTGCCGGAAAGCCCACACCGAGATCCATCTCAGCTTGTGCTGCATACATTGGGATAAGTTGGGGCCGCGCTCTTCTGGAACTGAGTTTCCGAGACTGAGACCGTACAATACATTTGGATCCTCTGCATGACTGGGAGTGAAGAGCAAGTTCGCCGCGTCGTGCGCGCTCGTGCGGACTTGTGCTGGCCCGCGCGCCATGTGGCACGAACACCGCCATCAACGTCGCGCGTTTCCTTTCGCACCATATTGAAAGTTCCTAGTTCGCGTTTTCCTATCCCGACATCGGAGTCTCGTACGGGACAGTAGTTGGCATGAAACACAGGCGGTAGTCTACAGGTAATACACCAGCTGCCTATGCCGCCCGCTTCCTGAACTCAACCTGCACCTCTCTCGGCACGACGTTATTCGCAAACTCCAGATCGACTGGCGCGCCCTTCCCATCCTGGAACCGTACATCGTACTCCAGCACCATATGTGCAAGCATCATCTTGAGCTCGCTCGCAGCAAAAAAGCGCCCAGGGCACGCATGCCGTCCATGACCGAAAGCTAGATGCGTCGAGCTCGTCGCAACCATCTGAGCGCGAAGTGCTTCTTCTTCGTCTTCAATCTCGGCGTAGCGCCATGGATTGAACTGAGCCGCATCCTCGCCGAGATGAGCGGGGTCTGTCTGGATCGCGTCCGCGGCGACGGTGAGGAGGGTGTTTGCCGGGACGGTAATGCCGTTTGAGAAGGTGAATGGTTTGAATACCCAGCGATTGAGCGATGCTGCGCGGAACCGGTGTCAGTAGAAGCGGTGGCGGATGGGGCGCAACTGCTCACTCATATCGAGCATATGCACGCGTTGCGTCTCCCGGATGAAGCTGTCCAAGCGACGCATCTTCGCCACGCTAGCCTTCGTCCAGCCTCCGGTAGCCACGATCCGCTCGGCCTCTTCACGCAACGGGGCAACAAAGTCCGGATTCGCTGCGACCTTATACAGCACATGGAGGAATGTCTGGTGGGATGCTGTTGGTCCATTCGGCCATGAAGATAGCGTTCGAGATCGGCGCTTACATTGGTCGACGAGTGTAAGGAGGCGAAATTCACGAGGAGTACACGGTCTGTCAAGAGATGTGCCTTCCGCTGATGCTCCGGTGCAGCCTCAATGAGCCAGGTGATCAGATCGTTCTGTAGATCCTGTCAGCGCCAGCGCTCATTATGGCGTTGACAAACGTGCGCACAGGCAAATCGGTTGTTTTCCCGCCGTTTTCCGTGAAGTCCCGCAGGCGCTCCTCGATGACAGGCCCGACAAGTTCGTTGGCGCGCTTCTTATGCGCCTTCAGCTTTGACAGCAGCGCTCCGGAGAACCTGTGTGAAATACAGTCAGCGGCCCAGCACCAGAGAGCGTACAAACGGACGGACGGTCTGAGCGGTGTCGGCGTCAGCTTCACATACAGAGCGCCTAACGCGACATCAACGGCATAATTGAGATTCAGCTCGAGCCACTCGGTATCTCTGCCTGTATGAGTGCAATGAGTGACCGCGTCGGCTCGTGCCTGTAAGAGGATACGCACACAGAGGAACGTTGATGAAGAGTCGGTTGGTGACGCGGCTGACAATGCGCTGGAAGGTCTTCACTGAGGGCACGGCGTTCCAGCCTGCATATCGTTTATCACTGGCGCTTATGCACGAGAAAAAGCACCGCTCACCCTCGCCCGTACCAATCTCCTCCCCGAACGCAACTGTGATCTCGTCCCGTATATCGTCGAACCGGGCACCAAGATGTCTACTGAGCGTATTGCGAAGAACGCCCATATGGTATGGCTCGTTCAGCAGATCCTGGCCAAGCGTGTACTTGAGCTGAAACATGTGTTCCTGGCCGGCTTGGAAGCCCAGCGCGTCGTCTGGTGCGCGCCGAATATCTTCGACCATGTCCGGGCTTGTGGCAACAACGAGCCAGCCATCGTGCAGAGCAATGCGGAAGACACTATTGGGATACTGCAGATACGGAGTGAGAACCTTTTCAAAGAAGATGAAGGAGGCAATGTACCTTCTTGTATCCTTCCGAGATCAGCTTGCGCGCGCTGATAATGTACTGGACGATGGTGATCCAGTTGAGTATGGGGAATGAGAAGCCCACAGCGGGTATGCCACTGAACTGAGAGCGAGTATCAGCTAAATAACGCAGCGAGACGGATGGAAGCCACGTACTTCTCTGTCCTCAAACAGTTTCCATGCGATGTACAATCCCACAACACCAACTACTGTGCCTACAAGCGGGACTTCAACGTCGACTACCGGAAGCTGCATGAGCCGTATAAGGGTAGGATGCAGAAGGAGAATGAGCCGCTACGCGGTGTCGACGCTTTATACGCAGATGCTAGGTGCCACAAATATTGAGATATTGCAGCCTTGATCCACCAGATGAGGAACCCGTCATCTCGATCGCGAACTTGGCCAGCGAAACATGGGCGCATGATGCGTCCTTCGCGCGGAGCACCGCGTCAGGCAGTCTCGGGAGTCCGAGCGAGAGCGAAGGGTTTGTCTCGTAGCAGTGCCTCGAGGACAGTATATGGGCCGGCGGGCGCGTTTGTATAAGTTATTTGCAGCAGCCAGGAGAGCCGAACTGTCGGTGCTGCGGCCGCGGATCCAGAAGTAGCCTTCGCTCATGTTGACGACTCGGACTGTCGAACATAGTACCCCAACGCGACTGGTTCACGCGAAAACAGTGGTGGTAGATGTGTAACACCATTGGGACACAAGGTCGTTCCCAACGCTTATGGCAGTTCAGACCAAAGTTGAGTGCGGGAGCAGCGCGTCAGAGGCTAGCAACATCGCCGAGCCGAGCCCGAATCAATTTCCCGCGCTCATAACCAGAGATAGGGGTTTCAGCGCCGCGGCTTCCTTCAACGCCATGTCCCCCAATACATCATGTTCTGCACGACGCATCAGTAGAGTGCGTCGGTTGATGCTGCCAGTGCCCTAGACGTACGCAGAGCACCGCAAACAGCCCGTAGGGTTCTCCGTTCTCCTCCGTCGAAGCCAGTCGGAGGCCGCACTAGACCCTGGCCAGGTGACGCTGGAGCCACACCCGCGCCCTATATAATAGCCTTTGCGCCAACTACGTCTTCTACACCCTACGCTCACGCTGACTCTATTCACCGTTACCATGTCGAATAACGACTCTGCTCTCGCTCAACATCAGCCTGCCGGTAAGCATACACGAACAGGACTCTACGCGATCGAGACGCTGATGACGACTTCCAGTGCGCGTCGGCGGCCGCCGCCTGTCTATGCCTAACCGTCCCAAACCGAATATGCATCGCTTGTACGCCATGATTTCCTATTTGCACGTCGCTGCTCCTAAGATATATCCCGTAGCACACCCTCACCCCAACGTGATGCCACCGACGACGCAGTCGAAGACAATGACTACCCTCGCCCGCACGCGCCGGGCGAAGGCCAACATGATCACGAGCACGGCGGATACGAAGACGCCGAGAAGCACGAACGGCGACGTGCTCCCGATATGCGCCAGACCCTGTCCCACAAGGCAGACGTCAACGCGCCCAAGCTCGCCTACTCTGCCAGTGGCAAGCCCCAAGGCCGCATCTCGCAGCCGCAGGGCAAGGTTCTCGGATGAACGATCTCTCGACGGACTATCAAAGTTAGCCACGGACATACCATCAGTCAAGTGAACTTGGCGACACCTCAATGTAGAATAAGCGAATCATCTCCGGCTGTACTTGTACCATTATGTACCATAACCTGTGCTTCCCGTGTGTCCACACTGTAGTCTATCTATGAGCACCGTTGCGTGCTTGCGACTGTTATCATCTTCCGTCCTGAAGGGTGTCATGTTCAAGTATGAGTCCGCGTGGGTACTCTGCACGATTGGGCTGTAGTCGTATCAACTCCGGAGGGGACTGGACGCAACCTTCGCGAAGCCACCGTGTCGAGCAATCCAATTCACTCAACGATTGTTTCAAGCATGTCAAGTTCATGCGAGCCGTGTTGCATAGATGATTGCATACACACATAATGAGAGGTAGAGAGGAAGCGACAGCAGCGGGCATAACCTGGCAGCGAGGGGTGGAGGTACAATACAACAGGATGAACACCAACGAACGACGTAGCGAGAGATTTACTCGTCGTCCTCGTCCTCGTCGCCACCCTCCTCCTTCTTGGCGGCAGCGGCGGCACGCTTGCGCTTGACGCGACCGGGGCGGCCACCACCGTAGGGCGAGTTGAGGGCAAAGTCGATGTGCTTTTGAGAGTCGAGGCGGACGACGAACGAGGGGACGTTGACGATCTGCTTGCCGACGCTGTACACCAGTGTAAGTTCCCAACATCATGATTAAGGCATACAATACACACCGGATGTGCCTCTGGCGGATGAGAACGCGGGCATGATGGATCGACTTGGCAAGGCCGGACTTGAAGACTTGGGTCTGGAGGCGGCGCTCCAAGAAGTCCTCGATCTTGAGGGCCAGCACGTAATCGAGACGCATGCGGGTCTCGTCGAGCACACCGATGCGCACGAGACGGCGAATGAGCGCGTTACCCTCGAAAAGACGCTTCGGGTCCTTGTCGTCGAGCTTCAGCAGCTCACGGGCCGCACGACGAATCTTGGACAGAATGAGGGCAATGCGCCAGATCTCACGCTTGTTGCGGAGACCGTACTCGCCCGCGAGCTATATATTACTTTAGCATATAATCGACATATAAAATACCAAGTACGCGCCTTGAGCTCCATGTCGAGACGCGGCGCCTCAAACGGGCGACGCGGGACCTTGTAGCTGGGGCACGGCGATAAAAATCAGCATCGTGTCACCCGTCCCTTGCGCGAGGGATTCTTGAATTTTAATAGCGCATGTATGAACTCACGTCTTGGAGTGCTTCCTCGGGGCCCTAATCAGTGTCAGCGTCGTCCATCACAGCGAGCAAGCACACACGGGGCCTTTACCTGGGCATTTTGTGTCTTGACGGTCGCGAAAACGAGTCGGGAATTACAGGTCGGGTGCGTCGACGCGAGCGCGCGTCGGCCGTTGCCGGCGGAGAACTCCGGCGTGGGAGAGTCAGTGAGAGGAACTGCTACCCCGAGTGCGCACGTGTCGCGATTCGACAATTTCGAAGAATATTCGCTCGCTGCCGCCAACGACGACCAAGGTACGCTTGCCGCCGTCACGCTCGACGATCTCCCGCTTATTCCGGTTCAGACTCCTTCAAGATGCCGCACTCCTTCGGTTACCGCGCGCGCACGCGCGACATGTTCAAGCGGGGCTTCAAGGGTGCGTTTACTGCGACTTGTGCGCGGGAGAGCGCGCTGACGAGTATAATGCAGAGCATGGCCCCGTGAAGATGTCGACGTACCTCATCAACTACCGCATCGGTGACATTGTCGACATCAAGGCCAACGCCGCTCAGCAAAAGGGCATGCCCCACAAATTCTACCACGGGTCCGTTCGAATATAACTTTGGATATCGAAACTTTGATCTTAACATGTAGTATAGTCGCACTGGCATTGTGTACAACGTGACGCCGCATGCGGTCGGCGTGATCGTGTACAAGGTCGTCGGCAACCGGTACATCGAGAAGCGGGTCAACATCCGGGTCGAGCACGTGAAGCACTCCAAGTGCAGGCAGGAGTTCATCGACCGCGTCCAGCGCAACGGCAAGCTCCATGCCGAGGCAAAGGCAAAGGGCGAGCGCGTATCCCTCAAGCGCATTCCCGCCCTCCCTCCCACCGCACACACCGTCTCCACCAAGGACAACTCGCCCCAGACCCTCGCACCCGTCCCGTACGAGACCACCATCTGAGCTCCTTCCTTTGGCTTCGCTGTGTACCCATGTCTTATTCCTCTTCACTTTGCTATGAACCCATGCAATAAGCAGCATGCCGATGTACGATTGCGTCGATTCACTCTGTGGGATACTCGAAAGGTTGATGTGGTGATCTCAACTTTGTATCGTTAGCGACTTTTATCCCGATTCCTTGAGGGGAATTCTCCTCATCCAGGCTCTGACATCTGATCGCCACCAACGCTAGACCCAGTCGGCAAACTCTGAACACATTCAGGTGTGAATCTTCAGGTATCTATTGGCCACACTAGGAATATCTCGATAGTCACCGTACCTAATGGGTGCATCGAACCACATCTCACACTTCTCTTGAAACTTGAATAGTTCTCGCGGAAGCAGTGGTCCCTGCGATAAAGCATGGTTTGGCGGCCAACGCGTCGCGATGAGGGAGTGGCCTCAACTCTGTTCATCTCCCATCTGCTATAAGCCGTCTTCCTCCTTCGCAAACCTGTCTTCTGTGTTGAAGATGATATCGTCCTCGAACATGATACCGCTTTCCGACAAAATGTACAGAGTCTTGGAACATGATACATGACGCGAGTCAATGGGGGTCAATATACGGGATTGTCAATTCACCTATTGCCAGTGACGCACTGGCCTTTTGGGCTATGCTTACTCGTGGCGCATGTCGATTGGCATCATCCTCGCGCCTTGTTCATGCATGTTCGGGAGCTTCAGTGCGTGGCTCTGGCCTGGTTGTCGTGCGTCGAAGTTCAATCTTCTTCCCGTAGTGATCTGCGTCGATGATTTGCAGAGCGATAGGAGCATGCCTTCACACATTGCTGTACGCCATCTTCTCCGATTGCATGATGTTGTACATGTGCGCACTCGCGGTAGACATGCCTTACTGAGAACGTACATTTGGTGCGTGCTCTAAAGCGCCGGGCTCATCGATCATCCTCGGCATTCACTTGCAGAGCGGTAGTGAGTATCCTCGTGCAAGGCGATGGCTACTGCAAATACACACTCCAACGTTAAGTTGTGCTTCCCGAACTCGTGGTGTCCACGACGGTTGTGTCTGCGTGAATTTGCGAAAGTAGACAATCACCGCTAGTGACTGCCACTAACCCTAGGCAATATAATCGGAAGAGATGTATGAGCATGTGAGATAAAGTTGGGGGTCTGTTCCTCATCGACGCGCACAGTGGCCAGTGTCGCATCTGTGATTGCAGCGATAGTTGAGAAGCCCAAGAGCTGCACGTCGATGAGGCGCGACTTCGCTGTTAGAACGAAGGGCTGAGGCGTGTGATGTGTACCAGATAGCCGCATGATCCACGTAGTCTCGATCGGCTGCAGTACACTGGCGTCTTCAAAGCGCCAATGGAAGCTCTCTTGTCAGCCGGTCAGTCTTGCGAGCGCTCCCACTGGATTGAGTAGATGGGGGCTGACGACGAGAGGTGCAGATGATATGCGTTCAAGTCGGGATGAGATGACATCTAGGCAGCTCCTTCATAGCGGCTGAGCTACAAAGTTGGCATCTGTCTTATGTACCGACAGTGTACAGCATTCCGTCCGGACGGAGAGTAAACGCGCGGTCATGACTGTCACCACGGTTCTCTCCGCGGCGCGTCAGCAGCTTCGGGCTTGCTTCCCACCACCACGACGCCGCATGTTGAACTTGTCACATGGCCGCGAGTTGGCATCTGGCCCACTTGCAGAACTACATCGGTCCGAATACACTAAGCAAGGGTGCTCCAGCCACTCGTTTGTCTCCCTGGTCGAGACATAGATGCTTCCAAGTTCGCTAGCGAGCGCCCCCCAATCGGCAACAGCAGACGTGTTACCGCAGATGACTTTCGCCCGGAGATCATCTGAAAATTGAGCTCGATAAAAAGGGTGATCACAGATCCTCATACTTGCTCAGGACGACCACTCAGGGTTCCGGCTGTGTTCCTTGCCGTTTGTACGCGCCGTCTGTACAGGCCGAGGCTAACAGCGAAGGTTGGACGGATTGCCGCTCAACATCCCGCATACTTCAGATACACGTCGAGGGTCGGTTCGGAACACCGCGGGTTCAAGGATGCCCCGTACAAAAGCAGCAGAATGTCTAGCAGGTATGGGCACAGACACGGACGCTTCAACTTTTCCTGCTTGTTTAGGGCCGCTCGGCTAATTTATCCCTTTCATATCTTCTTCGCCGCGCGGATTGCGTTCTTACTCGACGACATTCTTTGCGATTCTACCGACGCCGGCCGCTTTTGGATCTTTATATCTGTGCAATCAGTACGATACGACCATGGAACGCCCATCGACCATGGCTGGACGCCTTTCCCGGAGGACTTCGGACGGGTTTCGGCATTTTCGCCAATGGGTTGGACGTTTCTTCGGGTGAGTGTAAGCTCCATTTTCGTTACATACCGCCAGAAATCGATTGCTCACTCTCATCGCAGGCGGTTGGCAATATGGAAATACGGACGCTTGACATTTCATCGCCTGTGGACATTGCTGTTCAGATGCCTACCCTTCAAAAGCAAGCCTCCTATTCCTGCCCCGGATCCGTCAGTATCGTTCTCCTAGAACTGTTCATTCCTATGTCTGACGGTTTGAAGACCTCCCAGTCAGGTCCGACTGCATGCCCTGATCATCGGGATTGACGACTACAAGTCCGATCGTGTCCTCAACCTCCACGGAGCAGTGTCTGACGCTGATGCGGTGAACGAATACCTACGCAAGGATCTGCAGGTCCCGGCAACCCAAATCGTTAATCTTCGAGACAAGGCCGCCGCCCGGGACGTCATCCTGCGCGAGTTGCAAGCACTCGGAACGCGTGAAGATATACGTAAAGGGGACCAGATCCTAATCTATTACGCTGGTTATGGCGCGACTGCAGATACTCCAGACGGTTGGGCTACTAAGGGCGACAAGCTATCGACGATCGTACCCTACGATGGGCTTGCCGAGTCCGACGACGCTCGTCGCATCTATCCTATTCCGCATCAGACTATCGAGGCGGTTCTCCGAAATTTGGCGAGGCAGATTGGTAACGGGAACGATATTGTACGTGGCGCCATGACGTGAACAAATTGCGCTCAGATTCGTTGACAGACGGTCATCTTCGACTGTTGTTATTCCGGTTCTGTTACGACCCCACACGACCCTTCCCGGCTGGTGCGCGGCTTGGATTTAACGAAAGAGGATACCATACCGGCGGATCTTGACCAGTCTATTTGGAGAGGGATATTAGAGGCCGACGCTCCGGTACCGAGCTTGTCGTGCGTACTGCTGGCTGCGTGTCGCGAGGGCGGCATAGCGCAAGAAATCGGATCTCGTGGACAGTTCACTCAAGCGCTGCTCGAAGCGCTGCGAAGCGTCTCCAGGAGGAAGGTCTCGTACTTAGAACTCCTACAGCGCGTACCGAACATCCCTGGGTCAGCCTCAATCTCTTCGCGTGCAACATGACTGGAACTGACCAGTTTTCACAGCCAGAACCCAATATGCGAAGGCCATTGCTTAGATCGGTCATTTTTCAACACTCTCGCGCTAGACAAGGAGCGCACGCTGCACCCCATGCTTTCGAAAGACGACGCGATTGTCATCGATGCTGGCTTTCTTCAAGGTGTCAGCCCGGACGCCGAATTCAAGATTTACGCGCATGAACGCCCCGCCCTTGGCGATGAGCCGTCGGCGATCATGATACCCAAGTCCGTTCACGCTTCGAGTACCGATCTGAAGTATTCGCCCTCTTCGCTTGTCCAGACACTAGACTTCAGTGGCCAGCTATCGTACTACGCAGAGCAAACTTCACTCGGGAAGGTAGCGGGGCTGCGACTACATTTGCCATCGGATTCGGAGGGCCGAAACACTATACTTGAAGCGCTGACGAAGGTTTCGCAGCCGCGCACCAGCGGCCCGGCCGTTCTCTCAGTGGACGATGCTGCACAAGCCGACTTGAGCCTTCTTGTAAGCGCGAACGAAGTCCAATATATCATATACGAACCTACGATCAAGGCTTGTGGGCTATCAGAGCTGCGTCAGTCATCCAAGGCAGACACCACGAAGCCTATCTATACAGTACTTCGCGCTGCGGCCCACTTCTTCCGTTTCATGCGTCACTCGCCCACCGAGAATAGGCTTCGGGACACAGTTCATGTAGAGGTGTATGCGCTCGAGGTCGACGAGGAGGGAGAACTAGGTCCGGATCTGCGGCGTCCATGGATCACTTCCGGAGGTAACATCAACGAGGCCGGGTTCGTCGATGTCGTCGCGGATGACGATACGCCATACGGTATCAAGGTTCGAAACGATTCTGATACCCCACTCCACATTTGGGCGTTCTACTTCGACTGCAGCGGGCTTGCGATCTGTAAGTTTTGCTCGCGCTGAGTGCGTGTATCGGTTGCTGATCCTCACTTGCACAGCCGAATACTACCGACCACCAGCCATTGGGCAGGGGGCGGAACCATCGCTTCCAGCGCACGGTGTACTCACAATCGGGTACGGTGCTGGTGGTGGCCTACCGTACACGTTCTTCCTGCGCGAAGGCCAAGAGCTTGATCTCGGTTTCATTAAGCTCTTCATATCGGCGGAGCCCATCGACTTTTCGAGTATTGAGCAGCGCTCGCCTTTCAAGGATCCTGTGGCACGAGGGAAGAAGAAACGGAGCGCCGAGTTTGACGCTGGGTGGGACACTATTACAATTGCTGTCGTACAGCGTAAGCCTTGAGCAACCCTGGGCGCCGAGTCTTCGCAGCATCGTGGCACGCCTCCGCCTTCTGATCATGTCTGCATGTGCATCTTTTGTTCAGGCTAGGACGATTATGTATTTTGGATCCAGCACTCGCCATAGAGCGTGTTTATGTACATCACTGACTGTGATCTGGGTATCGTCTCCCTGCGCAGATAGCCACAAGTGAAATAGACGATCTTATCAGATCGACTACAAGCACGCATCACCATGCGCACACGTCACCACACACGCGCGTCAAAAAGCGCCGGTTTGGCTCTTGTACCGCGCGGCCACCTCGACGCAACTTGCGCTTCAGCAGTCAGCAGTCACCTTTCAGTCATTTGTGCTTTACCGCCTGTCCGCGGAAGAAGATCCATAGCCTCGCTGAACAGAGTCCTCATCCGTGGTGTCCTGCAGAGCGATGCGACTGTCATTCTACACGCAGTCGTGTGGAAACTACCCAATTGCTTTTTGGGTCGAATGACTCCGGGAGATCTTTCTGGCTCACCTCACGCCGGCCACTCATCACCGTGGCGTTTTGTGTACTGTCTCCGATAGACACGGCCCTGCGCCCGTCCTCGACGCCTTGTTGCCAGCATGCATCTCGCAGAGCTTGCACTCGAGGCATCAGTTTCGCGCGAGCTTCTTGCACGATGAATCGGATATTCCGGACCGCATACGAAGCCATTTGTCTCCAGGTAGTGCTCGACTATCGCGACCCATTATTGCAGGCCAAGACCAGATAGCTGGATGAGGCAAGGGAGACGAGAATGGCACGACCACGATCAAGGCGAAAGTAGTCCATCGACGGAAAACATACTTACATATCGTTACAGCGTGCTCGGTCTGTGGCGGACGGCGCATCGATGTATCTGTGAATCCGCCATTAACGCCGATTTCGACGTGGAGCTAAGACCTGTGCTCTGAAGATGAGACACACTCACATGCGTTCCTACAGATCATGCGACTGTGTGGTGCTGAACTGGTTTAAAGGGTGCTGAGCATATTCTCTGAATGCAGCTTCCTTTCCTCCTTCTTTTCTTTATCTTTAACTCTATATTCGACGACGTGGGACGTTCTAGGGCACCATGTTTACCAACTTTTTCCAAAGCCTGATGGTGTATATGGCGTACGTCAAGTGAACCTCTTTCGAGTGGAGCACTTATTCAGTGCGAACAGGTCGTTATTCAGGTGTGCTCGTGTCATCGTCTATGCCTATCCGGCTAATCAGCTTCATTCTCAGTAGGCCCGCCATCGTGGCCGAAACGTTCGTCCTTTCTCTCACAACTCGCCAACAAATGACTCATTCATCGCAGACAGCATCAACCTACTCTACAAGCACTCGTCATCGGCATCGATACGTACAAATCTGATGCTATTGAGAACCTCCGAGGAGCTGTTTCAGACGCCGATGCCGTCGACGAGTACTTACGGTCCGACCTGTCCGTTCCAAAGAAGCAGATTGTCAACCTGCGCAACGAGCAAGCTACGCGAGAGGCCATTATATCTAACATCAAGGCGCTCCGTACACGGGAGGGGATTCACAGAGGCGACCCCATCCTCATCTATTTCGCAGGGCATGGCTGCACTGCGAAGGCACCGAAAGGGTGGCACATGGGTGATCGGGGTATCTCGCTCCTCGTCCCGTATGATATGGACACGAAGTTGGAGAATGCTGCAGAATCTAAGTGTGCCATCCCCGATCGCACTCTCGGCGCACTTCTCCACGGTCTCGCGGAACAGGAGGGTGATGGAGGAATAGGTGATAATATTGTGCGTCCTCATGATTATAGCCGACGCTCTGCTGTTGACGACCTGCTGTAGACCGTGATCTTCGACTGCTGCCACTCCGGCTCCGGAACGCGCGGGCTCAGCGATACGCGTCGGCCGCGAGGCTTCACCTCAAAGAGCATGCTACCTGATGACTTGGATCGACACATCTGGAGCATGGTCCCGCGCGGTCGCGATATCGAGGTTCTAACGGGCTTTGCGCGAGCAGGCACCAAATCGCATGTACTCCTGGCGGCCTGCCGTGAGACTGAGTCTGCATATGAGGGCCATGATCGCGGCTACTTCACTCAAGAGCTCATCCGTGTCTTACGCACGGTCAGGCCGGATAGGATCACGTATCAGGAACTCATACAGCGCATCCCCACTATCCCAGGGTATATTACTGGTCATTCCACAACGAGCGACAATGATACGACTAACATCGTTCAATCAGGCAAACTCCGCAGTGCGAAGGCTTCAACACCAATCGCATCGTCTTCAATGCGCTCGTCCCGAGCGGCAAACGAGTCGCATACCCTGTGGTGGTCATCGAACGGCCCGAAAAGGTCGTTGTACGCGCTGGCTCTGTGAACGGCGTAGCGGAGGACACCACCTTCTCATTGTATTCGTCTGGCGACTTCAAGCTCGACGATCCCCCAATCGCCATCATGAAGGCCTTGAAGGTTGGTCCGTTTACGACGGACTTAGCTTATCTCGCCCATCGTGATTCGACTCCTGGCGCACATCCCTCCCTGAAGAACTCCTGCTTCGCCGTCATGAACTCACTGGACAAAGCCGGGGGTCTGCGTCTGCACGCAACCGGATCTACGCACGACCCGATTCAACGCCCCGTCTGGCAGGCGCTCGAAAAGGTGGACAAGACTCATCAGCTCAGCGGCGGTCCGACGGTTGTTGTCGAGGTTGATAAGACAAAAGCAGATTTGGGCGTGTGCGTAGTCGGGGGCGACGCAACTTACACCATTCAAGATCCCTTAATCACGGATCTCGGACTGAACAAACTCTGTCAAACGACGAAAGCCGATATCAACGCGATACAGTCCGTCCTCAGTGCTGCCGCCCACTTCTTCTGGCACCTCCACCACGCACCCAGGAAGAACGAGTTGAAAGACAGGGTCGACGTCGGATTCCATGAGCTTGCTGTGGACGAAGAGGCGGAATTGGACGAGAATTTGTCTCAGCCATGGATCACCCTCGAGCCCAACCTCCGTGACGGTGCAGGTGTCGTTGAAGTCGTTGCGGACGATGAGACTCCTTATGGCATTGTGGTCCGCAACAAAACTCTGGCGCCACTTCATGTGTGGGCATTCTACTTCAGCTGCAGTACTCTCGGAATATGTGAGTTTGAGCTGAACTAGATTGACGTGATCGCAGATTACTGACGCGTTGCAGTTGAATACTACAAGCCACCAGCCAGTGGGTGTAATGCCGAAGCGTCACTTCCCGCAAAAGGCGAGCTCACGATCGGGTACGGCGCCGATGGCGGGCAACCGTACAAATTCTTCCTACGAGACGATCAGGCCCTCGACGTCGGGTTCATCAAACTCTTCATTACGACTGAGCCGGTGGACTTCTCGAATGTCGCACAATGTTCACCATTCGCAATGGCGCGGAACTTGAACACGAATAAGCGACCGGCGCCGCGGGCTATCTGGGATACCGCCACAATCGCTGTGGTGCAAAAAAGATCGCCCTGATTGCGACACTCGCGGACTGGGGCGTGTGTATAAGAGTGCTGCGTACGTTTCTTGTCAAGCATCATCATCGTGCATGAGAGGGGTCTGACGCCACAGATAGTGTCCTAGTCTCATGACCCATCAAATTCGCTGCGGGTCAGCGACTGCTCAATATTGTACTCGTGGGCTGATATAATGATTCTATATGTATTCTTTCATCTATGGATCAGTAAACTAGTTTATGACAGGTAGTCTCTCAACAAAGCAACATATCTGGACGCGATGTCTGCAGTGTCCGAGCGATAGAACAGTGTGAACGGTACAATGGAAAGCAGAGCTCATCAATGCGGAAAAGGTGGAGACGGATTTGGACGGAGCGCATGGTCATTGGCGTTCCTAAACAACGCTGCAAAACGTCTCAGCATGCGCGCAATCGCTTGAACGAACATGACTAAACATGGGTTGCGTACCACAGCATTTCCTCTCGCCGCCGCCTGCCTTGAGCTTGTTCTCCTTTGATCTCCGTAGCCCCGGCCTGCACTCGCCTCCTCAGAGCAAGCGCTTGAATCCCGGCCCACGCACAAGCGCCGTCGGAGAGGCACGACACACACGCAGTAGCCGGCTTGCTGGTCTCATGGCGACATTGGCCACAGAATGACAGCTCACAAGGAGCCCGACGCATTGCCAAGAGGTGTACTGTAGTGGTGGTTGAAAAGGAATGAAGATGGCAGATGATCCAGGGTAATCATCATGGTCGCGCACAAGCTGCCGCGATGCACGAGTGGCCCGAGCAAGGCTCGAGTATGATACGCACGCGACAGGAAGACCTTGGGCCTTCGCACGCACGGTGCTCCTTGACCTTGTTCATTTTGTGTGCTGATCGTGATCCAGTCACCGAATATAATTGAACGTGCGTGGTTAGGGTTGGCCTCGCAACGACCTGCCGCGTGGCAACGCGAGTTTAAGTTTAACGCTTGGGCGCTTGGCCCAAGATGCTCACCTACCGCGATGATTGCTAGCTTTGACATCGGCCTGATGGACTGGAGCGCAGGCGAAGGCGATCTTGAGACATATCCCACTCAATATGTGCTGTCATCATCGTTTGGAAAAACCGGGTGACATCTACTTATCTCATATTTTCACCCATTGCTCACCCGTGCATCCCTACTGCTACCGTAGACCGACGGTAGAAGCTGCGTTGGAGCTTCGGGGGAACGTCGCGGGAAAGCGAAAACCATTTAAATGAATTTTGGTCAATGCAAGGTTCGCGCAAGTTCAAAGGGCATGTACTTACCTCATAAGGAAGCGCCTCACCTTGAATGACCTTCCAAGAATGCGCTGACCTTTAAAGATTGTTAAAGGAAGCCGGCAAGATTCCCATCCCACTCAAGTTAGGCGACGACCTTGCCAGGTATTCGTAGGAGATGGGCAAGCTTTCAAGATCGCAGAAGCTTAGCTGAGCAGAGACCTTGAGCCGTCGTGGGATCTGTAGTTTCGCCTACTGGTCGAT